GACTGCAATATTTCGGTTGCTTCGGGATTTTCATAATCAATTCATTAAGGATACCCAAGGATTTATCTTATCCTATAATAATAAGAATCTCCAGACTTTGCAATTTGATTGTCACTCATTCCGAGAAAAGGAGGACCGCAGCACTCCTGATAGGGTTCAAAATTGGCCTCTCATTCTGCTCAGGGCGGTGATTCTAGCTAAAGTCTTCTACGGCTCGATCGAGATACCAACCCGAAATGAAAATTTGGAGTCGACCGTTACACCTACAAACTACGTTCATTCAGTGATGAGGATAGGAGCACCATTGAGGCGAAGTTCATGATTGAACCTTTAAGGTGCGACGATATGGGCTTGTGTCGCACGAGTACTTGCTGTTGCAAATCTAAGGGCAAACTATTTTGTTATCTTGTGTAAGCCAATGTTTATTAATTGCTCAAGTATGATGGGCGGGTCATCAGCAAGATTAGTAGATGTAGGGACGCAGCTATGTGGCACACACAGAACAGTTCGTACCGTTAATAAAAAAAAAACTTTTATTAATGGAGGATCCCTGTGAGACACCAGCGGTAACAAGTTTCCATACGAAAATTTGAAGTATTTTATTTTCCTATTTACTCATTTGAATTACAATTTTATTTTTTGCCGTTCGCCGTCTGTCATCTCTAATCCACATCGGTATTTTACAAAGTCCAGCTTTGTTAGTAAAACTTTAAAAGTCACTTAGAGATCAACATTGATCAATGAACATCATAATGTTTAGCGAGAAAATTTTTTTGAAGAGCAAACAAGGTTCACATATTACATTTCTGTGCTCATGCTTGACCCATCCAGAAAAATCTACGATGTGCTATGATGAAAACAAATATTCATTTTGTGAAAGCTAATATACACACATTTGGTCGACACATCTGGCTTTCACAGCGTGGGTAAAGATTGACTGAGATTGAGAACTCCAATTAAATCAAGTGTGTGAATTAACAGATGGCTTGATTATGTAGTTCAAAGAAAAAAGTTTTTCAACCCCCTCCTTTATTTTGTCTTTCTTTTACGCTATAGTAATGACAGCTAGTTAACTTTCGCGCGAACTGCTATTGTCATAAGTTTTTTGAAGACTATTATTCAGAATATTACTTTAAGATGAAAGAAAAGCAAATAATCCTTTGTTGAGAGGCATGCAGTCCTGAAAAGTTTCAAATACCAGTGAATGACACAAACGAAAATGATTTGCAACAATCAGAGTAATCTTTTCGCACGGTCTGAAAAAGTCAGTAAAAAAAATTAATAAATGAGCGAACCTCATGATGTTGCCAAGCTTGAGCATTAACAACAAAAAGATTTTCATTTGATTAGCCTGGTGATGTGTTTAATCAATTATTTATACCAGTGGAAATAATTGTTCTCATTTAATGTTCTGCGAATTGTTTGGTATTTCACCATTTATTGTACTACAATGAAAACGTGACTTTTTCTGGTTGCATATCAATTAACAATCTACAGTCTTCAAATAGAGAACTTGAATTCATTCTTGAGGCTCTTTTTTGTGGTTTTCCACCTGAAACGTTTGTTGAGAGTGGCCGACCTAGATAGTGACAGGAAGGTTATTTCACTAAGCACATGAATAAAGAAAAGAAAACAACTCAGAGGGTATCAATACCTTGTATAGTTTAATGTTTAGTTTCAAATCGGCAGGCAAAAAAGATTGTTTATGAGACCTAGTTGTCCAATGCCACGGTATTGGCTTTAGGATTTGGGTGTCTCTTAATTTCTTATGACATTATAAAGGACCTCAGCGTGAATACTTAAATAAAACTTACTAATAAATTAATGAGAAGAATGTGTTTGAGAGAGATTTTTGCAATGGAAAGAGTTCAAGTAAACTAAATGAAAAAAGGTTAACGAGAAGTTGCGAGAACAAGCAATGTTCCCGGGAAAAATTAGAATATTCTTGCCAATCAATCCAATGGTAAGTAGGTCGTTTCATTTTACTCCGATGTCATCATTCCTAGATATCTTTAATGCCTTCATAGCAAATTAGAGTTCATTTTTATTACAACTTTTGAAAACCTTTTTGACTTTATTTAAGTTCTATAAAGGAAATGACACTGAGATTTTTCGTCAGCAAACCGAAATAATAGCAAACGTATTCAAAACAATTTGAGGTAAATTTTTCTTAAAAGGATGATGTGAGTAGATTTAAAACATAAAGAGCTTTTCCTATATTTTTTTTGGTTAGTATTCGACAGTTTCCAATCCTTGCTTGATACGTTTAAGTGCAGCATAATTACGTCTCAATGGGTAAGATAACTATTGCCTAATGGCAATCTCAAGGCACTATTATATTTTAACCTTTACAAACTATGATTCTCTGCAATACCGGTGCAGCGCTCTACCAATTGAGCTAACAAGCCAACTGGGAGCTGGTCAATGAATTGGGTCCAAATAAACATCCAAGTGAATGATTATTTGGACCCAATTCATTGACCAGCTCCCAGTTGGCTTGTTAGCTCAATCGCAGAGGTCATGGGTTCAAATCCCGTACGGGTCTGAATTTTTTTCAGGTCCTATTTACAACTACTCGTTTCAGTAGTGTTCTTAGCTGCGAGGATCTCTTAATTTCATCTCTCCACCGCAGTGCAAATATATGAATTTTCATATATCTAAAATCATCTTTACAAACTACTTGCAACAGATTTTCTTGTCTTTGCTAACGACGAAATGGACTTTTCTCGTTCTAATGTCAGGAACTGGAGCTGCGTCGAATGGTAAGAAGGATATTATCCCGTAGTTTATGCTTAAATAAACAATCAACACATTTCGAGTGTTATGAAACTGAAATCAAACCATTGACAACGACTACTTAAAAGAAAGGAAAACATCATAAGAATGAAATAGCATGTTTCATTTAAGGCACTTTAAAGACCGTTCTCAACCTGAATGCAATGCAGTAAATTTGTGAAGTTGAAATTTACACTTTGGAAATAAGACTATCAAGCATACTACGTATGAATTGAAACGAAACAAGAGGACTGGGAATAGCCCGCCAAGCCGCTAAGGTGAACGCAGGCCTTTAAAGGAAGAAATCACAAACTTTCTTTGAATATTAATATTGATACCAGTAGCAAGTACATGCACACAACAGGGAACTGTGTCAGTTATTAAATAGGAGGTTAAACTGAATTAAATCACTTCGCTTTTTTTTTTGTAATTGTCAACGTTAAACCAAGAGTTTATAATCTCTTGGTCATACCAAGAGCCAGACCTTACCACATATCCACTGTGCGTTAATCATAATTTCAGAAGCTAATGATGTATTGTAATATTTATAGTTCATTGCTTTACGTATAGAAAAAATTCCAAAACGATGAATGTCACTAATGTATCTTTTTAGTGTCTGTAAGAATCACCAACATCTTGGGAAATCAAAATTATTGACACGCCTTCAATTTTCCATGCGGGTAGGCATTCAGGAGTGATGCACAAAACTGCTGTTTTAAAAGTTCCAGCAGTCTTGTTTTCATGGTAATGAAGATTGCTTGTTTGCAGCCTAGGCCCTCATTTTCATAGAAAAACATTGCCAAAAGTGTAAAATGTTTATTTCTCTATCTCAAGCTCGATACAACGTTAAAAAAAATTGGTACTTCTACCGTACATAGTAACATAATTTATCTTTATTCTGATCCATTTAATTTGTCCCTGATAGTGAATATGTGCATACTGATCGATTATTTATCTCGGCACAGTTTCGGTCATTTTTGATGTAGGGGAAAAGGTTATCTAAGTTTCTCCAAAAAAAATGGATTATGGAACTGAAACTAAGTACCTAGTTAGTTATAATATTCTAGTTTTTAAACATGCAAAACTCTTTGCGGGAAAGTTTTTTTTTCATAGCGCAATTTGCGAACGAAACGAACCAATCGGATATTGCATATTTTGGCGATGTTTACATCCAATGTTGTCAACAACAAATTTTTCAGACAAATAAATGCACATGGCTTTAAAAGGATCTTATCTTATCAGCAATATCCCTAAGATAATAAATTCTTTCATGGGAATTTTAGCGATTCTAAATCCTCTGACGATACAATGCTATGTTTTTGTGTCATGTTAGAGTCGGCTGATTTACACGAAACTATCGTAATATCGATCATTTGTCAATAAACATAATTATACACTATCACGATGGCGTGACGCTGAATTTCTCCATAAAGTTTGCTTTGGTCGCTCCGAAAAAGACAAAAAACGGATATTTTTTCGATATTTCAGCGGATTTCTGCGCATTCTAAATTAAGAAAGAAAAACAAAACAAAACAAAAAACAAAACAAGACAAAAAAAAAAAAGGAATACCACGATTGAACGCTCGTAAGCGGAGCTGAATGACGTTTGTGCATGCGCTTGGCTTGGGCGCTGAAAACGAATTTTTAGTCGTTTCCATGTTTAATTTTTTGTTTTGTTGCCTCGAGGCAATGTTTCTCTTGCTGCTTTTCTTTTCAGGAAAAACTAAATAAATCAAAACTTGTCAGTGGCAGTTACTACGTGCAAAACCCAGTTGCAAATCAGTGTCAGGACATATTTGTGCATCGCTCTAGGTGCCCAACCACATGTAAAGTCTGAAGGGGGATTGAAAATTTTAATTTCCCATGATGTTCAACTCTTACAGAGATTAGTTCTTAATCATTGTGAAATTCTTGAAATTTCTCACCGAACTTTGTTTCATACCTTGGATTAGAGATAAACTATTGCAACCTCTATCATCAAGTTGAACGTTATGACCTTTTAGGTATCTTCAAAAGTGCGATTAAGTTATAAGGTTCTCTTGTCTTGAAATTCACTCAAAGTATTTCATCTTGAAACAGCTTCTATACCAGCTGAGTGTTCGCAGTACGAAGAACTAAATGAGACAGAGAGATATTGGAAACACTCCACAAGCAATTTATCCTGTCATAATCATATTAGACTGAGTGATAAATGGTACCGTTTCACCGGGGCCGCTGGTAGAATGATGGCGACCTACTGTATTCCAAAGGGAAGTTGTAATAGCAGGGCAGTCGGCTGGATTGACGGTAACCATCCTTCTGAGGCTTACCAGTTGGTGTCGGCAACTGTATGTTTTCACCGGAATTCAAACTGCTGTGCATGGTCACGTCCAGTTCAGATACGAAATTGCAGTGGATACTATATTTATAAGTTAAAAACGACTGCGTGCCTAAATCGCTACTGCGGTGTGAACGGTTTGTACCTTTTTGTTTACGTTAGTTGCATAACTTCAGTATTCTTCTTAGAACCCACACAGGGGTTTATGTACTCAAGAAAATAACATCAATTGAAAAATGGGTTAGTGATTTTTTTTGGTGTTTTGTTCCAAACCAGGTATAAAATAAAATACATTTTCTCTTGCAAAACCACTTGAAAATGGGACAAATGAGAACATAAACTGTTGTGAACAGCAGAAATGGGGAACTGAGCCAAATTCGATCAAGTAGAAGACTGGGTACTATCAATAGAGAGACATATACCCCCTCGATGAAAAATCATTTGATTTTACAACACTATTCTGGTACAGTTTTTTAAACAATATTTCAGACGAAAGTGAAGCGTGTCAAGTAACCGGTGGTTCCTCTAAGTGTCCATGTCAAGATGGTTATGAAGGAGATCCATGCAGGGGTGAGTGTCAGAGCAAGTTAGCGTTGTTTGTCCTTACGAACATTTGTAGAATTCGCCGATTTCTGTGAATGTGAGAGGATACTTCATTCTCAAAACTTGAACGTTTTAAAGTTGTTACTCGAGCCTGTCACCCGACCTTAATCATCGTGAATGTTAAATTTATCTTCTTTATTTTTGACAGATATCGACGAGTGTTCAACGAACACCCACAACTGTAACTCAAATGCAAATTGCACCAATACTGACGGTTCTTTCAAATGTGTTTGCAAGGAGGGTTACACCGGTGATGGCAATTCATGTAGCGGTAAGACTCACGAATTTAATCGGTGGATAAACTGGGAAAAGTACAGTAAATAACCTTTCTCAATCATGTGAAGAATTAACTAAAGTAAGGAATAAAACAAAACAGCGATTAATAGATGAGTGGATGGCTAAAACAATATTTGTCAAATATCTCCAAGGGAAAATATGTTTTGCCACTTCTTTCACCTCTTTCTAATGGCTCAGTATGCGATTAATTTTTAAATTATAACAAGAGCAGGAAAAAGACATCTTTTAAAAAAAAATACAAATATTGTCAATTGAAAGTTATGCCAAGGAAGTAGAATTCACGTGATCACCAACCGGTTTGTTTAAATATAAATTTCAGTAGTAAAGGAACTATTGAGCACCTCTTTCTTGGGTTAACCTTGGACAAAAGTGAAAACTCAGGTTAACCCTTATACATGGACTTTCGAATCTTAATCCTAAGTCTCATTTGGAGAAAAATGTGTTTGCTTGGATTGTCCTAATATCAGAATTAAACTGACATTATTGGAGAGTATGCGAAAAATTTTGAATTGCAACAAAACAAGGAAAAAAGGTTTTTTTTTGGTAAGCCATAAAAATATTGTCAACGTTAAACCAAAAGTTTATAACCTCTTGTTCATACCAAGAGCCAGACCTTATCATCCGTTGTGCGTTAATCCTAATTTCAGTAGCTGATGATGTATTGTAATATTTATAGTTCATTGCTTTACGTATGGAAAAAATTCCAAAACGATGAGTTTCACTGATACTATCTTCTTAGTCTCTGTAAGAATCACCAACATCTTGGGAAATGGAAATTATTGATTCCCCTTCAGTTGTACATGGAGTTAGGTAGTCATGGGGATGCACAAAACTGCTATTTTAAAGGTTGCAGCAGTCTTGTTGCCGCGGTAAGACTGCTTGTAGCCTAGCCCTCATCTTCATACAAAAACATCGCCAAAAGGGTGTAAATTGTTTATTTCTCTACCCGAAGCTCAATACAACTCTACAAATTGGTACCTCTACCATACATAGTAACGTCATTCGTATTGACCTTAATGCATTCACTTTTCCCTGAGGGTGAAGGTGAACACACTAATCAATTATTTATCTGGCACAGTTTGCAACTGAAACTAAGCACCTAAATGGTTATAACATTCTAGTTTTAAATACGTAAAAATCTTTATAGGAAAGCCTCTACTTTTCATAGGGGCAATTTGCGAACGAAACTCACAAATCAGATATTGCATATTTTGGTGATGTTAACATCTAATGTTTCCAACAACAAAAGTTTCGGACAAATGCAATGTGCATGGCTTTAAAATGATATTATCCTATGAGAAATATCCCTAAGAGGATTATTGCCCCTGGTTGTCATTTTATTTCGTTAAAATCGATCAGCTTTCATGGAGGACTACTTGAGGTAACTGCAAACTTATACTGACCTCAAATCATTAGATACCATCCAGATTCGGAGTGCTGCACTTTCTTTCATGGGAATATTAGCAATTCTAAATCCTCTGACGATACAATGCTATACTTCTATGTCATTTGTAACGTGTTACAGTCGGCTGATTTACACGGAACTATCCTAACATTGATCATTTGTCAATAGACATATACATTATCACGATGGCGTGACGTATTTCTCCATAACGTTTGCTTTCGTCGATCCAAAAAAGACGAAAAACGGATATTTTTTTTCGATATTTCAGCGGATTTCTGCACACTCTAATGAAAGAAAGAATAAAAAAAGGAAAACCACGATTGGACGCTCAGAGGCAGAGCTGAAAACCGTTTTTCCATGCACTTGGCTTTGAAGCGGAAAACAGATTTTGAATCGTTTGCCTGTTTGATTTTCCGTTCTGTTGCTTCCAGGTAATGTTTCTCTGGCCGTTCTTCTTTACAGAACAACCTCCAAAAAATTTGAACACCCCTGGTTATTTAAAACAATTACTGTTCTCTTTAATAACATAGGAAAAGGAAAATGCCTTTAACTACAGCAAAACGCTTCGATTTTAAATGCCAGCCCCTTTTTCCATTTCCATGAATTTAAACCTCGTGCGCTTTAGCCCGCGTCATTGACTCAGCCTTTCTCGGCTATGTCACGCTCGTAAACTCTGAGATTATATATCACAACTTGACAGCGGTAGTACTACATGCAAAACCCAGTTGCAATCAGTCGTCAGGACATTTTTGTACATCCTCCCTGAGCGCCTAACTGCATGCAACATTCGAAGGGGGGTTGAAAATTTTCATTCCCCAAGATATTTAATTCTTACAGAGATTAGATTTTAGTCATTTGAAATTCTTGAAATTGCCCACCGAACTCTATCTCATACCTTGGATTAGAGATGAACTCTTGCAACTTTGATCATCACGTTGAACGTTACAACCTTTCAAGTGTCTTCAAAAGTGCGCTTAAGTTGTAAGGTTGCCTTGTCATGTAACTCTCTCAAAGTATTTCATCTTAAAACAGCTTTAATACCAGCTGAGTGTAACCCTTCGCAGTACCAAGTATTCTCCGAGATGTTTAATTCTTACAGAGACTAGTTCTTAATCATTTGAAATTCTTGGAATTGCTCACCGAACTCTTTTTAATACCTTGGATTATAGATGAACTCTTGCAACTTCGATCGTGAAGTTGAACGTTACGACCTCTTTAGGTATCTTGAAACTTTATTTACAAGGTTGCCTTGTCATGTAACTCTCTCATAGTATTTCATCTTAAAACAGCTTTGATACCAGCTGAATGTAACCATTCGCAGTACCAAGAACTAAATGAGGCAGGAAGATACTGGAAACACTCCACAGCCAATCTTTCCTGTGATAATCATATTGAAAGTGGCCAATGGTACCGTTTCACTGGGGCCGCTGGCACAATGATGGCGACATACTGCATTCCAAAGGAAAGTTGTAATACTCACGCAGTCGGCTGGATTAACGGTAACCATCCCTCTGAGGTTTACCAATTGGTGTCGACAGTTGTGTGCTTTCACTGGCACTCAAACTGCTGTAAATGGTCACGTCCAGTTCGGATACGAAATTGCAGAGGATACTATATTTATGAGTTACAAAATCCGGGTAGCTGCACTCGTCGTTACTGCGGTGTGAACGGTTTGTACCTTTTTTTTTTACGTAAGTTGGATAACTTCAGTATTCTTCTTAAAACCCACTAGGGGTTTATGTACATAAGAAAATAACTTCAACTGTATAATGGGAATTTTCCAAAGCGATTTATAGAAACAATTCAAGAAAATATGAACTAATGTTGCACAATTAAATTTGTTTTCGTGTTTTGCTCCAAACCAGGCGTAAAATGAAATCTAGCATTTTTTCTCTTACAAAACCAAGTTAAAATGTGACATACGATAATACAAACTGTTACCAACTGCAGAAATGGGGAAGCTAGTCAAATTCAATAAAGTAGAAGATTGGGTTCTTTAAATAGAGAGAAATATATCCCCTGGATGGAAAATGATTTGACTTTGGTGGATAATCACACAACACTATTCTGGTACAGTTTTTTAAATGATATTTTCAGACGAAAGTGACGCATGTCGCGTATCTGGTGGTTCCTCTAAGTGTCCATGTCAAAATGGTTATGAAGGAGATCCGTGCAGGGGTGAGTGTCAGAGCAAGTAAGCGTTGTTTGTCCTTACGAACATTGGTAGAATTCACTGATTTCTGTGAATGTGAAGGGATAATTCATGCCTTCGTTGTTTCTGAACTCGATCATTGTAATACCATTCTTCACTGGCTTCCTAAATCACAACTAGATTAGTTACAATGTGTCCCAAACAATGCAACAAGACTTCTTTTACTAACTAACTGCACGCGTCGTACTTTTATCGGCTATGAAACTTGGAGAACGCTAAGACATTGCAAAAATGTAGCGCCCACGATAAAAACTATTTTCTGCTCAGCAATGATTACGATTTCTACCGACGCCTTAATTTTAGATCACATAATTCACTACATAATGACTAAATATAAATCAAATGGAATTTTGTAGCAAATAAGTAAAACATGCGGCGTTCGAAACCTAACAGGCGGTAGTACTTCATTTAAAACCCAGTTGCAAATCAGCTGTTAGGGCATTTTTGTGCATCCCCCTGAGTGCCTAACTGCATGCAAAATTTATTCCCCGAGATGTTTAATTCTTACAGAGACTAGTTCTTAATCATTTGAAATTCTTGGAATTGCTTGCCGAACACTATTTTTTATACCTTGGATTATAGATGAACTCTCGCAACTTCGATCGTGAAGTTGAACGTTACGACCTTCTAGGTATCTTGAAAAGTGCGCTTTAGTTACAAGGTTGCCTTGTCATGTTCTGATCTCGGTCATTGTAATACCATTCTTCACTGGCTTCCTAAATCACAACTAGATTAGTTACAATGTTTCCCAAACAATGCAACAATACTGGTAAATAGATCTAGGAAATGTGACCCTACATGTGTGAATCAATCCGCTCTCTTGTGCTTCGTAACCTGAACTGGCTTCCGGTTCACTGACGTATCTTTCGATGAAATCTAAAAAGTGAAATAAACAGTCTCCTGTCTACAATTCGGCAACTAATTTCTCTATACCACCCAACAAGACCGATGAGGCCTTCCCAGAAGCTGCAATAACTTCTTACCCATTGATTGTTCTCCTAAACGCATGGGAATATGTCTTTTTATATTGCTTTTACCGCAGTCGAAATCATACCAAGCGATAAAACGAACTATTTTAAATTTTTTTTGATCCGTTTTGATGACGAGACTGCAGGGTGGAAAAGTGAAACATTTGGTTTCTACTGATAGATCTGGACGAATGTGCGAGCGGAGACCATGACTGCCATAAATATGGTGTTTGTCATAACGAGATTGGATCCTATACTTGTCACTGTCAGTTTGGATATGTAGGAAATGGAACATGGTGTGAAGGTACAAATGTTCTATTTCATTATTCTTACAAAAGAAATTTCAAGATTTGCATCTTCTATAAGACATGTTTCGTTTTTAATCAGTTTTGTCATACACTGAAAACTTGATCTTCAGCTATGGGTTCGTTGTACGGTTTGCCTACTATGTGGCCCCTCTTTGTGAGCTTTGACAGTCTATTGGTATCCGTCAGACAAATTTTTTCTCAGAATTTTTTGTCGGTCCAAAGAGGCTCCGATATAACCGAAAACATCTTTTCAACTACAGTTTCCCCTTTTAATGTACCGGTGTACATCTGCTGTTAAAAATACTTATTTTCTTCCCGATGTTTCACACGATTGTATTGAATTGTTTGTATGTCATTTCAGCTTGTCCAGAACATTCTCTATGGATCCAGACATCACTTAACGTTCATGATTGCTGGTGTAAATACTTTTACCCAGGAGATCCAGAAGTTGATCCATGCCGAAGACAAACAGAAAGTAATACATGAGAGAAAGTAGACTAACTCTAACTATAAATAAAATTGAAATATGAGTCATTTAATTACTGATTCAATATTCAAACAGAGTATAATTATCCTTCAACGTTGAATTGCGTCTCAACAGCTTTTTGACGTAATGAAATAGAGGACTCCAAACGAAATTGGGAATTCCAATTATAACTTCTTTTTCCCCATTTTTAGGCGATCTGAGAAATATCGATAATTCAATAGAGGTTTCAATTCATGGTATTAATACACAACCAAGCAGCCCAATGAAGTTTAGACGAGATCAAACAAGAACACTGGTTGCATCTTTAAAGATGGAGAACTTTCTTGCGCAACAGGGCTCGTTCTCCTGGAAAATAAGCCAACTGTCGCTGTCACCTTTTAATATTTCTGATCAACCAGAGCTGCTCGTGCCCGACACTCTCGAGCTGAACATACGGCCAAACTTGCTGTCGACAGGGCTTAAACTTGTAACATTTGAGCTGCGAGGAATATCTGGAACTAAGCTGACAGCTCGAGACTTTGCTTTCATCGAAGTCCTTAATTCGGCACTGAAAGTTTCCATTGCCGGAGGAACTGAAGTTTTTCGATCCATAGATAAACCAATTTTATTGGATGCCAGTGCTTCGTATGACACTAGCCCTAGTGCTGGCAGTTCCTCAGGAGTGAACTATGATTGGACTTGCTTAACAATAACGCAATCCAACGTTTCCAGAAATTATACTCCAGTGCCTGACGCCACCTTTCGAGGCTCAGATGGCATATCCAACACACTTGTCGATGCGGCTGCAAATGGAACCCTCTTTCAGCTGCCAGACAATGTCTTTCTTCAGGGCAAGGGAGAAGCCATAGTGACCTTAGATACCAAAAGACTCGTCAGTAATCAAGCATACTATATGGTTCTGACGGCAACCAAGGATATCCGCGAAGCAAGTGACATACAGATTATTCATGTTGGCGACGAAGATGTACTCGACATTCGTATTTTGTAAGTATAGTATATGGATGCAAAGTCGTTGATGGTTAAAGGAGCCCGGCTGGAATTCTTATAATCCAAGACCAGAGAAGTTTCTTTCCTAATCTTACTGCTCAGAACAAACAACAACAAATAGTTTAGTTAGTGGATACAAAGTAGTTGATGGTTACCACTTGCTGAAATATTTAGTATCTTACATGAGCTGTCCTCTTCCCCGTTTTTAGAGCCCAGAATGAACAATATAGAATAGATTAAAATCTACTGATCTCTATGCAATCCCGAGAGATATATTAAATTATTATTCATTCAACTCACCATCTCTTTCCGGATCGGCCGAAAGCGTACAGTGGATTTTCGAAATCAGCGCCTGGGACGTCATCTAGGTGCAGCTTATTCAATATTATGTCAAGGTCACTCGAGGTTATAAGCAATCATGTCATGTATGACTGCGGTGCATGATTTCTAAGGGACCTCATGTCAAGCGGGTGCACTTTGTGTTGCTTACCAAGCAAAAGCAAAAACATATTTTCTTTTTGTTCAAGGTATGATTAAACAATTATTAGCTTTGGCCTCTGAGATATCCAGAATGTTTAAGGTCTCGGTAAGGATTATCTGGCTCAGCCTTTGGCTTCGGCTGATAACCTTGATTATTCTGGATATCGCAAAACCCTCATCTAATCGTTGTTGATTATTTGTCAAAAGAAGGTTGAAAACAACACCACTCTCTTGTGAATGGCTTTCCAACTAAGACACAAATGTTCAATTGGTTTATAATAATAATAATAATAATAAATTTAAATTTATACCGCGCAGTTTCTATAAAAATATTCAACTGCGCCTTACAATAAATATTAAATTAGAAATTAAAATAGAAGTTCAAAATTACAATTCTAAAATAATGCAATTCAATTATAAAAACTATAGAACTAATTAAACGCCCTATTAAATAAAAAAGTTTTAAGTCTAATTTTAAAAATATCTAAACTGGAAATAGATCTTATTGTGGTAGGAAGCGAATTCCAAAGTCTAGGGGCGGCACAACTAAACGATCTATCTGCCAGGGTCTTCTTGGATATTATCTTCGGGAAAGTTAATAAAGCTGCAGGGTCATCGTTGCGCCTTAAATTATACCTAGATGGCGGCAAGATAGATATTAAATGGCGCAAGTAATCGGGCGCCATATCATGCAATACCTTAAATGTAAGAAGAATTATTTTATATTCGATACGATAACAAACAGGCAGCCAATGTAATTCGTGAAGTAGAGGCGTGATGTGGCACGACTTTGGAGCACAATATACCAAACGGGCACTAGCATTCATAACACGCTGGAGTTTAGACAACTGATATTTCGGTAACCCATACAAAAGGCTGTTGCAATAATCAAGTCTGTTTGTTATAAACGCATGAACTAGTGTTTCAGTGCTACTTCTAGATAAGTACTTCCTAATATGTCTGATATTATAAAGATAATAAAATGAGCTGCTGCATGTTTTGGTAATATGTACATCCATATTCAAATGCGGATCAAACCATGTGCCCAGATTACAGACTGATGAAGAAGGACTAATATTATAATCTCCGACTCTGATGCCATCGATAGACACCTTTGTGAGCTGCTTCCGTGTCCCAACAAGCATAAAATCAGTCTTGACATCATTTAGCATTAATTTCCTCACACACATCCACTGTCTAATGTCACGAATACAATTTTCAATGGCAGTGACCGCATCCAACTCACCAGTGCCAACACTAGGACTAAAGGACAGATACAACTGAGTATCGTCCGCGTAAGCATGCGCAGTTGGTAAATGGGACTCCAGGAGAGAAAACAAATCACTTGAATAGATAGTAAACAAAAGCGGGCCAAGGCAAGAACCTTGAGGTACAACTTCAAATCAAATGACTGCGAAAGCGTCTCTTTTATGCAAATTCTTTGAGATCTCCCTTCCAAATAAGACTTGAACCACGAAAGAGCAGAGCCGCAAACACCTAGTTTCGTCTGAAGGGCTTTTAATAAAATCTTGTGGTCAACAGTGTCAAAGGCGGCACTCAAGTCTAATAACACCAAGAGTGATACATGCCCCTTGTTCATATTCATTAGCAAATCGTTTTTTACTTTTAACAATGCAGTCTCAGTGCTGTGATGGGAACGATAAGCAGATTGAAGCTGAGGGAAGAGATTGTTCTTAATCATGTGACACTGAATCTGATTGGCTACCACACGTTCAGTAAGTTTGGACACAAATTGCAAGTTGCTAATTGGTCGAAAATTCTTGAAAAGAGGATCAAGACCAGGCTTTTTCAATAATGGATGTACCACAGCAGTTTTCCAGGCGTCAGGAAAATATCCAGTTCGTAAGGACAAATTAACCATATTCGTTATTACAGAAAGGAGTGGGTCAAGGCAGGCAGATAACAGAGTCGCAGGTATTGGATCCAAGATGCAAGTTTTTTTCTTCCCTGATGTAATCATATCACGTATTGCTACAGCCGTTGTACATTGAAAATCAGACAGTACAATATCGCTAGGTTCAGATACCAGATCAGGCTCCGACGTCGACAGAAGATGCGATGGAGAGATACCTTCCAACTTTGACCTTATATTAGCAATCTTGGTAATAAAAAACTCGCCCATGTCATTTGCAAGCAGAGAAACGTCAGTATGAGGAGGAAGAGCTCTATCCGGCTGCATATTCAGTAGACTCTTACTTGCCATAAACAGCCTCCGCTGGTCAGAACTATTATCCTCAATGAATTGATTGTAGTAGACACGACGTGCCTCATTCATCAAGTTCACCACACGATTTCTTTCCTTTTTAAAAGCAGCACGATCTGCAGATAGGCCAGTAATTCTCCACTTCTTTTCAGCCTTTCGTCTCGACCGTTTAGCTTTTCTGATATCTTCATTAAACCACGGTGCTCGAGGCCGAACAACAATATCACGGGACAAGACAGGTGCATAGATATCTAGTATAGATCTTAGTGTCTCATTGTAACAATTGACTAGGGTATCCAAGTCGTCCGGTGGGTCAAGACAGAGCTGAGAAGAGCAAATCGTCTCGGAAAATTGATCACGGTCAATTGATTTAATTTTTCTGAACTGCAGATGTTTGATGGCCACCGGAGGTCTTTCAGGTTTTAGTTGACAGAAGACTGGGAAATGGTCAGAAAACAACTCACCAGTGTAGGGGCACCCAGCAATGATGTTATCAGATATACGAGTGATGATCAAATCCAGTGTGTGACCAAGTTCATGGGTAGGGTGTAGAACATGTTGTTTAAGACCCATCGACACCAGAAGGTCAGACATGTTTCTACAGTCAGTGTCATCAGGTAGATCCATATGAATGTTAAAATCGCCCAGTATTAACAAAGGCTCACTTGACATGACCAAAGACTCGAGATAATCTGAGAATTCAGTGATAAATGTTGAAGTAGACACAGGATGTTTAACAGAATATGGAGGCCTATAGACTAAAACAACCCGCAAACGAGTAGTAGCCACAGGATTGACCAACCATTCTGACACCTCGAATGACTCTTTTCCTGCAGCTGAAACCTTTTCAACGTTGATAGATTCTTTGAAAATCAATGCAGTCCCACCTCCTCTGCGATCACTGCGGGGATGATGAAGGAGTTTGTATCCCTGTGGTGTTATTTCACTAAGAATAGCAGTGTCATTGTCTGTAAGCCAGGTTTCAGAAACAGCAAATAGATCTGCTTTGCTATCGCATACCAAATCCACAAACGACGCTGACTTATTTCTCAAAGATCGAGCATTGAGAAGGCAAAGCAACAATCGTTGCGTATCGTTCTTGATATTTTCCAACACTTGTTGAGGCTTGGGCACAATAATGTGGACCAAATTACGTAGACACGGCGGTGCACGATTGCCAACAGCGCTAGCATAAGCAAAGTCGCCGTTTGTCGAGTGTCGATTTCCGATTACAGCTTGAATAGCAGAGGGGCCAGGATTTAAACTTACATCACCAGATTTGATCAGTCGAATCAGTTGAAAACTGGAAGTTGAATTGTGATGATAGTTCACTCTAGCGCCGAGGTAACTCATTCCACGAAGTCGACAACCAAGATGGCGGCCTAATCTCCGAGTGGAGTTTACTTGTTTGTTGCTCGTTATCACTTCCAACGAAGACATTGAGCTGCCAGAGCGAAGCGGTGCACAAGAGAAATAATATAGGCTATGTCCAGATAAATATTTCTCAGGGTGAAGACCAAATAAAGGCAATAAAAATGATAAAACTACGGAGCCAAGAAGGACACGTCTGAGTGCCATGCTGACCGCTGACCTTATGGTTATGTTGCAATGAAAGTAAATACAGACAAAAACATAAGCAATTATTCCATAAAGGGTGGCATAGTTGTCTATTTAAAACTAACATCTTCATCAAAGAAACTAACAATGATATAAATTCGTTTCCTTGCAAATGTGAACCATCTTAACGCAATGCATAAGGACGAATACAGACGATTTGATGAGCAGAGGATCACTTCTTATTTTCTTTGCACAGGTGCACTATGGACTGTGACTCACCAGCCAGTGCATCATCTCGCATCTCCCTAAGAACCGACTGCAATTCAATTCGTTGTCCTGTGTCCCTCAAGTATAAATGGAGCCTGCTGAAAAAGGATGGAAACAGTTCTCATCCCCAATGGTCTACACAGATAAACTTTAAAAATCTCCTGGGTACAAAAGTGGATTCGAAAAACCTTGTAATTAAGGAGCAAATGCTTGAGCCCGGATCCTCCTACAAAATCAAGGTCGACGTTCTATCTGCAAACGGATCATTTGGCTGGGCTGTATACCAATTTGACACAGTTGCAAGTCCATCAGGAGGAACATGCCATGGTGTGCAGTTGGATAGGAAAGATGTAGGATCTTGGCTAAACATTACCTGTCAAGGCTGGAGAGACGAACACATGCCACTCAGCTACGAATTCTTCCGGGAATTGGAAGATGGAGAACTCGACATGCTTTCCTCTGGAGTTTGGCCACATAGTGTTGTTTACATTCCACCTGTGGAAGAAAATGTGGTTCGTTTTAAAGTTGCAGTTGTAAATGTTTTGGGAGCAGCAGATACAACAGGATTTTCTTTCAAGGTATTCATCTATAGAAGGTTAAGTGACTGCTTAATGATCCTGATGGCAGTTACTAGAGGGCAATCTCGTTTGGGTGTTCGAGTGAGTGCGAGTATGCGCAAAGAAAACCCAAATATTTCTTGTTTCTTGTCTTTATTATTCACATTTTTTGCCTGTCCAACTTCAGTGTACGATTCTAACAGTGCACTAGATCAGAGGATGCAGAAGACAGTGAAATTGACTGATCGTCGCACTGTCAGAAATTGCATGAAATCAACATTGATGTACTATTTTCCGAAGTAACCTGTGAATGTCAAGGGTCTACTGAAATACATCCCTTTTATTACCATTTTTTTTAAGTTGAATCAATCATACTTGTTGACGGCAGAAGAAGTGAACCACAATCAGCTGGAGGAAAAAATTGCAAAAATGGACTCTTATTTTAAAATGAAACAAACAAATATGGCAGTGCAAGAGGCAGGCACCCTTATTTTCTTACTCAAAATGGTCGCGAAGGAAGATCACGAAAGAGCATATCTCCTGCAAGTAAGTTCAGTACATTGAACAAGTGACTTTAAACATAAGCGTGTAACTGAAGTAATAAAATAAAGTTGCCTTGACTGTGCTCTGTTTGGTTATAAAGCACTTAGGAAGCGGTTAGGGCATGAAAGTGTTTCTTCATACTCTTAGCGTGTTCATATATTTGCGTTATATCTGAACTTTATCAAAATAATCAATATTAGTTCCTACTCATCGGGGTTTTTATAGTGCCAAATTGTGATTCCAGTCGCATAATGGTGTTTGCAGATGAATCGCAAAAAAATTTTATAAAGGAATTTTTAAAGTTGTCAATGAAATCCAGCTGAAAGATTCCCAATATACACGTCACAAGTAAAAGCGATACACAAAAACGTTTTATCTCAGCGCTTCCGTTTCCTTTTCTCTCTGACCAATTTGGCCAACGGCACGTAACTGTTGGAGGCTTATAGATTTAGGTTTATTTTTCTTGACTGCTACATGTCTGCTTCTGTTTATTATGTACTCTTTCCTTTGCACAGAAAAAGAATTACGTTATTTCTAAGATCTGTGAAGTTCCGACTGATAAACTGGAGTGGTTACTCCAGGTTACTTCTGTCTTAAAGAAAGCCACAATGGGTGACGCTCTTATCTGGAAAAATACAACGGTATGACACTGATCTCAAATTCCCTTATGCACCTCTCAGAAAGTTAACGTTTTTCGACATCCCGAATTATAGTAAAGTTCAAGCAAGAAGTTCTTGATAAGGAGTTAGCATAATAAAAATATAAATCAACTACATAGTAAAAAAGTCGCACCCAAAAACATACATTGACCTTTTTTTCTTCCAGTTCACTGTTCTGGATAAGTTCAAGGAGATGTCCAACTGGCTTTCACTGAAAAATGTGCACGAACGTAGTTCTGAAACCCGTCTTCTTCTCGAGGGAGCAAGATTGCTATTGCATTGCACCACAAATATTATGGATTCCAACTCCAGACGACTCCTCATGGGTAGTTTGTCAGGCAACTTTGATAAAGGGGAAGAGGTATTTTAAAAATAATACATGTTTCTAAATTCAAGTGAACTTTATTACAACCAACTAATTTCTCAGAATTTTAAAGACGAAAATTTCAATAGAGCAAACGTGACAAAACGTATTTCTAGGAGAGGGAATTTTACACCAACCTATTGACTCATGTTGACGAGATTTTTTAATCTCGCCAGACTGATCAAAGTAGAAAAGAAGAGTCTAGAAAACGATAAGATAAAAAGAATTAAAGGGAAAAGCTCTTCCTTTCTTTTTCTAGAGGAAGTTAGACAGGGCGTGATTACACACTGTATTCAAACGAACAAAGCAAAAAACGGAAAAGACCTTCAATTCTCTTTTATCAACAAGTAGAACGGTAAAGCCTAGTAATACATCAGAAAGGCTCAGCCAAGGTATTGCAAATCGAAAATTCGAAAATCCGCTGAGCCTACAAATATGTTAATTCCTAGGTTAAGAGAGAGGAAAATTGAAGGTTCTATTTTCCTTTTTTTAAGTTTTAGAAATCTCCATCCCTTTGTTCCTCCTCTTCCCAAGGATTCATTCTTGTTCTATTGGTAATGAATGAGAGTAGCATTAAAATTTTTTATAATATTAGATAACCATGGGAAAGACAATTTTGGCCCGTTGCCAGGAGCTGACAGAAATGACAACCAACATACTGCTATCGTTAAAGTTGCCTGGAGAAGAATACAGCACCATTCGCAATGGACTTCAATCGACGATGCTCGGCAAGCATGAATCAAATGACTTGAGCCTTTTAGAAATCAGCGATGGAAAAACCAATTTTGTAATCCCATATCTGGATAGCAGGGCATTGAAAAGTTGGGTCGGCGACACCTCCGAGGTCGGGGTAGAGGTTTGTAACTTTTTCAGTTAATAAATCATAAAATTTGTGAGCCAATCACGGTAGATATCTATAAATTTGGTGTATGTTTTATATTTGGCATGCTCATGGCAATGAACTTTCCTAGAATCTCTCGGTTTTCCTTACAGGGCGGTATGTTAACCGAGTGATTTCAGGAAAAAGACTTAAACAACATTGAAAGATGCCACAGTATTTATTGTTAGCCACTTGATGATGGTTGCGCATCGTGACGCGAAATCAGTTCAAATCCTGAAAGGAGAAAAATATTTTTTATCACCCTGCGCTGTTGATAAATCTACAACCTCATCAATTTTATTTCCACATCCTTTCTAATGTCTCGCAGATGGTGAGCTATAATTTTAACCCATATGTGACGGACAATAGCAGCAGCAGAATAAGATCAAACGTTGTCAGCCTTGCCCTAAAGGACGGCACTGGGAGAGCTCTCAACACAGCTGACCTTCCCTCGAACATAGAAATTGACATTCCAATAACAAATTATGATCCCGTGAACAGCACTCGATCGGATCATTTTCTGAATCCTGGCAGGTTGCAATATCATGTGATAACCGTTGGTGAGGTCAACACCACCGTAAAATTGACCATTACAACTAAAGCAACAGCTTCTATTACTGTCTATGTAAAATTCGCTGAAAAGCCAACAGAGATTTCCTACGACGAGGTGATTCACTTATCCAAGGAGAAAACATCTATTAACCCCGATTGCGAATTACGAGAGAATTGCTCTTATACTATCGTCGTAAAGAGTAAATATGCAGGTAAATATTACGTTGGCTTATTGGGGAACAGTGAATCTCGAAAAGAATTGCCTCCGTCAAGAGGTAGAAGATCAATACTTCCAGAGCGAGCGATGCAAGAGAAGTGCGTCAAGTTCAAGGATCCTCCTCCGACGGTTGCTCCTCAAGTAGAGTATGTCATTCTTGTTCCTCAGTACGACTCTGATAAGTCAGTTAACTACAGTTTACAAGTTGAGACAATATGGTGTGCATTTTGGTCTGATGCTGAACAAAGATGGACAAATGAAGGATGCAAGGTGAAAAAAAAAACTTTAGATAGAATGAAATAAGTTAGTAGCTACATTAAAGGACGTAGAATTTACTTTTCAGGCCATTTAACGGAAGTTTTTGAATATTGGTTTTAAGCTTTGGTGTGTTTTGGAGATGAAAAATAACTTTATACTCACTTACTGTACTCGGTAAGTCAATCTAATCCTTTTCAAGATAGCACTTGTAAGCAGTGGGTGTTCTCCAGAGCCAAGATACATGGGCAATATTACTGGCAGAAAAAAAATATCATCATCAACTACAACGGTTATTTTTTTTATACTAGCGAATAAGTAGAGACAGAAACCCAAATAACTACATATCTAAACTATCTATTAGCAATTTTCCTCTGAAACTACTATGGGAGAAGTCTTGATTTTACTATCGCGTTTTCTAAGATACAAAAGCTTTAATTTTGCCGAGAATAGAGAACTCGAGCCAATTTTCCCAGAGCACTGAATCGTTTTCAGAAATTCTTGTGGCAATGTCGGTGTTTACAGACTTTATAGGAGTAGGAGGTGAGCAATTTAACTCATTTCGTTTCATGGAAGCCGGGTATATGAGCCCAGTATATAACCCGAATCAAGAGCACTTCACACCAACAGTTGTTTTCCTTTCGGACCTGATGTAATTTACAATTAGAACAGTAAACTGATCGCCATTAATGCACGGACTAATTTTTAGGTTAGCCGAGAATCAAACCATTCATCTCTGAAATGTCTCTGCAATCACTTGACTGCATTTGGGGGAGACATTCTTGTTGCACCAAATACCATTGACTTTCAACTGGTCCAGCAGGCATTTGACAACGTGGACCCTGATGACCTTCTCGTCTTGATAACACTGTGTTCTACCTTTCTGGTTTACTTTCTTGTTTTGGTAAAAGCACGCAGGGCTGACAAAGTGGATGCCACAAAGGTTGGTGCCATATCATTAAAAATTATTCGATGAAGCTAGAGATACTACGAGAATACTTAATTCAAACAACGAAATGCTCAAGAAATGATCGTTGCAGTTGAGCTGCAAGTACAGAAATCAAAGAAAAAGATCCTCAAAAAATTGAAGCATCACATCAATGTCTGATTTTTTACTGCTTCTTCGTGATTCGTTAATCGCATCTCGCCTGCACGGATGACTTCTTGGCTTAGAAAACTTAACCAGTTAACAGCTAAAGTTTTTTATAATTTGAATTTAAATGACCATTTAACCTTTAGACTTACAGTTATTTCGGGGAAAATAATTAAAGGTGAATAACTCCTAAAACTCTCGCTACTGTGATCCGCGTCATGTTTAGATTTCTTTCACAGCTATTTTGTAGGCAAGACGCCGAATAAAGCATTTGTTGAGACGAGCTTAAAATAAAACAATCTTTGACAGTTTCTTGCACACCCGAACACTAATTGTTTGTCAGTGTTTAATTCTAAGCGATCTGCTTTTTTCAGGACAGTCCTCTTCTGCCCTTGGTAGGGCATCATAAGGGTGAATATGTGTACGAGGTGTCCATAACAACTGGCAGATGGAAAAGTTGTGGTACTACTGCCAATGTATCCATGACCCTTCACGGGACTGAAAATACCAGTGACGTTATCAAATTGACATGCGACATCCCATGTGACAGGAGGCTATTTGCTCAAGGGAACACTGATAATTTCCTTCTTCGACAAGATATGCCGCTAGGCGAGATAAATTTTGTGCAGATTGGTCATGACCTTTCTGGAGAGGACCCATCTTGGTTTATCAGCGAGATTGTAGCTTTAGATTGTCAAACGGGACAGCAATGGCTATTCAGTTGTCATCGCTGGCTTGCACTAGAAAGAGATGACGGTGAAACCACAAGGAGATTTTATGCAGATGATTTCAAAACAGATGATAAATTTAAGAGAAAATTTAGGACATTACGAAGAAATGGTTTCGCTGACGATCACTTGTGGTTGTCAGTGTTTTGGAAGCAGCCAAGAGATCATTTCACTCGTGTTCAGCGAGCATCCTGTTGTTGGAGTCTCCTCTTGTTGTCAATGCTAACATCCGCCATGTTTTATGAAACAGAGAATTTATCACAGAGGGGAATACAGATTGGGCCTTTTTCAATGACTCCTAGTCAGTTCTTAATCGCTTTGGAAAGTGCCTTGATTGTTTTTCCAGCAAGTCTGCTAGTTGTGCTTCTGTTTCGTAAAAGCAAACCAAAGATAAACACTCAAGGAAGGAGGTATAACTACGTGAAAAGTGAGGGAAAAGTATTGTGTACTCTCCCTCATTTTTGTGTTTACATTGCATGGTTTCTTTGTGTAAGTACTGCAATCGCTTCTGCCCTTTTCACAGTGTTTTACTCTCTTATGTGGGGAGGAGAGAAGTCGGCTCGTTGGTTAAAATCCGTGGTGCTTTCGCTGTCTGCAGACGTTATAATCTCACAACCCATCAAGATACTTATCGTATCCGTCATTGTAGCTTCAGGGTGTGGATATGGTAGGAGGATAAGAAAGGAAACAGACTCAATAAACGAACACAATGGGGAACAGCTAGCTAGTGTTGTAGATCTTTCATCCATGGATGTTGAAAGCGCAAGAAAGTATAAGAAAAATGAGAGGAAAATGTACGCGTATTTTAAGGAACTCTTGTTTTCAATGACATTCTTTGCACTTTTATCGACTGTCAGCTATGGAGACAAAAATGATCACAGATACAAACTAAATACGGCCACAGAGCACAGCTTCCAGTTTTCTCAAAATATGGGACGCTATGAGGTGCGTTGGCTTTTATGTTAGCAAGGCAAAAATATAACGATATTATCACATATTATATTATAAGGATGGTAAGCATGTAATTAAAACACGAACTTGCAACCCTTGCGAAGGAGCCAATAGTTTCTGTAGGACCTAGAAAAGCCTAATTTTTAAAGTTTGCTTTCTGAAATCGCCACCATGTTTTACCACCCTTATCCACCCTTAAAGACTACTTCTATATTGTAAGTCTTTTCTATTAGATTTATCATTTCTCCCAAGTATGTAAAGGATATGCACCATGGCTATCACAGTGATAATTCTAGACATTTTAAAACATACTGACGTAGAATAGGAAGTCACATCAATGAAATATAAGTGTTTTGGAGAGTACGTCTTTTTCTTTGATTATTATACAACTTTTTAATCCTTTGTTGACGATCCTGGAAGCTTTTATCATACATGCGGTTATTGCAAATAGAGAATCACCCATTTATTAAGATTTATTTGAATATTTTGTCTCGTATGCTGATGAATATTTAAACATTTAAAAAAACAGATTACCGATGCCACTCAGTTTTGGGAATGGATCGAAAACATTTTTTTGCCGGCAGCTTTTGTTGACGATTGGTACAATGGACATGAAGAAAGAGTTTCAGAATACATTGGAAATAAGCGATCAATTCTGGTCGGTATGCCTCGTCTGCGGCAGCTAAGAGTCAAGGAAAGTAAGTATATCATCTATAAAAAAGAGTTTATTCTATTGGAATTTGTTGCTGATATTTTGCAGTCAACCTATTTCACTGGTTTTGATTATAACCACCACGTCCGAAAATTCCATTTTTGGAAAAGTGATGACGAAACTGAATGAGTACAGAATTCAGACTCATCAAAACTTGAACGACTTTTAATGCTCTAATGGGAACAAATGAAGGAGCAGAGAAGATAATTAAATTGAGATGGATTTTGCAATGTACGGATGAGCTCCACAAACTCACCAAAGAGGGGATTTAAGATATTGAAACAGTCATGTTCAAATAATGAAACGTTTTCTTTTCCTTGCAGATTCTTGTGAAGTTCAAGAATTGTTTAAAAACATAGTCACATCTTGTTTCGACTTCTATTCCCCCACAAAGGAGGAAAAAGGAAGTTGGATTGACCTAAGAAAGATGAATGGTTCAGTTCTGTGCCCAGAAAATTGGGAATATAATGCAGACAGAAGGTTTGGCGGCTTTGATTCTTGGGGTCGTTTTGCTGTTTACAGTGGTGGAGGATACGTAGCTAATTTAGGCTACAACAAACTTACAGCTAAAAGGATTATCAACGACTTGAAAGAAAACCACTGGGTCGATCGTCAGACCAGAGCTGTGCTGGTGGAGTTCTCATTGTATAATCCACCAAGTAACCTTCTCGCAGTGATGACGTACTACTTCGAAGTCCTTCCTTCTGGATTCGCTGGCACGTTCAAGAGCTATGGAATTTTGCCTTTAAGCGCAACGAACTCTTTAGCTCAAAGCACTTATCTGTTGTTCGTGTTGTTGTTTGGCATTCTTCTTGTTTGCTTCTTCGTTGTCCAGTGCATCAAACTCTGCCGCCAAAGGTGTTATTATTTCAAGTCGATGTGGAATTTGTTGGATATGTTGCAGATACTCACGGCATCATCAGCGATGTTACTGCGGTGGATGCGGACCAAGGTGGCCACAAAGACTTTCGAACAGTTGAAAGAAAACCCTTACCTTCCAGTCAGCTTCCATCGTGTCTTACTTTTGTTCGAGTTTGAAGAGGTGGCTATTTGTGTAACTACCGTAATTGCTACACTACGTCTTCTGAAATGCTTCTATTTCAATCCAAAAATAATTGTTTTTACATTGACACTTCGTAGATTGTTAAAACCTATAGCTTCCTTTTTCATGGTGTTTTTGATAACAGCAATGGCCCATGCACTATTAGGGTTCACAGCCTTTGGGTCCAGTGTGGATATGTTCGCCCAAGTGCATGACGGTATTTCCTTTCAGTTTCTAATGCTTTTGGGACAACCATTCCCAGTGGATAAGCTAAAGGAAACAAATCCCATCATAGGCAGCCTTTTCTTTTTCACTTTCTTCTGCAGTACCAGCGTAATTATTTTGAACATGTTTCTCGCCGTAATAAATGAATATTATACGACCTCGAACGCTGACAGAGAAGGAGAAGACTATGAGCTTGCGCAATTTATTATTAAAAGAATCCTGGAGACTGTATTGGGACAGAAATCTGAAAGAAACCAGAACTGGAGGAACCATGAACTTTTCGAGCCAGATTCTTCGCTAGCGGAAAGTTCCCCTGATGGAGTTCAAAATGACGCCTTTTCACTTGAGTGGACACCAGTCATGTATCGGAGCTGCACACAGAAAATATCCAGGACGGGAAGATCCCCAGTAGGAAATAGTGGGGACTTCATAGAGTGTTCAGTATGGGAAACATACAGACCAGAACATTTGTTGGTGAAAAGTTCCACTAATGAAACAGGCTTTAAAACTATCAACCACAATAAATTTTCTAGTTACGTCGCCGACGCAAAACGTTATAATATCATGACAGATTGGAATGCACTGGACGATTGCTATGAAGATGACGATGACGAAGAAGAAGACGGTGTCGATGATGATGACGAAGGCGAAGTCGAAGATGATTACGATGGCAACAGTGACGACGACGACGGCGAAGACAGAAAAGTTAACGGCGACGACGACGACGACGACTATGACGACGACGATGAAGATTAACGGTGCCAGTGAAAATATGGATAAGAAAGATCCCAAGGATTAGCAAAAAGCGTCAAGAAGCAAACTTGACCGTCTTGAGATACAGTGATGTCTTTCTGTTCTTTAATCATATCAACGACTTGTTCCAACTTACTTATTCAATCAATTAATTGTTTATTGTTCGAGACATAAAAAGCACTTGCACAAATGGATAATGTGGACATGAAAATTACAGTGGATGATGTCAACTAAATCAGTAAATAGGTAAAAAAATGACCGAATGAAAAAAGTAAGAAATTTGGAATAAATTCTGCACAACTGCAATTTAACACGTATGTATTGCATACATTTTTAAGGAAATGTATTCTTGTAGTCTGGCAAAAGATAAAGGCTTTAAGTCAAGCATTCAATAAATATTATTAAAACATATAAATTTGAGGCATCACGGGTAGACGAGGGCGAATTATTCCAAGGATGAGCAAATGATACTAGGATGCCATTTTGAGTCGGGATTCTCGGGGCTAACTTTGGTTTCAGATCCCTTAAGGTGGCAACCAACTACTATTGTGTTGATGAGGAAGTCTTGCAAATATTGTGGATCAGTTATTTGATACGGTCGAACCTGTATTAAGCGGTACCGTATTTAGCGGTCACCCTGTATTAGGCGTTTAGTTGTTAAAGTCTTGAAATTGTTTTCTCCTGATTACTGTAATTTTTACCTCTGTTAAGCGAACGCGGTCACCCCAACGGCCTTTTTGTATTGTCTGTCACCTTTATTGAACGGTCACTTAAAGTAAGAAACATGCACTCAAATAGAATTACCATTAGTCTTTCAAATATGATCCAATCCATTTTTACCATACGTTAGTGGAGTTTTTTCATACATTAAGTGATCAATTATGGACTGGTTTGGCAATTTTTACCGTTTTTTTTAAATACTCCTGTTCTGTGGAACCCGTTATAAGCGGTTAAACTGTATTAAGCGGTCACTCCGCCATTTCCCGTGGGTGACCGCCCAATAAAGATTCGACTCTAATATCTTTTAGTTGCTCCGGAATTTTCATAATTAATTCAACAATGATACCCAAGGATTTATCTTATGCTGTAATACTTAGAATCTTCAGGCTATGCAATTTGGGTGTCATTCATTCCGAGAAAATGAGGACCGCAGTACTCCTGATAGGGTTAAAAATTGGCCTCTCATTCTCCTCAGGGCGGCTGTTCTAGCAGATGTCTCCTAAGGCTCGATCGATACATTAACCCGTAATGAAAATTTGGAGTCGACCGTTACACACATAAACTCCAATCATTCAGTGATGAGGATAGGAGCACCATTGAGGCGAAGTTCATGATTGTACCTTAAAGGTTCAAAGATATGGGCTTGTGTCTTACGAGTACTTGCTGTCGAAAATCTAAGGGCAAGCTAGTTCGTTTCCTTCTGCAGACCAATGTTGATTAATTACTCAAATATGATGGGCAAGTCATCAGCAAGATTAGTAGTTGTATTGTCAGCATAGAGACGCAGCTATGTGGCAGACACAGAGCAGTTCGTATCGTTCATAAAAAAAAAAGGTTGTCTTAATGGAAGATCCCTATGAGACACCAGCGGTAACAAGTTTCCATACGAAAATTTGAAGTATTTTACTTGCCTATTTATTAATTTGAATTGCAATTTCATTTTTTGCCGTTCGCCGTCCACCATATCCCTAGTCCACATCGATATTTTTCAAAGTTCAGTTTTGTATGTCAAATTTTAAAAGTCATTTAGAAATCAAAGACATTATAACTTTAATTCTTCTATGATGCATGATCCTCAGTCCCACTTTTTAAGGAAGAGTGAAAAAGTTATTTAATATTTCTATGCTAATGCAGGTGCCCAAACGTACCAGAAAAATCTACGATATGTTATGTTGACAAAAAATTCATTTTGAGTAGGCTAATATACACACATTTGGTCAACACATCTGGCTTTCACAGTGTGAGTAAAGATTGACTATTTCAAAAGTGAGAATTCTAATTAAATCAAGTGTGTAAATTAACAGATGGCTTGATTATGTCGTTCACAAAAAAAAAAAAAGTTCGGCAAACCCCCTACTTTTTTCTTTCTTTTACGCAATGCTTAATCAGTTAGTAACGACGGCTGGTTAATTTTCACGCGAACTGCTATTGTCATATGTTTTTCGAGGACTATTATTCAGAATATTGCTTTAAGATGAAAAAAAAGTAAATAATACTTTTTTGGGAAGCATTTCTAAATAGTTTCTAATACCAGAGAGTAACACAAAGGAAATTGATCTGCAACAATCAGACCCCAGTTGTTCGAAGATTGGATAACGCTATCCACTGGATAAAACTCTATCCGGTGAATAACGCTATACGTTTAGCTATCACATCCGCCGGATAGCGAATTATCCCTTGGATAGTGTTACCTGCCTTTATACAACTCAGAGCAATCTTTTTGCACAGTCTGAAAAATCAACAAATAAGCGAACCTCAAAATGTTGCCAAGCTCGAGAGTTAACGTAAAAACGAAAAGTTTTTCATTTGATTAGCCGGGTAATGTGTTCGATCAATTATTTATGCAAGTGGAAGTAATTTTTCTTATATAGTGTTTTTCGAATTGTTTGATATTTCACAATTCATCGTATTACAAGGAAAATGTGACTTTTTTCTGGTTTCATGGTAATCAGCAACCTACAGTTTTCAAATATCGAACTTGAATTCGTTCTTAAGGCTCTTTTCGTGGTTTTTGTGCCTGAAACTTTTGTTGAAAGCAGCCGAGCTAAATAATGGCAGGAAGGTTATTTCAATTAAGCACAAGAAAATAACAAAAACAACGTAGAGGGCTTCAATACATTGTCTAGATTAATGTTTGGTTTCCAGTCGGCAGGCAAAAAAGATTGTTTATTAGACCTATTGGTCCAATGCCACGGTATTGACTTTAAGTTTTGGGTGTCTCTTAATTTCTTAAGACATTATAAAGGACCTCAGCATAAATGATTTAAAAGCTTGCCAATAAATTATTGACTAGAGTGTGTTTGAGAGAGATTTTTACAATGGAAAGAGTCGAGGTAAACTAAATGGAAAAAGGTCAACGAAAAGTGGCGAGAGGAAGCAATGTTCCCCAGAAAAATTAGAATATTCTTGCCACTCAATCCAATGGTAAGTAGGTCATTTCATTTTCCCAGATGTTATCATTTCTAGATATCTGCAATGCCTTCATAGCACATTATAGTTCATTTTTATCACAACTTTTGGAAACCTGTCTAACTTAAATTAAGTTCTATATATAGGAAATTATACCGAGTTTTTTCGCTAGCAAAACGAAATAATTACAAATGCATCTAAAACAATTTGAGGTAATTGTTTCTTAGAAGGATGATGTGAGCAGATTTAAAACATAGAGTGCTTTTTCTATATTTTCTGCGTAACTAATCGGCCAGTTTCCAATCCTTGCTTTATAAGTTTAAGGGCAGCATAATTACGTCTCAATATGTAAGAAAACTATTTCCTAGTGGCAATACTAAGGCATTATTATCTTTTAACCTTTGTAAACTACTTGCAACAGATTTTCATGTCTTTGCTGACGACGAAATGGACTTTTCTCGTTCTAATGTTAGGAACTGGAGCTGCGTCGGATGGTAAGAAGGATATTATTCTGTAGTTTATGCTTAAACAAACAATCAACACATTTCGAGTGTTATGAAACTGAAATCAAACCTCTAAGGGCCTATTTACACGGCACGACTTTGTCGCATGCGACAAGCTTACGACAGGCCTACGACATGACTTAAGAGTCGTAAGCGAGTTGTAGGTTTGATTTACACGAAACAATTCGTGTCGTAAGCCTGTCGTAAGCTTGTCGCATGCGACAAAGTCGTACCGTGTAAATAGGCCCTAACAAAGACTACTTAGAAGAAAGGAAAACATCTCAAGAATGAAATAGCAACTTTTATTTAAGGCACTTTATAGACCGTTCTCAACCTGAATGCAATGCAGTAAATTTGTGAGGTTGAAATTTACACTTTGGAAATAAAACCATCAAACATATTACGTATGAATTCAAACGAAACAAAAGGACTGGGACTTGCCCGCTGAGCCGCTACGGAAGAAATCGCAACTTTCTTTGAATATCCAAATTAAATTTTTGCCTTTAGCAACTATACGCAATAGAGAACTGTGTCAGCTACTGCATAGGAAGTTATGAATTAAACCACTTCTCTCTACTCTTCGAAACATGTGGGGCATCTCCCTTGATGTTAGACCACATAAATACTGGACTGCAGCAATAACCTGTCCAGCGTTCTTTGACCCTCAATTACAATCCGAAAAACTCTTCTAATGGGGAAGAGAGTAATGGTGAGATATTTTGCTTTATATAGTAGTTTCAACGGTATCTTATAATACAATGATTATCGGTCGTATACTGTCAATGGGACAATTAAACACAATTTTCTCCAAACAATTATCACAGAAAAAAATAATAATCTGACCTTGAAAATGTACCAAAAAATTTCATTAGTTAAGATGAAAACTGTAATAAAAAGATACATAGATGCATATTGAGAGAAGGCCAGTCAGTCACTCTGACAAAATGGCTGACTAATTAGTAAATAAACGAGCAGGCGCACGGATAGATATAGAGATAAACAGACATAAAAGAAGAAAAATATGGGAGAATGGATCGACGAAATAATAAACATACCAAACAATTTCTTTCACTTGTTGAAAGCGGCGGTTTTACGTTGTCGATGAAAGATGCCGAATGTTTTTTCTCCCTTTCAGAATGCACCTCTTACAACAACATAACTGACAAAACCCGGTCTGTGTCCTATGGAAAAGACGGTACAAATGCACTCTGTGACCAAGGGATTCTTACTTCGGAAAGCTGGGTTCGCTTTACTGGCAGCGGAGGAACAGCCATTCCTAACAACCCGCCACAGGCATACCATTGTGGAACAAATTCTCCAGGTTGGATCCGCGGTGCCCATCCTGCTGTTGCTGAAGGGGCTGTGCAACGACAACTTTGCTATCGTCATGACGACCGTAAATGTTATTTTAAACATTATAAAATTTCAATTCGGAACTGCGGCTCGTTTTTTGTTTACAAACCACCAGATCTGACACAGTGTGATCTACGACTTTGCACCGGTGTGTATTAAGTTAATCAAAGTAATCATTGTTTCTTTTCGGCCTAATATAACATTATTATATCAGTTAATATGGTTTGTAAGCCTGCTTACGTTACCGAGGATCACATAACGAAAAGTAAAGGAAAAGAGCATTGAAGGAGTAGAAAACATACACTTTTTTATCTATCAAAACGCAGGATGGACCAAAGACAAAGTAGAGAAAGCTCGAAGAACGAGAAAAAACGATTGCAATAAACTAATTTAAAATGGTAACGTAAAGAAATAGAAGCTAAACGAGTGAAAGAAACCTAAAAAAGATACATGTTTACTAATATGAACGAGAGGGAACACTAACTACTCATTAAAAGCGGTCACCTCTAAACTGCGCTTTTTTTTATCACAATTTCTTTAATTTTTAGTAACTTCGTTTTGTATTTTCAGTTGCTAGATAATAAGTTTTGTTTTCCAATCACAAAAATGCGTAGGGCTCGTAAAGATTGGCGTTAAGCAAGAGACCAAAATGTTAGTGTTGATGCTCACTTTAACGTATCGTTTTTTCCAATGAGTAAACACGTATTTTTTTAAAAATCAATTAACCAAAATATTAACTTATGAAATATGAAATAATAGGTTTCATTTATTGATAATCTGATGACAATAATTTGGCACAGAAATCCTCGACGAATGCTTTTATCACCCTGTTGGTGTTCCCAGTCCCTGCGTCATCCCTGACAATCAGATGACAGCTTCATCTCATTATGGAGACGAAAAACACTCTGCGAAGTATGGACGACTTTTTGATAAGTCAGGTTATGGTTGGTTTCCAAAGAACAATAGAAAAAAAGACTGGCTTCAGGTTGATCTTGGTAAAGAGTTTCAAGTGTGTGGTGTTGCTACCCAGGGAGGCAATTACCATAAAGAATGGACGACAGCTTTCAAGCTTCTTTACTACTCTAGCGATGAAAATAATTTGAAAACTTACCAGAATGGAAATGGCGAGGACATGGTAAGTTGTATTATTACTTAATCAGTTTGCTCTTTAAAAGTAATTCGGCTTTCCCTTCCCTCCCACTATCACTGCTTTAAAAAACTCGCTCCACTACCACATCCCATCGCCAGAAATCAAGGACGTTTCGAGCCCGCTAACAATTATCAGCGGTATATCGTATTACACTCCGGAACAATAGGATATCAAGAGAATTCAATATGGCGGCGATCACGGCTCGATCTGCAAAGAAGCGTGTTTCGTACAATGACTTATACAATTTGAGCACCGCAGATCTTCTATTTAATGAAGAGAAAAAGAAAGAAGATCTGCAAGTAAATCTTTGGGAATTTTCGAGGCAGAGCGATGACTTGATGTCAGAATTTTTATTTGCTTTTATTAGATTTTCGCGCCAACACTACTGAATTTGCATTTAATGCCTGGCATATTTTTATTCCGAAAAGGACCTGAGAACTAATTTATTTCCCAGCAAGAACATAAACAAATATGGCCGATGATTCGAAGATCAGCGTTGCTCGTGTTTAACCATTTCAGTCATAGTTTTCAACATGGCATCTCGTCACTTACTCAACATGGAAAATAAGGGATATTCTGGCGCGTTGGGAAGTTTTTTGATGGGGGAAAATGACAATTTTACAGGATATTTTGACGCTTCGAACTCAGTAGCAGTCAATTCGATCGAGAGCAGTTGACTTCATTGCTGCACTTTCCTGTAATAGGCGAGTGTTTGGGATGGAGAACGACGGATTTTGAAGAACTGTATGGCGACTTAGGTCAATAAACAATGACAAAAGAACTGGCTCGGGAAGTAAGTTGTTTTTATTTTTCGAGTCACTTTGAGGTTTGATGAATAGCAGAATCAATACTGAATATGACTCGATCGAGAGCAGACGGGACCATGAGCTCCTGATTGTTATATTTTAGAAATTTTACAAATTTCCATACAGTTTCCTATATTATTTGTACGCCATTATGGACGAAATGCGCAAGCGCGCCCGCCATCTTGTCCAATATTTCTGCCAATGCAGTGAGATGCAAAACTGCGACCAATCCGAAGTTGAGCGGACGTATTTTTTTCCTCGATTAAGGCGGACTGCCTTTTTTCACTTTGAACTCTCCTTGTAAACATTCGAGATGATATTTTCCTTTGCTCTTTGTTTTTGTTGTGATAACTTTGGTAACCCAAATACCTCTCAATCATAATAAGCTCAACCTTTATTTTTTTGCGGTAATTCGCATTATTAACAGTCTATGACAGATCAGTCATGAGTCACTTCATATAAATTTCTCACAAAGGTTACAGCGAGTTGTTAGTACATTAAGGCGAAACTGACAGATTCTGAAAGAAATTCGGGATGCAAAAGTAGCAACATCATAGGGAAATTGCATTAGAAAATTTTCCAAATTATCTCTGACCGGCCAATTGTAATACCTCAAAGAGTTCTCAATATATACGAGATCGCTTATTTCAGAATAAGATATGTTCTTTGTTTTTCATTATTTTCCTTAGGAATTTGACAGATTCGGTAAAAATCACGGTGTAGACCGACATAAGCTGTCAAGACCAGTAGTTGCAAGATACATTCGCTTCCATCCAACAAAGAATGATGAGTGGGACAGTCTGAGAGTGGAGGTGTATGGCACCAAACAAGGCGAGTTATTAACCTAGTGTTGGTCCATTTCTGCTAGTGCTCCTTCTCATCAAAATCGATGGAGTACTTATGGGCATTATACTCTAACAAGAAGATGGTCAAATTTTGGACTAGTTCATTCTACGAAGGAAAATAAATTTTTTCTCTTGAATGCTTAAAAATACTGTCATACAATCACCCAATAAATCAAGACAAGGTTTTTTGGCTTTAATTCATTTTGTTTAAAAATCGTTTATAATGAAAGAAGCTACTACTCCAAGCATTGATTTCATGATAGTTAATCTAATTGCGCTTAACTTGCGTGAGACTTGAAAAATCAATTTTTCCTCCTTGACTTCTTTTCTTTCGAACTGCTTGGAATTCCTAGAACTTCCCCATAGTGATTCGTGTTTGCAAGTGTGGGAATCTTGCAGTAACAGTTCTCCGCTCAAAAAGTTCCAAGCTTTCCGCTGGGCGTTATCTGTTAACCATAAATGCAATATGCTATTTTCCCTTCCTAACAGCTGATGATATACCAGCTGAATGCAGTCCATGTGTGTACAAGGAACTTGACGAGCTCAACAGATACTGGAGTCATGATAATCATAATCACGTAGGCTGTGATAGCGATACGATTTCCGATAACCAATGGTACCGCTTTACCAGGGACGCCGGTATAATGATGGCGACTTATTGCATTCCACGTTCAAGTTGCAATACCCATATGGCCGGCTGGATTCATGGAAGCCATCCTATCGGAACTTACGAATTAGTGTCGACAACTGTATGTTTTCACGGGAACCAAAACTGTTGTCATATCTCGTATCCAGTTCAGATAAGAAATTGCAGCGGTTTCTATGTATACAGGTTGCAAAAGCCGAGTAAATGTGATGCTCGTCACTGCGGTGTCAACGGTAAGGTTTGTTTTATTACTCTTTATCATGAAGAAGGCTCAAAAGCGTCAAATGTCTTAAAAGTGAAGAATTCAAGTCATTGAAAAAGATTTTCAGTCATATAATATTTTTGGACTTAGGGTGGACGACTAACTTACAAACCGTAGACGGGTGCCCGGTTGCGAAATACTAAATCCACCTTACGGAGTATGACTGCTGAAGAAAAATTCTCCAATACCGAAAAATTGATAAATAGAGATTAATACATGAGCGCACGTAGATATAGAATTTCTCTTTGAGTGTTCACGAGTGAGCGCAGTGCACGAGTGAGATGTCGATTTGAACACGAGAAGAGAAATTTCACATCTACAAGTAACCATGTATTATTTTGTACGATATTTTTTCACGTGTGTTGTTACAGCTTTTCTCAGGGCTGGAAATCCTTGTAAAACACCATAGTTTATATGATAAATATTAATTTTAGGCGAAAATGATGCATGTCGAGTTACAGATGGTTCAACACAGTGTTGTCAAGATGGTTATGAAGGAAATCCGTGCAGCGGTGAGTGTATTTGTGGAAACTGAGTTATTTTTATCAAATAAGAAAAATTTGGAGACATTTCTCAAAAATTTTATCTTGACAGATATCGACGAGTGTTCAACAACGACCCACAACTGTAACTTAAACGCAAATTGCGCCAATACTGACGGTTCTTTTAAATGTGTTTGCAAAGAGGGTTACACCGGTGATGGAATGTCATGTAGCGGTAAGACTCACGAGTTTTATCAGTGGACTAACTGGGAAAAGTACATAACTGCTCAAACAAGTGAAGAATTAACTGAGACAAGGAATAAAACAAAACAGCGATTAATAAATGAATGAATGGCTAAACAAATAGCTGTTATATATCTCCTTCAACTTGTTCCTTAGGCCTTTTAGCCCGCCTTAATCAGAGCTTGAATCTTCGATTCATCATTTTTATCTTGACAGATATCGACGAATGCTCAGCGAAGACACTTACCTGCCACTTAAATGCTTTTTGCACCAATACGAAAGGTTCTTTTAAATGTGTTTGCAAGGAGGGTTACACTGGTGATGGAAAGTCGTGTAGCGGTAAGACTCGCGAATTTTATCGGTGGACTAACCAGGAAAAGTACATATGAGCTAATATAGATTACTTCATGGGGAGGCACGCGTAGGGCATTTTCGCATGAGTTGGTAAACAACAACAACAACAACAACAACAACTTTTATTTCAACACGATGGTGATTAAAGCGTTGCCGCTTATGGGGTCGTGCATTTAAACTAAAACCTAAGGAATAAAAATATATTAAAATCGTCTCAATAATATAGAAAATCGTTATCATTATTGTGAGGCATTGTTTGCGGAGATTCCGCCTGAAAGTCTAAGTTACGTAATTTGTTCGATTTGGAGGCCATTCTTGTATAGTTCTTGACATTGGATGTGTTTGCGAGATCCGGGGTAAGGAGATTCCACACAATAGAAGCCCTAAATGCTATTGAATTTTTCATAAAATAAAGTATCAGAAATCGAACGAGTGAGCGCAGCGAGCAAGTGAGATTTCAAATGAAACACGCTTCTTTTACTAGCAAAAACACAGCTCTAAATGCGTAAAGTTTTTCATTGAAGTGGTGGGCTGTCGTCATCATAAGACGATTCAAGAATTCGTTTGATTCGTTTGTAGCTTCGTTCGTAGAAATTGAACCATCTGCACAAGTGCCTGGTAACTCGTTCACAGTGTCTATAGTTCTGTTGAATTGTCCACCATAGGAAACATCGAGGTTTTTATGAACGAAGCTTCCGCTCTGGCCGTCAAAGTAGTGGTTGCAGAAATGCGTGAAGCATTGTTCTTTGCGTCGCTTGCGGCATTGCATGTTGAAGGCTTTGAGCTCAGCATCAATGACATATTCTTCTGCTGCTATTTCGAAACAGAGCAGTAGTTGTTTACAGTTTGCACATTACGGTGGCCTGAAAGCTGCATGATGTGAGTGGGGAGAACATTGCCGTCGTTAAGTTTCTGTATCATCGTTTTCATTGTGCTGTGGTTCGTGAGCTGTCGCTTCTTGTCGAGACCAGCTTTGTTGGCCTAGTTTTCATTTAGAGTTTAGTTTGTTTACCCCCATTGCACTTGCATTAAACTAACATCTACCAGAATCCTTTGAATAGTCAATACTGAGATAGAAAATGGTCTCGGTGATAAGCATTGAGTTTGGTCTTCTCTAGCGATAAATTTTGTAAACAAACACGGGGTTTCTCTCGTCTGGCCCTTGTTGAGTAGCGAAAGCTTGAGGCTTGACTGATCTGATATTTCGAGTTTCCGCTCCAGTTCGTGTTTTGATCTGTCTTTCAGAATATTCTAAATATTCAGTTCTTTCCACATCTCTGATGAGTTGTATATCCCCCCAAGTCATTTTTCGGTGCTCGTCGCAGCCTCTCAACCCGAAATGAATCGAGTTCATAAACCACAACGTGTTCAACAAAGCCTCAGCAGTTCTGATTCCAAGCAGGTTTTTCATATATAGAATGATGATCTCCTCGTCTTTTATGGCCTATGCTGCGTTCGGCTTGTTGCCCTTCCCTTTCTTTTTCAGTTACCTGCTTCGAGCCTCCAAAGCTTTTCCAGTTTTTTCAAGTTCCTCCATTATGTTCTTTGGATATTTACAAGCTTTCAAGGTACGGTTGAAGCTGGAATGAAATCTTCTCAGTGAGGCCTGAGGGCTCGAATTCGTCTCCGTCTTTTCTCTTGACAGTTATGATAAATTCCCTCAAGAAATCATTTAGCTGCTTTATCTGGCGGAATCTCTTCTAATTTTCTCTCTTCATCCTTTCCTTTCAAAAGCCATTAAAATGAAAATGTCTCTCCGCGATTTTGAAAGCGTGTTCTTGTTTTCCTGCTTCTGAATAAACTCATTTACGGGATTTTCTAACGCAGAAGATAGTAAACTTAAGGTTTCGCCCGTCTCAAAAAGCTAATTTTCGGAAATAAATTTGACTACAGAGCTCCAAACCCCTTTCAAAATTTTAAAACAACCAACGACGAGGCTAACTTTCAAGTAAACTAACGGGGCAGGAAGAGGAGAAGGCGCGAAAACCCAGTACTTTAGACATGTTCTTCGTGATTGGACGAAACGTTTTCTCCACACGTGAAATTGTCGTTTCTCTAATTTGATTGGCTGTAAACAGCTTGGAGCTGGGTTTTGAGGCAACAGATTTCGTACTGAAAATCTCAATATGTATGAAATTAATAACTTTACTCAAAAGAGTGAAGAATTAACTGAAAAAAGGAATCAAACACAAGAACAATTAATAAAGGGGAAATATTTGTCACTTCTTCCACCTCTTTTTTGTTGTAGAGTATGCGACTAGTTTTCAAAGAGTAACAAGAGAAGGAAAAAGTATTGTATTTCTGAAAAACATACAAGTATTGTCAAAGTTATGCTAAGGGAGTAGACCTCATGTGATAATCAACCGGTTTGTTTTAACGTAAATTTCATTAGTCTCCAATGTAGAGACATGTGTATGGTTAACTGCTTTATGTTAAAAAAAACAGGATTCCAAAACGATGAATTTCATTTTTATCACCTGCTCAGCTTTTTATCATTTGAAATTCTTTAGATTGTTCCCCGAACTCTTTTCCATATGTTGGATTAGAGATGAACTCTTAAACTAATTAAGAGTTAATTAACAGAAACAAGGCAAATGACCAAATAAATAAATGAGTGAGTAAAAAAATAATTGTCAAATATCTCCATGGAGAACTATTAAGCACCTCTTTCTCAGGTTAACCTTGGACAAAAGTAAAAACTAAGGTTTACTCTTATACATGGACCTTAGAATCTTAATCCTAGGTCTTACTAGGAGAAAAATGTGTTTGCTTGGATTGTCCTAATATCAGAATTAATCTAACATTATTGATGATTATGCGACTAATTTTGAATCGCAACAAAACAAGGAAAAAGTTTTTTTCTGTGAGTCACAAAAATATTGTCAACGTTATACCAGGAGTTTATAATCTCTTGTTCATACAAAGAAACAGACCTTGCCATCCACTTTGTGTTAATCTTAATTTCAGTAGCTAATGATGTATTGTAATATTTATAGTTCATTGCTTCACGTATAGAAAAACTTACAAAACGATGAATTTCATTAATTCTGTTCACTGATCTTGCTTTAGGCCCACACGAAAGTTCTTGTCTTGACTAACGCAGTCAGAAGTTGACTCAGTTGATCGAAAGCATTATGATTAAGTACTTTGTTGTTCAGATCGAATATATAAGTAGTCAATACACAAGCATTTTCTTTCGAGTTTACTTAAAAGAGAGTAAGGAGAAGAGAGAAAAGACAATAGAAAAATAGAGAAAAGAGAAGATTAGAAGAATGTAGACAATGTGCAGAATGGTAGAGTCAGAATTCCGCAGTTGAAGGAGAAGTATCCAGTGAGAATCAAAATGTGAGGACCTAAGAGATTAACCGGAGTTACACTGAATGAAATAAACTTGGATGTAAATGGAATTGTGTACTGGAAAACCGAGTAAGAATTAAGAAAGCAGCAAAAGACAGTTCGAGAATCTTGATGCCTTTTTTGTCGGGTGCGGTGGAGCGCCCGGTGAAGGAGCTGTAAGGAGCTCTTTTTTCACTTTCTTTTAGGTTGCTTGCCGCGATACTCTTTCGCCTTTGAGATTTTGTGCTCTAGATTTCGTTAGCATTTAAATTTCCCATAATATTTATGAAATCTTAATTGGTAATAGGTTATTCGTCTTGAGGTGTTTATATTCTTCATTCTAGCCTCCTAAAAGACCCTCGAAGATAATGCACTGCTTCTTTTGCGGAATCCGAGCTTTACAATTGTCGCTTCCGGGACTATGGTCATACCTATTGAGTGCAAATAAAAATATATCGTCACCTTCTAATTCGAGCGTCACTTCCTGACATTATTCGTTGGGTCACTCACCAAGAACAACGTCTTTGATGTTCTTTTACCGCTCTCCCCCTTCCATTGTTGTTAATTGTCAATGTTTCTTTGCCATTTTGCAGAAAAACATTCAAAGGGGCAAAGGACGCAGGAAGTGCCCTAAATAAATGTTTTTGGGAGTTTTGCTATCATTTTCTATGATTTGTATTCATTACTTATATTATTAGAAAAACCATCCCGTTTTATCATTGCTCATGACGCCCCATTTATTTTCAAGTTCGCCAATTTTTATCTTGGCAGATATTGACGATTGCTCAGATAACAGCAATGATTGTGATCCACTTGCGACTTGCACCAATACTAATGGTTCTTTCAAATGCGATTGTAAGGAGGGTTATTACGGTGATGGAAAGTCATGCAGTGGTAAGTTTGAGGACTTGGTGGTTGACTAACGCTAAGAAAAAAAATGTGGAACTAAAATTAGATTACATTTAAAAACATCCAACTGTAAAACGAATAAATATATCAAAAAAAGAAATAAATCATTCAATAAATAGGCGTCAAATTTGCTTGCCTATGCAATTCGCCATTAGTTTCCTTTTCTGATAATTTTATGAATTTGTACTTTATAATATATGTATATATCAACTGGCAATCTATGAGATGTTTGTTCCTATTGTCCCAGTTCTGCTTTCATGACGCGACTGCTTAGCCAAATGATGAAAAACTTGTTTCTCAACGACAGATCTAGACGAGTGTTCAATAGGAGACCATGACTGCCATAGATATGGTGTTTGCCATAACGTGATCGGATCCTACACTTGTTATTGTTCTTGTTCTAAAAAACAAAAAGAGGCAATTCCCACTTTCCAAAAGAGCTGTTTATCAGTGTGGTCCAGATAAGGCGGCCATCACTATTTCTGATCTTAAGCATTTATACCTGTAAATCTACCGATGCCAATGATTTTGACCTGAATTGAGAAGTAGTGTTGTTCTTTCGATCTAGAAATCAAAAGGTACTTTATAAAGTTCCTAGTGACGCATTCAGATATTTGATTTTTCCTCCATTATTTTGTCAAAAAATGGAAAACACGATCTTCTGCGATTGTTTTGTGTTCTTGGTTTGCTTGCCATACATTCCCTCTATTTGGAACCTTGAGAATCTTATCAGACTTCTCAAACCTTTAGCTTCTCAGATATTTTGTGTCAGTCTAAAGTAAATTTGAGATTTATGAACTCCGTGGTTCAATCTTGCTTTAAATGCCTACTTGCTTTCTTATGAACCCCACAGTATTAATGAATTGTTTGTATGTCATTGCAGCTTGTCCAGAACATTCCGTATGCATCGAAATATCACCCAATGTCTGTCTTGGATGCTGGTGTAAATACTATTACCCTGGACGTCCAGCAGTTGATCCGTGCAGAAATCAGACCGAAAGTAATACATGAAAATTGAATTAATATAATTTTATAAGAGCATAATTGGCACAGGCGCCATCAAACAGATAAGGAATTTTGTTCCACGTGAGATACTTCTCACTATTTGCTACTCATTAACTCACAGTCATTTCGATTATGTGAGGATGCTGCTCAAACGGACTTTCTCAGAAATTACTTAAGCTTTAGAACCGTGCGGAGCGTATCATAATCTTCTCTTATTATGATAATGATACTAATGAGATTTTAAGTATTTTAAATTGGAGCAAACTTTTTCATCAACGAGCCGCAAGTAAAGCAATAACGTCACCGCAAGCGACTAGACTCCGAAGTACTTGAGTTCTCGCTTTTGACTGCGTATTATGAAGCCTTGAAGAATAATCTTAGAAATTCTGAATGCAAGCTATCCGTTTCACAGCCCCGCACTAATTACTGTAAACGAAGCGGGGCCGTGTTATGGAATGGCCTGCCTATAGAGATAAAGCAATCGAACTCTCCTCTCAAAATGAAATTGAAAAACCACTCTTTCCAAAGCGAGATCATTAAGCACTACCTTATATATACATGGCATCCTTGTAAAGAATGTCAAGTAGCTAGCCTTTTCTTAGTTAGTGTAGTTACCGTTTTTTATTCTTTGAGAATGTACCTGAATGAAAACAATGTTGTTAAATAGAGTTCTTACTTACTAACTTGTTTTAAAGACAAACTTCTTAGGGAATATTGGCCCAAGGCCATTTTTGACCGAGTGCCAATATTCCCCAGTATGGCTCGAGAAAGTTAGGCTATTAAATAGTTTACTATATGGCACTCAGAGCACACATGTTTATTTTGAGTTTTCTGGCGTTTACGAACAAATTTACGCGGCTTATGAACGTTCCCACGGAAACAATCATATTGGCAAAATACGGACCATGTATGAACTGATCAGAACGCTTGGATCTACCTCAAGACAACCTTGCCATATAATAAAATCACTTTTTCTAGAGAAGCAAAAACAGTTCGTTTAATGAATTAATGATTCTGTTGTAAAACAAAATGTCCGCTAAGTGTGAATGGCGTCTCTTCTGCTTATTGCCGTAAGACTTCAGGCGTAGTTTTGAATTTCAATTTTAACTTCTCTTTCTTTTTTCATTTTAGGCAATTCGGGAAATTCAATTGACTCAATAGAGGTTTCTATCCATGATACGAACACGCAGCCAAGTACACCAATGAAGTTTAGACGAGACCAGACTAGAATGTTGGTCGCGTCTTTAAATATCAAGAACAAGAAATTTCCTCCTGAAAAGGTTTCGTTTTGCTGGAAAATTAGCGGACTTGTTCTTCCGCCTTTTCGCACTTTTGTGCATAATGGGACAGAGGTGATCTTAAACGACACTCTTGAAATGAATCACACTCGGACAGAGTTGATCGTGAACGACACTCTTGAACTGAACATAAGTCCAAAATTACTGTCGACAGGACTTAAACTGGTAACATTTGAGCTGCAAGGAGTAAACGAGTCTTCATTGACTGCTCGGGACTTCGCTTTCATCAAGGTTGAGAAGGCACCTCTGGTAGTCACCATTGCAGGAGGAACTGAAATTATCCGATCAAAACAGAGACCAATTTCTTTGGATGCCAGTTCTTCTTATGACAGCGACTCTAGCAGTGAAACTTTCCAAGGAATGAACTTAACCTTTGACTGGTCTTGTTTGATAAGAGCAAATTCTTCCCCCGTCCCCGGAGGCAATTTTACATTGTCTAAAGTCGCTTTTCGAGGCTTGAACACCATATTCAATACACTTGTCGCCGCGGCTGCTGCTGTTGGAACACTCTTTCAGTTGTCAGATGATGGTGTTGTTCGTGAAAGAATCGGGAGACCAGAAGCTTCCCTAGATGCCAGAAACATTAGTAACAACCAAACATACTATGTGGTTCTGACTGTAACCAAAGATAACCGCACAGCAAGTGCCATGCAGATTGTTCATGTTCATAACGAAGACTTACTCGAGATTCGTATTATGTAAGTATAGTATATATGCAGATGCAAAGTCGTTGATGGTTAAAGAAGCCCGGTTGGAATCCTTACAATCCAAGACCAGAACAGTCTTCTTTCCTAAACTTAGTGCTCAGAACGAACAACAATAAGTATTTTTAATTCTTAACTCTACTGATCCCCGTCCAGGGCTTATTTGTCGTAGGAAAATTTGTTGACTCATATGTTCAGTTGGATATGTTGGTAGACTGGTAGACAGACAAAAGCACAACCAATGATTTGGAAAAGGGGTTGGAATGATTGTGTATTTAAAACTACTTTATGAACGAACTTAGACATGACATGTATATGGTTACCTGCAAATACGATTGATCCCAACGCAATACAAAATGGTCATGTTCACGGCACAGATGCACTCGAAATTTGTATCATGTAATTACATAATATGGATACAGGGTAAACGCGGAGTAAAAGAGCAAGGTTGGCCTGTGTACCACCTGAAAGCAGATCAACATCCCTCCCAATCTTCATTGCGCAGAATGAAAGCTTATACAAGACATTTAACAATTATTCCATAAACACGCGTTAACTATTAGATGGTAAATAGCCAACGAAGCGTGTAGTGCCGTTGAGTTGGCTATAGCCAGTCTCGTATCCCACAACGAAATAACTTTTTTAAATTAATTTTCATTAAATCTTTAAAGTTTGGATATTTGAAGCCTTTTTTTCAGCAACGCAACTGTTAGCGTAGTGTATTTCCATATAAGCTGACTCAGGATATGAGCTAATAGCCGGATCTGAGTGAACCAAACAGAAGTTGAAAATTTAATAATTTATGGTATATCATTCCCCGCTCGGGAAAAATAATTCGTAATATTTGCTGTATAGAAATAGGGACAATTACCCCTCTCACATCAATGGCCCCCCGCGGTCCCAAAAAGGCTTAATCGTATATCTTGGTCTAATGGTAGGTACGGAAGAAGGCAGAAGTAATCATTTCAAAAGGAGTGGCGTGGTTTTGTATCTGAATCGTAGCTATTACAAACTTAAAAATGATAAACATGTTTCACCGCAATTAGGGACCATCTTTACTCGGTAACCAGATTGAAGGACGAATAATGGGGATTTGATAGACAAACATTTTTTTTTTCTTGCTTAGGTGCACCATGAACTGTGACTCACCAGCCAGGGCATCATCTCGTATCTCCCTGAGAACTGATTGCATTTCAAAACGTTGTCCTGTGTCCTTTATATATAGCTGGAGCCTGTTTAGAAATTATAGAAATGGTTCTCATCCCCAATGGTCTCCTCAGACTGACTTTCATTCTCTCTTGAGTACAAAAGTGGATTCGAAAAACCTTGTTATCAAAGAACAAATGCTTGCAACCGGCGCCTCCTACAGAGTCAAGGTGGACGTTAAATCTCCGAACGGATCATTTGGGTGGGCTGCATACCAATTTGACACATTGGCGGTTCCATCAGGAGGAAAATGTAATGGCAAACAGTTGGATAAGAAAGATGTAGGATCTTGGGTTATTATAACCTGTCAAGGCTGGAAAGATGAAAACATGCCTCTCAGCTATGAATTCTTCCAAGAGTTAGAAGATGGAGAGCTCGATATGCTGTCTTATGGAGTTTGGCCCCACAGTATTGTTCACATACCACCTTCAGATAAAGACGTCGTTAGTTTTAAAGTAGCAATAGTTAACGTCGAGGGAGCAGCGTTTACAACAGGATTTTCTATCAAGGTATTATACTTTGACATCTAAAAAATTATTTCTAAGCGTTTTTTTAATGATTCTGGTAGTTCTCATTGCCAAATAAAAAAACCAAGCCACGTTTTATCACTGGCCATAATTTATATCGCAGACAAAAAAAATTCACTTGTCTTGTGAAGAACTTCAGCAACGGTGCATTACCCATACGAACAGTTAAACATCTCAAATAAAAATTAACGCATTTGTGAGGGATAAATTACATGTGAACATCATACTTGCTATTTTACTAAATAGATATTTATTCCCATCGCAAGTCTGCTCAAATATAGAAACTCAATTCCTTGTTTTCTTTTCCTTTGTTTTTTTGCAGCTAAATCAGTCACATTCGTTGTTAGAGGAAGACGTAGACTCTGAAGACCTGCCGAAAAAAATTTCACTTATGGATAACTATTTTGCTCTGGGAGAAGTCAATAAGGCAATACAAGAAGCAGACACACTTCTCTTCTTACTCAAAATGATAGTAAAGCAAGTCAACGAAGATGAGGGATTATTTCGAGTAAGTTCAGAATACCAGATATGACATATGTGGTTATGGAGATATAGTTATAATAAACATTATAAGATTGTGCTTGTCGGTGTCTATAGCGGCAACCTGTGGCTTCTTGCATTGGCCACACGCATACCAATATCTCCACGGATTAACATAATAAATCGCAAAAGTTTCCCACTGCATAAAAGTAAAACAATTGATCAAGATTGCAATATTTTTGTAGGATCTATCTACTATAAAGAGCTCATCCTTTTTGAGTTAGCTGCAGAAATCCAACTATACGTATCAGTCGCGATAATTGGCACACAAACACGTTTGTTTATGGTTGGTTTCCAATCTCATTCTTTTCTTATGGGTTGAGGTCTATAGTATCGCATGGTTGTTTTATGTGAGCCCTCGTGTAATAAGTAATTTAAATCCCTGCTGCAGATGAAAAACCACATTATTTCCAAGATATGCGAAGTACGGACTGATAGACTGGAGCGGTTAGTCCAGGTTGCTGCTATTCTGAACAAGGCTACAAAGGGTGACGCCCTTGTCTCACACAATGCAACGGTAAGATACTGAACCCATTACAAATTGTCTTCATGAAAAAATACCTTTTTAATTTTCTGATCTATGACAGTTTTATGTTACAGGAGTTTGAAATATTTTAAAACATAATTGAAATAAAAACTAACTAATGTTTTTAACACAAACAAGTTTGCGTAAGAAAGAAGTCTGACGCACAAACTCAAACTACACTCATCCCTAATTGTAGAGCGCTTTATTGGAGAAACTAGAGGATTTAACCGAACAGATTTCAACCCAAACTGCACAGGGACGCAATTCTGAAACTCGCCATATTCGAGAGGGATATAGATTGCTACTGTCTTGTATTACAAATATCATGGATTCCAGCACTAACAGACTTCTCACAGCTAATCTGTCTGCTAACTTTGATGAAGACCAAGAGGTATTTCTTAAATAGCATGTCTCTCGACACTTTAATTTAGGACCACAGTAAAGGCAATTCCCCTATGAAATGAAGTCGACTTTTTTAGTAGAGGAAACAAAATAAGTATTTCTAAGACGTGGTTTTTAGGTCAGTGAAGTTTAGATTCATGCGGACAAAATTTTAATCTTACCAGATTGATCGCAAAGAGGAGTCTGGAAAAAAAATTGTGAAATGCAAATATAAAAAAAGGCCAAACTCTATCAGAACTGTATCAGAAATAAAATAATGGAAAAGATACAGTGTAATCACGCATCAGTTAGACTTTCACCTCGCCCAAAGGAAAAGGAAATTAAAATTTAACCACTCTCCTCTGCCATTAAGATAATATCAATCTTAGGAAAGCACGAAGAACAATAGAAAAAAAACCCAACCCCTTACCTTCAAGTCAAGGAAATCGTTTTTATCCTCGAGACCCACGGGCAATTCTTCCCAAAGGCCTTCGTCCAGGTTATCCCTCCTCTCCTTCATAACACGTTCCCCTCCCAATGATCCGGAATGATAAAAGGTGTAAGTTTCTGAAGAAACTTGGGTGCTGCGTCGGTGGGAGAGTTTAACAAGGTAATTTAGTATTATCAACTGAAATGAAAACATAAATTGACCACCTTAAAGAGTTTAAAGGCTGACGTTTCGAGCGTTAGCCCTTCATCAGAGCGATTGGAGGAATTGCGGGTTGTGCGTGGGTTCATATGTAGAAAATGGAGCTGCGCTATTGGTGGGAATATGGTGACGAGAAAACAATAATAAATATGGAATGATATATGAACTCCTCCTCAGATAAGCATGGGAAAGACAGTTTCGGCCCGATGCCAAAAGCTGACAGAAGTGATTACCAACGCATTGCTATCGTTCAAGTTGCCCGGAGAAGAACACAGCACCATTCGCAATGGACTTCAATCGACGACACTAGGCAAAAAAGAATCAAGTGACTTGAGTCTTTTAGAATTCAGCGACGGAGAAGCCAGTTTTGTGTTCCCTTATCTAGATGAAGAAGGGTTGAAAAGTTGGATTGGTGACGTCTCTGAAGTGGGAATAGAGGTTAGTAATTATTTCAGCAAATAAAGTGGGAAAATAATCATCGATAATATCATGATTTTGAGTACAATTTGGTGTTACTAAGCTCGAGTAAATTTTTCAAAGAGAACAAAATTGCATGAGCTGGAAGGGTAAGTGCTAGTTACACCAAAGTGCGAGAGAAATCATGTTATTACTTGTATATAATGTACATAAAGAAAACGTCACAAAAAGTCAAGACAGACGAAATTTTGAAAGCGAGCGCGAACCTTCATACCTTCATAACAATCCATACAGATTGACAAGTAGGATTTATTGCATTATGCAAGATACGTTTCTTATATCCTATCTCGCTCACCATCAAGATTTCCGTAGTAGACGCAAAATGGGGAGAGGCTGCAGTTTGTACCTCTAGCTCCCTGTGCTAATGGCAAATATACCACTTTATCACTTTTTCTTCGTCCTTTTCGGTACCTTGCAGATGATCAGCTATCATTTCAACCCATTCGTGACGGACAACAGCAGCAATAGAATAAGATCAAACGTTGTCAGCCTTGTCCTAAAAGATGACACCGGGAAAGCTCTCAACACAACTGAACTGCCTTCATATATACAAATTAATATTCCAGTATCAAATTATGATCCCGGAAACAGCACTCGCTCGGATCATTTCTTAAATCCTGGAAGGATGCAATATCATGTGGTAACCGTACGGGAGGTCAATACCACCGTGAAAATGACCATTACAACTAAAACAGCTTCTTTTCTTACTGTGTATGTGAAATTTGCTAAACAGCCGACTGAGACATCTTACGATAGAGTGATTTACTCGTCTGAAGAGAGACGAGTAAACAGCACGGACAATGATTGTGCATTAGGAAAAGCGTGTACTCATAGTATCGCCTTTGAGTGCAGACATTCGGGTAAATATTACTTTGGTTTATTGGAGATTAGTGAGTCACGAGGAGAATTGCCACAGTCAAGGAGTAGACGATCCATTCTATCAGAGCGAGCCTCGCGAGAGAAGTGCGTAAAGTTTAAAGATCCTCCACCCACAGTTGCTCCTCAAAAAGAGTATGTCAGTCTTGTTCCTCAGTACGACTTTAATAGGTCACTTAATTACAGTGTACAAGTGGAAACAATCTGGTGTGCATTTTGGTCTGAGACTAAACAAAGATGGACAAACAAAGGATGCAAGGTGAGGAAAGAATACACAGAAAGCATGAAATGAACCATTAAATGCAAAAGGAAAACATCCTAAATCACATTGCATGAGTTACTCCAGCATTTTTATGCTATCTGTAGGTTTCAAAATTTAACGGAGATCTTTGGGTCACTTAAAGATTTAAACCACTAAACAACTAGTTTATATCTATAGCAACATGAAATATTGTCTTAAATTGTCATAAGTAGATTTTAAATTCCTCACGGGTATTTTAAAACGCAAACGTTTTCATTATTTGGCCGAGAATAAAGTACTCCACATACTTGCTAAAGCTCTGAATCGCCTTCAGACCCAAATCATCTTAACGTAACTGGAATTCGCGTTGCAATTTCCGTAAAAAATTTGCTGAAGGTGAGCTGAGAGAGTCTTTTTAAAAGAAAATAGCCTAACAGTAGCCGCGCTTAGGCTCTTTTAATTGAATCATAAATGAATGGACTGATTTACAGGTGAGCCAAGAATCAAACCATTCTTCTCTGAAATGTCTCTGTAATCACTTAACTGCATTTGGCGGAGACATTCTTGTTGCACCAAATACCATCGACTTTCAACTAGTCCAGCAGGCATTTGACAACGTGGATCCTGACGACCTTCTAGTCTTGATAACACTGTGTTCTACCTTTCTGGTTTACTTTCTTGTTTTGGTAAAAGCACGCACGGCTGATAAAGTGGATGCGACAAAGGTTGGTGTGGAATCAAAAAATTATCGGATCAAAATAAAACTGAAATTTTATCTTATACATTTAGATGGTCAATTTCCGCAAATAGTTTGAAAATTTAAAGCTGTATAACATTTGCATGTGAATGATATAGATGTAATCTATATCACTCATAGAACCTTTCGCTTGTAGAATACGGTTTTGAGAGGCAAGACTCCTGGTAGGATATTAAAATGGGTGAAAATTAAAAGAAGGAGTATCAGTGGGGTTTAATGTTCAGGTTGACACTTGATTTTGAAAGGTGATGAAGTTTCCCTTTATTCTCTGTTATTTTAAGGACAGTCCTCTGATACCCTTGTTGGAGCATCAAAACGGTTTTTACAAGTACGAGGTATCTATTACTACAGGTGGATGGAAAGGTTGTGGTACTACTGCCAATGTATCCATGACTCTTCATGGGACTGAAAATACCACTGACGTTATCAAATTGACATGTGACATCCCATATGACAGGAAACTGTTTGCTGAAGGCAACACTGATAATTTCTTGCTTCGACATAATATGCCGCTGGGTGAGATCTTTTGTGTGCAGATTGGCCATGACATTTCTGGCGAGGACCCATCTTGGTTTATCAGTGAGATTTTAGCTGTGGATTGTCAAACAGGTCAGCAATGGCTCTTTAGTTGTCACCGCTGGCTTGCACTAGAAAGAGATGACGGTGACACACTCAGGAGATTTTATGCAAATGACTTTAGAGAGGACGATGAATTTAAAAGAACGTTCAGTGCACTGCGAAGAAATGGTTTCGCTGACGATCACTTGTGGTTTTCAGTGATTAAGAAGCAGCCAAGGAATCACTTTACTCGAGTTCAACGAGCATCCTGCTGTTGGAGCCTTCTCATGTTGTCAATGGTAACATCTGCAATGTTTTATGAAAAAGAGGACCCATTGGAGAAGAAAATACAAATTGGACCTTTTTTACTGACTCGGAGTCAACTTATTATTGCTTTGGAAAGTGCCTTGACTGTTTTGCCTGCAAGTCTGCTGATTTTGTTCTTGTTTCGTAAAAGCGAACCTAAGAGAAATACACAAGGAAGGCGGTATCATCTGGAGAAAAGCAAGAAAAAACCATTTTGTTTACTCCCTCATTTTTGTGTGTATATTGGTTGGTTTCTCTGTATAGGTACTGCAATCACCTCTGCCCTCTTCACAGTGTTTTACTCTCTCATGTGGGGAGGTGAGAAGTCGAAACGATGGTTAGCAACGGTGGTGCTTTCGCTTACTGGAGATGTTATAATCTCCCAGCCTATCAAGATACTTATCGTATCCATCATTGTAGCCTCGCGGAGTGGTTGTAGTCGAAGGATGACGAAGGACACTAAGTCGACGAACGGACATGACGGGAAGGAACTAACCAGTGTTGTGAATCTTTCATCCTGGGATGTTGAACGTGCAAAAAAGTTTAAGAGAAACGAGAGAAGAATGTATGCTTACCTCAAGGAACTCGTGTTTTCAATGACATTCTTTGCACTTTTATTGATTGTTTGTTATGGAGAAAAAAGTGACCACAGATACAAACTAAATGCGGCCACAGAGCGCAGCTTCCAGTTTTTTGATAATATGGGCCGCTATAAGGTACGTACCCTTCGACTATAACAACAAAAGAAACAAGGGTTTATTTTCACCAGCCAGGGAAGCATGCTGGTCCTCTGTAATACGTCAATAATTCGTTTTCCGCCCGCAAAGAGTATTCGCTATGAAAATCTGATCGATTCCAAATACCTTTGAAAACATACTGACCATGATTTGGAAGAATGAAAAATGAAATGGGACATTTATCAGTTCTCAGCTGAATCATGTAGCTAATAATAAGAAGGAAAATTTCTCCAGAGTTTCACAAGAGTCCTTATTTACATTGGCTGTTTTTTTTATTAAGCAACAAAGCAGGGAAACAATTTTTCTTCAACAATCATGGACACTCTGTTAATGCAGCTATTGCAAAATTACTTTTGACAGATTACCAATACTGCTCAGTTTTGGGGTTGGATCGAGAACATTTTCGTGCCAGAAGTTTTTGTGGATGATTGGTACAACGGAGAAAGGGAAAAAGTTTCAGAATACATCGGAAATAAGCGATCGATTCTGGTCGGTATGCCTCGTCTGCGACAACTAAGGATCAAGGAAAGTAAGTCTATCATTAATTAAAAATACTCAGTTCTGGTGTAAATCTTCCATCCTAAAGTTTACCTTCGACCTATTTCATTTATTTTTGTGGACAGCAACAACCTCCAAATAACGACGGCAACGTTATACAAATATTACCTGTAGCCAGTCAAACTTCAAATTCCACCGTCACATCTTTTACGGCGTCGTGACAGATTAATCTGGAGTGATAACCTCAAAGACACAAATAACTGAAGTAAAATTCATTTTGCGTACGTGAATAAAAACCTTAATGCAAGATGAGCTCCAACAGTAAAGTAATGAAAAAAGTCATTCTGAGACTCAGAAGTGTTTTTTTTATCTCTTTACAGAATCTTGTGAAGTTCACAAACTGTTTAGAGACATAGTAACATCTTGTTTCGATTCCTATTCTTCCACAAAGGAGCAAAAAGGAACTTGGATTGACCCAAATAGCACTTCAGTGTTGTGCCCAGAAAATTGGGAATATAATGCAGACAGAAGGTTTGGCGGCTTTGATTCTTGGGGTCGTTTTGCTGTTTACAGTAGTGGAGGATACATAGCTAATTTAGGTTACAACAAGCTTATAGCTAAAAGGATTATCAACGACTTGAAAGAAAACCACTGGATCGATCGTCAGACCAGAGCTGTGCTGGTGGAGTTTTCACTGTATAATCCACCGAGTAACCTTCTTGCAGTGATGACATACTACTTGGAAGTACTTCCTTCTGGATTTGCTGGCACGTTCAAGAGCTATGGAATTTTGTCTCTGAGTGCAACAAATCCTCAAGCTCATAGCACTTTTCTACTGTTTGTTTTGTTGTTCGGCATTCTGCTTGCTTGCTCATTCGTTGTCCAATGTATCAAACTCAACCGTCAGAAATGTTCTTATTTCAAGTCGGTGTGGAATTTGTTGGATATTTTGCAGATACTCACCGCGTCATCAGCGATGTTACTGCAGTGGATGCGGACCAAGGTGGCCACAAAAACGTTCGAAACGTTGAAAGAAAACCCTTTTCTTCCAATCAGTTTTCATCGTGTCTTACTTTTGCTTGAGTATGAAGAAGTTGCCATCTGTGTTGCGATCGTGATTGCCACACTACGTCTTCTGAAATGCTTCTATTTTAACCCACAAATTATAGTTTTCACCTGGACACTTCGTAGATTGTTTAAACCTATAGCTTCCTTTATCATGGTGTTTATAATAGTAGCAATGGCCCATGCACTGTTAGGGTTCATCGCTTTTGGAGCCAATGTGGACATATTCGGCTTGGTGCGTAACGCTATTTTCTCTCAGTTTCTCATGCTTTTGGGACAACCAGTCCCACTGAATGAACTGAAGGAAACAAATCCAATACTAGGACGTCTTTTCTTTTTCACTTTCGCCTCCAGCTCGATTATCATCATCTTAAATATGTTCATCGCCATAATAAATGAATATTATGCCGACTCCAACGCTGATAAAGGAGGGGAAGATTATGAGCTCGCGCAATTCATAATTGAAAGAGTCCTGGAGACTGTATTTGGACAGAAATCTAAAAGAAAACAGGCATGGAGTAACCACGAGAATTTCGAGCCAGACTCTTTTTCAGAGAAAAGTTCTCTTAGAGGAGTTCCAGATGGCGACTCTTCCCCTGAGTGGACGCCGGTCATGTACCGCAGCTGCCCTCAGGAAATATCCAAGAAAGGAAGATCTTTAGTAAACAATAGCGAAGACTTGATTGAGTGTTCAGTTTGGGAAACTGCCGGACCCGAACATTTAATGGTGAGAAGTTCTACAAACGATACAGGATTTGCAAGAGTTAATCTGAATAAACTTTCTAGCTACGTTGCCGACGCACGACGATACAACATAATGACAGATTGGGATGCATTGGGCGATTACCATGGAGGTGAAAATGAAAAAGACTGCTGTGAAGACGAAGATGATAATGATGATGACGTTGACACTGAAATTGATTTCAGTAGCGATAGCGGTGGAAATGAGGATTCTATCAGTACTGATAGTGAATATACGGATAAAAAAAAGCCCTGAGGACAAGGAAAAAGAAACTAGAAACAAACACGTCCGTTTTGTGATACAGTGAAAAAAATTTTCTTCTTCCTCTGGTCCTTTTCTTTTATTATCATGACGAAATCTATCAACTATTGAAAATATTGATATCTATCTGCTTTCCAGCTAATGTTGTTGGCTCTTTCTTTTCGCTAGTGCATGACTTACGGCTTAATTGGCTTAATTTTTTGTCTTAGCCAGGCAAACAGCTTCTCCCGTAGGCGAGGGTAGAGGGAGTATGGATGTTTTTTTGTTTTGTTTTTTAACAACTTCATCGGGTTTTATAACAGTACTTACTACAAAAACATTTAACATAGAGACAAAAATAAACCCAAAAGGGCAGGTGCAAACGGGACTGGCGTCCCATACGAGACACTGCCCTGTAGCTAAAATACAGTAAAACACAAGAAATCTAAATTAATATAAGTTTGTGGGGCGTCGTGGCACTAGCAAATTCTAACTAGTGTCCACGTGCAGGGCCAGTCAATGTCAAAGGATGTTCTCAGACGATCAAAGAGTGTTTGTTTAACGAAAAGCTGGAAGGAGAACGGACTCGAAGAACTAGAAGAAGGAGCAATAAATAAAGTTTAACAATGCAATTAAAGTAGGAGGCCTGAAAAGTGCTCGTTTTATAGATTGGTGTTTTTATATCAGAGGAGTTCCTTAGTCTAGTTCGGCCGTGAGAAATAAAGTTTGTGAAACTTTGTACATCAAGGTGAATATGATTAAATAAGCTCTTATAAAAGAATAGCGAGTCTTTCAGTTCTCTGTCGTAGGTAAGAGAGAGTAAGTCCAGGGCAATAAGTCTATTTCTATTGGACATCTCGCCAATCCGCGTTTGTAAGATCCATTAAATAAGCTCTTATAAAAGAATAGCGAGTCTTTCAGTTCTCTGTCGTAGGTAAGAGGGAGTAAGTCCAGGGCAATAAGTCTATTTCTATTGGACATCTCGCCAATCCGCGTTTGTAAGATCCATCTGGTAGCGCGCCGCGCTGCACTCGCTCGACTTGTGCCTTCAGAGAAACCTGAGAAGGCGATCAGACTTGAGTAGCGTAGCAGAGTTGACTTGACTAGCGATAAGTATAGCGTGCGCCGGGTAGACACGCCAATTAGTAAGGAACATGTCTGCTTCAGAAACCTAGGGAGCTTGTTGGCTTTAGCGGTGATGGTGTGTATGTGAGAGTGCCAAGACAACGTACACGTAATTGTAACTCCTAGATCTTTTTCCGCAGACACTCGCACAAGTTTTGTTTGTTGTTTAGGGTGTATTCGTAAATCAAGGGGGTTTTCTTCCGCGTCACAGTAAGTGTTTTGCATTTCGAGGTGTTGAAGTTGATGTTATTTCCTTTTGACCAGTCATTCAAGTTTGCTAGAGTGGTCTGCAGGGTATCCAGTCACCTCGCCACCAAGCAGACTCGCCACCAGCGAACTCGCCACCAGCGAACTCGCCACCAAGGAACGATCTCGCCACCAACGTACTCGCCACCAAGCGAAGTCTACTCGCCACCAACCACCAATAAAGAGATTAGTCGAGGACAGTAGGATGTTTGGCTGATAAGTCTGTACTCAAACTTTATAAACGTATGTTGTCGAAAGCACGTTCGAAACCGATAAGTTTGTTCGCTTGTCTGTACTCAAACTTTATAAACGTATGTTGTCGAAAGCACGTTCGAAACCGATAAGTTTAGTTTTAATACAACTGCTATCGAGTTTCATTTCATCACTTATTTCTTCCCATGAAGTTTCATTTTCTCTCAAGTAAGTTTTTATTCCTCGCATCGAGTTTCGCAATTTCTCCTCGCTTACGTGCAAAAGACAAACACGATACGTTTCGATGTCAATGAGTTAGGAACGGAACACATCTAACACGTCGCTGAAGGTCATAATTTAAATACAGACAAGCGCACAAGCGTATCGGCTGATTTGAATTGTGCTCGTTCTAACATCCTACTCTCCTCGACTACTTTATTCTAGTTTATCTCTTTATTGGTGGTTGGTGGCGAGAAGACTTCGCTTGGTGGCGAGTACGTTGGTGGCGAGATCGTTCCTTGGTGGCGAGTTCGCTGGTGGCGAGTCTGCTTAGTGGCGAGGTGACCGGTAACCGTCTGCAGAGACAGGCAATGGCTGACGGAGCTGACGTTTTTATACAGCTTGGTGTCATCAGCGTATAACGCTGCCCTCACCTCGCCTACAGTTTCACTCAGGAGATCGTTAATAAAGATCGTGAACAATAATGGCCCTAACAGGCTCCCTTGCGGAACGCTGGGAGTAACCGGGGCCCACTGCGATGCAACGCCGTCCAAAACTACCCTTTGAGCTCGACAGGAAACGTATGACTGACTGCCGTCATGCCCACGTAAAACAAAGAGGTGAACAGTGCGAAGTTTCCTTCCCGAAACTCAAAACTAGGCATATAGGGCGACTAACAACCCAAAAATTATCGGAAATAGGTGAGGGAAGAAGTTTCCCGAACGTATTTTTTAGTCTGTTCTATAACTGGAAAACTATAACTGATTCAGCGATTATATCAAATACAGCGATTATATCAAACATTCTTAACTTGGTAAAAACTAAATAACGCAAGACATTTGAGCGAGGAGGGGCATGGCTAAGGTGATCGTGGGTCACGCACTCTCTGTCTCGTCACTCCTGACAAAAAACAAAGATAAATGAAATTCTCCGAAGCTGTTTAAGAATAATGAACACTAAAAATAGGTTATTTAAAACAACACGTTATAGACTCAACGCGAAACCTTTTGACGGCATCATAGGGCGGGCAGATTATTCCACTACGCTTTGTACAAACAAAACACATCGCCCATTGTTTCGCTATGCGGATATGCCCCGCTAATAAAATGCTAATCCTTGTCTCGGCAGGCAGTCATCCATCAGATTTAGGTACACGTCATTTAACAACAATAGCTTAGCATAAAAAATTCACCATGCGGAGCATGTTTCGAATTCGTGTTGGGTAATTCATAACATTATATTCCTCTCTGAATACCGCTTTTATTTAAGATTTCAACAACTCGTTTGAATTTTAAGCCATGTTTATGCTTTCACGAAATCGGCAACTGATCGTAATTCTATTTTTGATTTTCGATTTTGGACGATCTGTGCATTCCTCTCACACAAATCTTCATAGAATACATAGAGATAAAATTCATGAAAAACTGCTGAGAAGAACGTTGATCTCGCTGGGCAAGGTTGTGGACTTCTTCGCAAAGGAGTACAAAAAGTTTAATATCGACGGGATTTTTGGTCTTCAGGCACTCGATGGTGAGTAATGATATCTATCTAACATAATAGAATTGGCTAACCAAACTTTTAAGAACTACAAATATTTTTAAAGGATCAAATGAATTCAGCCTGAGTAAAGGGTCGTCAGATGAATACTCACATTAAGCCTTCGGGCTCCGCATCGGTGACTTCGATACTAGTCAGTAATGATAGTGATTACGTAGTGTGGGTCATCGTTTAAGCTTTATTAAAGCAGCACAGATTTGCTATCTTAATTTAAGATTTCAGCGGTGACGTATACCTGTAAGCTTACATGAATTCGTGCCGACAATGTCGGTTCTAATCACAGGAAAATTCAATTTTGCTACTATGGTAAACATAGACTACGTAAATTAATCACAGTTCAGCTTGCACTTGTCAGAAATCGCAAAAATTGTTTTTCATTCAGAGATTTTAATTTAAATAGGGGATAACGAGAAGCTCTGAATATCGCATTACCGCAAAAAGTACCGATAAACACCATGTCACTGCACAAAAAGTTGACAAAACACCAACACCGCAAAACTTTTTACACCCCAGCATGATTTACAAAAACAACCGGACACAAATTGCGAATCCATACGACAAAATTGCATGAACTGCGAATAAAGCCGATGTACAGCCAATAATCTAGGTCTGTTCGTATCGGTTCCTCTATCAATATGGTGATTTCAAGAGCCTTTTTTTTGAAGTTCGTAACCCTTCTTTAAAATCCTGAGCTATTGGCATATTCGCGATTTTTGCCTCCAAAATTAACCAAATTTAGGGTCGGGGAGGATCCTCGAAACAAAAGATTAAAACAGCGCAAGTGTGTCAATGTTACACCGTAAAAATAATACGGCATGAAAAATGAGTAATTCCAAAAAAACGCAAATCCAAACCTCTTCCGCTTTGAGATGAATTTACGATGTTCCGAATCAGAGTAAGTATAAACATATTTATTTACGTATTTCAGTGAGGGTGGGTGAAAGGCAGTTCCCTATTACCATAAGCGGCATAAGCAGAAGCCCAAACAAAAAGAAGATTGTGTAAAAGCGGTTGTTTCATAAAGAGAACGACTCGGATACAATCAGAAGTATAAGAAAATGATCCTGTGTGCTTGTGTGAAGACTTTTCCTAACTGCTGGTGGGTCAAATTTTGTGCCTGCTGGACCACATGGGAGTTAACGGCCATGTAGCATACAATTTAGCGAAGAAATGACGACTCTTGTGTTTACACTTCATTCTCCGCCACTGGCGAAAGGTAGTTGTGCTAATATGTCAACATCAAGGAACCCTACCTCAATAAATCAAATAGATAGGGTCAAAGGGTCGCTTTTAGTTTTTGATAAAAATGAGTATTTTTTTTTCAAGGAATTCTTCAGGACTTACTAACCAGGGTGGAAACCAGTCGTATTCAAATACCCAAGAGAACATTCCAGGTATTGACACGTCTGCACCACAAAGCGAAGCTTGTTTCCAGTAAATCACAGCCCTACTTACGAGCCTCGGACCCAGATTACTACAGGCTCGGTTTCGTAGCTAGGCATGCTTGGCTGTTCCAGAGAGAGTTCCGGAATCTCAACACCAGTCTCTCCCAGATTAAACCACAAGACGTTGAAAATGGGCATTTTGACATGCACACTATGGACCGGTGTATCTCGGAATTAATTGGGGACCAGATGTCTGGTGCGAAACCTTGTAACATCACCGACGAATGCTGGAATTTCGTTCGAAGTGAGAACACAACAGGCTACATGACAACTCACCAAGCTCTCTATTTGATGGTTGGAGAAATCAAAGGTAATTTGATCCCATTTTCGGGTTCTTGCCATTGTCTGACAACAAACAACCACTGTAGTCGACCTCTGCTTGCTGTAAATTAATCTACAAAATTGTGGCAAAACTGACCATCACTTTCATCTATCAAAGAAAACACTTCCGTGACTTTCAACTGACTTGTGACTCTTACTTGACTTTAATGTTGACTCTTTCTCTAACTATCACGTTAGTCCATCGCTGTCCATAACAACAGACCGTTTCACTTCCAGAACATTACTCTCTTAACTGGACGATCACAGCACCTCGATCATATAGTTTTAGGTTGGTTCCAAGTTAAGGATCAATTTATCATTTCCTAAAGAACAGTGACCGGCATAAGTCTATAAAACCTTCCTGTGGCTTTTTTTTTTTTCACTTTTCTCAATGATTCGTCCAAATATATAAAGCTCTAGCCAGACAATTTGGTTCAGGGATTAGTAATTTCGCCTTTCTTGGCAAGAAAAAGAAAATGATTCGAATAGCATGATTACAGAGACACTGGACCATAACCAAATATCAATGCCTGTAAGAGCATATGAATTTTAACCGCCGACTTTTATCTTTTCTCAGGTTGTCTACCTAATATCACAAAGCTCCTATCCAGTTCACAGAAAAAAGGAGAAAGGAGTATCGAAATTATATTTGGAACAATTTGTGCAAGCATCTATAAACAAATGAGATGGAGGGAAATTGTCTTCCGGAGAAAGCACCAGTCAAGGCATGCTGATGATAAAGATCTATACATGGAACAATGTTACGTATGCGGGATCTTGGGATACCATCAACAGTTTCTTTCACTTGACAGACTTTCAGCTGTTTTAGATTGGCAGCTCCCTCCTGGTTGCTATGGTAGCAGTGAAAGTCCCAAAGGCGGGCACCGAGGCACAGAAGACAGCAACGTTTATAGGGAGCAATGGGACTACGAAGATCTCAATGATGATGATTTCAATGATGGATTCGGGTACTAAAGAACTGAATGCACTTTACATTCCTAATGACTAGTGACGCAAGCTAACACTTTTTTTTAATCACTCACATCTCTTTATCATCATCTTCTCTAACGCGATATTGTATATCATACCCTTTACTTGTAGCCTAAATCCGACGAGGGACCTTGATGAACGAATAACTAGAGATCGTTCAAGTAACGGTTTACCAGGTGAGTTTCACATGTCTTGGTTATCTCTTCGGGGGCTGTCCATTTCGTTACTGTCTCCCATTAACGAACTGCTAACCAAATATGTACTATGTATTTTATATTAAGGTGGATGTCAGAGGCACATTACAGGTGTGGCAACAGGTCTACTGGGTGTCTACCTGAAGTGGCTATTGATGGAGCCACCTGTCACTCCGGCACATCATCTTTAAAGAACCGAATAAGTAATTAACAAATAGAGAAGAGTTTAATGTGCTCTGTTCTGTTGTAAAGTACGCAGGAAGCGGCTAGAGCTGTTTTCAAACCTTTGTTTGGTTCCTCTGTTGCTATTTGCCGGACCACTTGTTCCGAAATTTCACTTTCAATTAATAAACAAAAAATAAAAAAATTAGAGAGAAGTCCGGGAAATGGTCGGACATAATACAATTTGGCGGATGGCGTGATAGCTTTTAAGCTCTCTCGCTCTATGTCCTATACTCTAATGGAGCACGCTGTTTCAATCAACGACAGCGCGCGTTATATGCGAACTTTATTTTATACAGTGATGGTCACAACTTTTCAAAAATTCATGTTTATTGTACCCAAAACAAAAAAAAAGAAGTGAGCTTGAATAAATAAAATAAAATTAAACATACGGGGTTGCCTGCTTGGTAAACCCTTGGGGGTACAGTATGAGTTGGTTGTCTTGCCTTTTTCCCGCCTCCAGGTCCCCTCGGTGTCGAGAGAACTGATCACGGAGACTGAAGTCAGAACGACATCCTGGTGCAATCTAGTAATGTCACCATCACCATATCGATTCCAAAGCAATGAAGAACATCCAGTTGTCAAAAAATTCCTGAATTGCATGGTTTATTAAAATTTAAACCATTTTTACCCAGAAGTAGCAGTACAGTCTGATCGTCTAGGGGAGGGTAGTCCTGAAGGGTCTGTTGTTGTCCGTACCAATGACAAACGTGTCAAAAACCTGAATGGGAGTCATGAACAGAGTTAAGTGAGGAGTTGTGTCTGCCGTGTGTTTCGAGTATTTCCGAAAATAATTTGGCCCGAAGTTATGGGCTGCAAGAATCAAATGGCGTAAACAGTGAAAGTTCCCAAGACGTAAACTTAAAACATTCGAGGACAAACAACTACAAACTAATACGGGAACAATACTTTTCAGTACTTTTCTCAGCCACGTCCACCTGAGGGGCTCATGACGTCATTTCATGACGCGTCGGTTGTACTTTAGATAGAGCGAGTCAAGTAACATTCAGTCGTAAATTTCCCGTTCATTCGAGTTTATTTAGTTTCAAAATTTTTCCTTCAATTGCGGTTTTTACGGCTTTGATTTCTTTTGATGATAGAAATCGGTGGGAGGCCACCTCGATCGGAAGCTCTAAGCTTTCAATCATTTCTTAACGAAAAGTTGATCAGGAATTTCAGATAATATTTCAAACTTTCCACTAAATCGCGAAAGCCATGTTCATCCAAATTTAAATTTCGCTTTTTCATCGGTTATTGTCTTAATAATAATAAATTTTATACTTATAACGTGCATATACATCCATTTACTTATGCTCATCAGATCATATGCGCGCAAACAAGCAAACGAATATTTCAGATAAACATAAAGTGCTTGAAAAATCCCAACTGGCAGAAGGCATGAGGAGTTGAATTCGGGGCGACCGAGAACAATTCCAATGAGTTGTAGGGTGAAGAGCTTTGACCCGGGACTACCAAATTACAAGTCCAGCGCCCTTATAACTCGGCGACGCCGCCTCCAGATTGGAGGCATTAAGAAATCTTGTATGTTCTTGTGAACGAAAGATATTATCCATTCTGATCGAACATTTTGTGAGTCCTCACTAACTCTTAGTAAGCTGATAATGCGACTTTCTCCACAAAGGATGGCAGCGGACAGTCGGTCGTCCGGGGAAACATGATATTCCTTTAGAAGGTATTTAAGAGCCACTTTTCAAATTTCAGCGAGGATATCTTTCAAATCTTCAACTTGGTGGTAGTCAGGAGGAAAATATTTCCCTTTGTTATGATCCAAAACTTACTAGAAAATCACTTGATGTATATTCACCCTCATCACCCGACGGTCCTTCACTTCCCTCGTCTGATGTACCTTCACTTAACGTTTCTTGAAAATCTTGAAGGAGCAACTCTCTGCGATCCCGACCAGCTGCGTCCAAACAGCCGTGTCCAGATATTTCTTCGTTCTCCTTTGTACGGTTATCGCTATAACTGGTGGCATTTGGCTGTTCAATTTCTTCATCTATTCCTCCATCATACCTGAATCGTTTGGCTTCAGAACTAGCTTCTCTTTAGTAATTTCGTCAAGTTCACCTCAGTCCTTAATTACCCACCTTACCCACCCTACCCATAATCCTCCACGTTACTGATCTGTAAAAAAATTACATATATATGCTAAACATCAGCTTTTGGTGCCAGTAACATTAGGGTTAACTTTTATCTACATCAACTTCTCGTCAACAAATTTCAATGTAAAAAACATTAAAAAAGAACTGCCCTTGTCCTACGATCAATTCATGTCATTAATTATAAACAAAATTCTCTTACATATTTTGCAAAATGCGCATGGAATTATTTGTAATTTTGTTTCATAGTGATTTGTAAATAATCAAGACTTGTTTCAGTAGCTGTCTATACGCCAGTACACCAGTCGATTGTTTTACTTGTTACATAAACTAAAATATCACCAAAGATATGTTGTTTATTAAAGTGAACCTACGCAGACATGTAGGAGACATGGCAACAGCAGCATCAGAGATCTAGAATTCAAACATGTTAAGGATAGTCTAAAATAATGTTTCCATGTAAGCGAAAGAGAAGGCAAAGATACATGTTATCAACGAAATTGAAACGTAATTTTCCTCAGTAGTGCAGTAAGTGTGCTCGCCAAATACTGTCTTTATTCCCCCCCACTTCCCCCCCCCCTCCCCCCAAAATCCAATCAAATTTACGTACACAGATACTGAAAGATATAACAAAACCTATTAATGTGCACATACGTGACAGCTTTGACTATTTTTGAAAACAATCCACATGCATATGTAAAGACCAAATGCTCTTTTTGACGCTTAGTCGGAGACACCCTGGTACTAGCTCCAATCTCCATACACGATCAAGTCAGTCGGTGTGACATATCAGCCGGTCTGGGCACGAGGAACAATATTTACTCATTCACGCTTGCATACCTGCACGTGGTATAAATCACCATGGAGTGGAACCAGGCTCAATTTAATTTAACGGCTATTGGATTTTGACTGCAACAGAGTTTAAATAGTGTTTAGCAATCACTTTCTGTCATTTAGGGTTTTTACGAGGATTTGAAGAGCTTCGGTGGTGCGCGGGTGTGCTGGATCTGTGTGAGAGGCGATCGAAAAACTATGATCGTGAATTCAAATTTTTTGCTGTCAACGATTTTGTTGATATTTTATTGGGGATCGGTGCTTCCTTTTGATCAAAGAAACAATGCTATGACAGAAGAAGTCATCTCTGCTTTAGACAGAGTCCTCGACTTTTATGAACGAGACTACAAGAGTATCAATTTGGATGGAATCTTCGGCCTTCGAGTCGCGCAAGGTGAGCTGAACATCGACCAAATAAGTGATATTTGGGTTGATTGATCTTTTTACCAACAATGAATGCTTGTCTATGTAGTTGTGTATTAACAACGTGTTTCTTTTATTTACTGCTGGCTTACACCGAATTAAAATAAATGTAAAAGACCTTTATGTGATTCGAAAGTACACTTACATTTTGACGACGTTCGATTTCGTCGTGAAAGATCGCGAAACAATCTTACAACCCACTCTGTGCGATACATCAAAAACGAGGGAGAGCATTTAGTGGTACATCCGAATACCACCTGAGAATTTGACAAATAGCGCAGTATTTCTTTTGGTGTTTATTTTAGCCTCTCAATCGCAATCGAAACGAAATAACAGAGATATACATGGGTAAAAAAACTCGTTTAGTGAGATGTAATATGTAGCACATCCGATTTTTTTCACCTTAAAAATTTGGTTTTTGGATATCGGGAGAAGCAAAGTTTGTTCAGTTGGTATGGTTTATTTTTCAGTATCTAAGATTACAGCTTTCGTAGATAATGAATTGAAAGAGGTTCCTGCAGCTGAGCCATCAGAGAGAGTTGTATATTTACTTAGGATACCGCCTTTTGTTGATTCTTGAATAAATGTCTTGTATATGATACTGCAAAATGATAGCCGAATTCACCCTCACTTTTGTTCTACTTTGAAAAGACTTGAAGGTAAATTTGAACCCTCTTTTTTTTATTGTGGGCAAATGACACATTACAGTATCAGGTATGTTTTCACTGTGTTTCAACAGTGAGCTATTCATAAGCTAAGAGATTTCATTTTCCATTATGATTATACTGCCCAAGATAATACATCACCAGTTGCTGTGAGGCTGTCAATGCCATCATCTTCTTTATTAAAAAAATGTCCTAATATATTTAAAATGTTACTTAAAATTTCATAACTTGATATACACCACAGGGCAGCTCAGCTTGAGCTATTGGATCTCACAAAGTTATTGATATTTACATTTTAATTATATATTACTTTTCTACGTGAAATTTTAGCTTGACTTTTTCCATCACACCTGTTTGTGAATTTAAACTCCCACAATCACAATTTTCTTTAAAACAGCTTCCCACTGTTTATACCAACTATTGATAATGATTATTATTTCCTCTGGGCCTGAAAAGGAAGTCAATTTTTGAACATGGCCTGACCTCTTTCAGGCATAAAATATGGCCTGAACTCAGCAGAGGATAATTTGTATTTTGATTCTTATCTTGTAAATGTATGCTAAGCATCATGAACTGATGTCTCAATCTTGTTCGCCTTGGTGATTGAACTGAGTTGATCATTAGTTTAATTAGTTTTAGTTTATACACCGTAGAGACCAGTTCAAAGCACACGCCAAATCAAACATTCTTGCAGGTATAATATGCAAAAGATTACAAAACCAAGTGGTAAAGACAATTGCCAAGGCCAAGATGGATTATGTGAGGAATGAGATCTCCAAATATATGAATAATCCAAGGAAACTCTGGAAAACTCTCAAGAGAACTGTTCCAGCTAAATCTGCACCCTCCAATCTTTCATTTGTTGAGCTGGAAGATAAAAGTGTTTGTGATCCTACGGAAATAGCCAACACCTTCAATAAACATTTTACTAATATCCAACAAAACACAGATACAGTTATCCCAGTAGTGGATACTAACAAACAAAATCAACGACTCACTGATTTTGTAGAAAGTCGCATCAATAATTCAACCGTATTCCACATCCCACCAATTAGTTTGAAACAGGTGGTTGAAGATCTTAAGAACATTCCTGATAATAAAGCCAAAGGACTTGATGGAATCGGAATTAAACCCTTACAGGTAGCTTTGAATGCTGTCACTTCTTCTCTCACCCATATCTACAATTAGCACTACGACCAGCAAATGATCATTTCTTGCAAGTGGCACTAGATTATGGAACAATAAAGACAGTGCCACTAGGGGTCTCACTTCCCTTTGTAAATTTAAAAATCAACTATACAAGAAATACATAGATCGGAACTCCAGAGTTGATAATTTTTACTACAAGCAGAAATTTTTAATTAATTTTTAATTTTTAATTGTATTTTTACTTAGTATTTTTGCTATTTGAATTTGAAGTTTTAGAGGACCACAATGAGAACTATTGGTTCTACCAGTAATTGTGTTATGCAATAAAGTTGTTATTATTATTATTATCTTACCATCATGATGGTAACTACAACTCTCCTTTAGAAAAGCTAAGCCTTAGCTGTAGAACATCCAAAACTTGTGGTTATCAAACACTGTAGGTTGAAATTTAGATCCAGTCAAAACCCTTAATTCTTAGAGCAACAATTGGTAGAAATGTTCAGGAGACAGTGAGGGATACTGATATTATAATAGAGATCTTAGGAGGGGAAGGGGGAAAGGGTGGGAGGTTGGCCATACTTTACTGTGTTGCTGGCTGTTAAAATGTTGCATCTTGATGTTGAAATGTTTTATTTTTGTTGTTTCTAGGAGCTCTCCTCTCAATTATTAAGGATGTGCAAGACGGCCAACTAAGAGTTGAGGACAATGTGCTGAATCGGGTGAAAGAACTTTACAATAAAGCATCTCAAATTGCTGGCCATGCTCTGCCATATTTGCAACGCGCAGCACCCGAATACTTTGAGAAATTTAGGAAACAAGTTGCTGATCCATGGTTGAACTTTAAACCATTCACTGGCAAAGAGCTGATTAAAAAGGAGTATAATCCAGAGATTAAAAGAACTGCAATTGACTTTGATGAGAGTACCAGTGATGAGTGTATGAGTGGATTGACTGGCACTGGATCTGATGGTAATCAACCATGTCATATCTCTGACAAATGTTGGGATCTGATAAGTGCAGAAGGAACACATGGCTATGCCTTAACACATCAAGCTCTGTTTTTTCAGCTAGGGGAAATTCAAGGTAGGTTTAAAAAGGACAGTGGGAAGAGGAATGTTAAATAAAGAAAGTGAAGAAGATTTAATTCAGGCAAGGTTACTCTACAGCTTGTACTGGTCAGCACCCTTTAGGACAATCAAAAACATTGCACATGACTTTGGGTTTTCTTAGGCCTCACATAACTAAGTGGGCAATTGCAACTGCAGCAAATTTTGAAACTCCTGTGTCGTGCAGTGTTTCTCATACTCTTCGGTCTTCATACTTTCCCTAATCTTGTCCATCTAATTTTTGATTGCAACAAAACTAGTTTGATGCCTGCTATCTATGGTTGACAGGTAATTTTTTTTACAGACAACCACATCCAGTTAACTTTGATTAATGTGGAGTGTTTATGTTTGGATAATTATTTGAATGAAGAAATCGCAGAATACTTTCATCTCTTTTTTTGTTGATACTTGTAGGTTTTCTCTAGAGTGGGAGTTACTTCATCTTCATTTCTATTCTTTCAAGCAGTAGAACAAAGCAATCTCCTTGTCAACTTTGAAAGAAGTTTAGGGGATTCTTATCATTATTAATCAAATTCCTCCCTTTGCACAGTTGCTAATAACTTGGCTGTTTATCAGGACAATAATTATTATCCAGATAGGTGAAACAAAGTTTTGACTGAAGTTGGATTTTACAGCTCTCCTGTAGACATTTGTGGATTTTGTTCATGATGTTTCTCATTACACACACTCAGGGGTGTGCTGCCCACTTACTTCCTACCTCAGTGGTTGTGAATAGACTCCATTTGGTAGTGGTGTATCAGTGTATGAGTCAATACCACTTACAGCGCTTTTCCTATTACCTGCTGCATCTGGATGCAATTCCTGGCTCTATGAACCTCTTAGACCCAAACCTTATGCTCATGTACTGTTTAAGATGAGTGTCATCATTCAAAAGATGTTACACTTTACCTCTATTTCAACTGCCTTGAAATTATTTCTTAGTTAGTGGCAGAATGACATTACTGAGTAGACTGTCTCTAATTGCAGGTTGTACACCAGTATTACTAAAACGTCTGGAACAATCCAACATAAAAGGAGGGCTAGAGGGAATTTACAATCGAATCTGTTCTGACATGTACCCTGAGATGTTGGCAATAGAGCAGAAAAGAACATTGGATGAGAATAATTATCATAGGGACTTGTTCATGGAGCAAGCCATGGTGTGCAGTTCCATGGGTTATGGTGACTTTCTGTCTGCTGAACGGCTCAAGAAGATTCTGAGTTGGCAGAGGGGAGATGGGTGTTTTGGTCAGATGACAAATGGAAAAGATGAGGATGAAACTAAACAGTTTTCAGATGTTGAATTAAATCAACAAACAAATTCCCAAAGTGACTTTGAGGGGTATACTGACATGAATGGTGGTTCAGAGAGGAGTAATCTATCTCCATTTGGGAATTTCAAGAAGAGTCTTGAGTATGAGTACTCACAGTTGCGAAGGTAATTTACTGTAGATGCATTGTTGAAACCACTTATGTAAGAGAATGAATAAGCTATGCATAAGCTAGATAGATAATTTAGATAGATAGATAGATAGTTTTATTGACTAAAAACATAGCAGCCATCGGCTGAATTATGTCTAGCCTACAAGTACTAATATTATAAAGCTATGCATACTAATACTGTATATATAAGCTATGCATAAGTCCTCCACTAGTAGTTGTGAAGGGCTGGGCAGGAATGCTGGTAATAGTCAAGATAAAAACAATGTTAGTTACAATTAATGCTGAGAAATCTCTAACACTTTTAACAACACCTTCAGCTGGTAAAAATAATGACATTTTCTTTGTCAATAGGGGCCTCTTCATAGAGCTTATAAATTAACTGCTGTAAAACAAAAATCACCTTTTGGAGAACAAACCAATTTAAGTCCAGTCTCTAGTGACTTAGTAACCTACCATCAATAATTTTGGTTTCTTTTCAGAAAACCTTTAAGTATGAGGACAATGCGGTCATTGTTGGTAGAGAAGGAACTTCAAGGTAACTTTAGTTTTGCTGAAGGATGGATTCAAATTGGAATCCAATTTTTCCATTTTCATCATTAACAGCAAAATGGTCTCAAAATATGACACATGGAATTGAAAGTACACAATATTTACATCCTTTACAACTCAGTAACTGAGAAAAAATTTATGACATTTGTTTGAATAGTATACATGTCAATAAAAATTCTTTCAGACTATAATTTCTTTGATGAATGAATTAACCCTTTAACTCTCAGATCAAATTTGTAATTCTCCTTACTGTCAATCATACAATTCTTATAATGTCTGTTTAGAGAATTTAGTGTTGAATCAACTAATTGTCTCCAACTTGAAATTTTTCTTTTTTATATCACTTATCTGGTTGATATTCTATTGATATTGCAAGGAGAAATTCTGTCTTGGTCACTCATGGGAGTTAAAGGGTTAAGGGGTTCTATTAAATCATCTTCAGATTTTATTATTTTTATTTATGGTTATAACTGTCTTTAGAGAGCATGAAATGGGAATATATTCCTCTTAAGTTCTTATCTGGTTGTTTCAATACTAGTTTGTTATCTCTGCAGATGGGTGTTTTTCACATGTCACTGGTGTTGCTGTAGGCTTATTGGGAGTGTACTTGCGCTGGCTGTTGTACTCTCAACAAAAACCATTCCAGAGTAATGTTGTTTTGGAGACTAAAGGATCATTTAAAAATTCTTTTCCAAGCAAAAACAGAGAGGTGTACATCAATGATAACTTAGTTGATGTTATTGCACTGAAAGAGGAGCAATTGCAAAAGCGTCAAAAAATGAAACAGGATCATAAGCAATCTGCCCATCTCGTGCAAAGACGTAAGGCTGCTATGCTAGATAAAAATGAATTACACTTTGTGCAGAACATGGATGAGAGGGTAGGAACTGGTTTTTTAAATGGGAGAATGTTTGTATTTGGGGGTATTTTGTTTATTGTAGCACTAATACTAGTCAAGGGTGTCAAAAAGATGCCAAATGTGCTCAAAGTCTTTTCACATATTCCAAAGAAAAGTGCACATGTTATTTAAGTTCTAGAATATGCAGAAATTACTGTGAACTAATTTCACATGCAACATGTAAGCAGTTAGTAGTGAGATATTTTGAATGTGAACCATTTCCTTCTTTATGGCAAGCACCCTTAAGGACAGGACTTGTCAAAATGTTACAAAAGTTGAAAACTTTCAACGTTATGTTCACAATTGCTCCCAAAGAGGTGGGTGTCCACTTTGAGTATTAAGAGAAAAAAAAATTGAATGTTCTCATAGTTTTCTCCATCATCCACTTGGCTAAAGTAGATTACACTGTACATGCAAAGTACAAACAGGCCATATTATTACTACCATGCTGTTAAAAATATGACAATCTCATTGAAGTGCAACTTTCTTACGCCCCAAATGAATTAAAAATCCAGTTATTATATGCCTATTTGAAATTATATTCATCTTACATTCATGTGATATCACAACAAAACCTCAAAGGCCCTTGGACATGTCTATTTTGACACATAAAGGGTTAGTCTGTTGGTGTTCTCATAGCATGTCATTCTTTCATTGGGTAATAAACGACAACTGCATTTTGTTAAAGAAAAGTTAAATTTCTCTATGATGGGAAGAAAAGTGTTAGAAGTCTTAGATATAATATTAAAAATTCCATTATGGTTCATCTTTGTCTTTGTATTGATTACCATCTTTGGTCACCCTTCCTACATACAATTGCCAGGTTTACAGTGTTGGGCAAGTTTTTTTCTTTTTTTGCAGTAAAAGGCTTGGAAGCAACAAATTATGACCTAAAATCTAAAACAAAAGAATTGTTGCAGGATCTCACTTTACCATTACACTTGCCTAGGAAAATAATGAAATATATGGTTGTCTCATAATCTATTAAATCATCCCATGGGAGTGGGAGAGGTCTAAATTTTGCCAACTCATTTAGCTGTGTCAGAGTAGACAGTTACTTAATTTCAGGGATGGACCTTCTAAATTTTGAGGGGTTGCAATCCCCTGAAACCTTTCATCCCCTTCCCCTCTGTTTACTAATAATGATGCTAAACAGAGATAATGATAATGATAATAACAATATGGGTAATAAAAGAATCAATAATTATTCCGGAGAATGATTTAAAAAGTGAAGTTTAAGCAAGGAAATGTTGCCAATCCTTAACTTGCTCAAGAACGAAACAGACCATTTCCATATTTTATTCGATACATAATGATGTATGTAAGTATTTAGCGAGTGTAAGCAACTGGAATCGGTGTCATTCTACATTATTGTCGTTGGTTTCCTTATTTGAACGTATGGTGCGGGAATATAACCACAACCCAATAGCATAATTTGTCCGCTAAAGACAATTTTGGGGTTTAAGACACTTTCAATGTGTTGCGTTAGATGTTATCGCGTAACTCTGTCGACTGTTTTCGGGGTTTCTTCTGTCTCTCGATCTGGTGGTAGAAACTTCATACAATAAGTGTTTTTGCCAGAAGAGAATTGTGCCAACGGCTGTTTCTGGGAAACACAATTAGATCTCTTGTCTAATCCCAGTTAGAAACGGAAAACTGAAAGATGTAATTGGGGTCGAATCTCTCAATAACTAATCTTAATACAGGCACCCCCATCACGTTTTACATGAGAGGGGGTTTTTCCCCGACGAGATTTGTCTTTCCGTTCAGTATTCATTTTCATTCCTTCTCAGAGCCCTCAAGGCCGAACTGCTGGTTGATATTGGCCCATAAGAAGTTTTAGATGCTTCAGCGTGAATTCGCCAACTTTGATCGAGCTTTTCGTCTTGCTGCCACAGGTCGTGGCCATGCATGGCTGTACGTGCTCCGGCCCTTTCAGTTTTGAGAGGGTGGATTCACCTCCGGCGAATGTGAAATAAGCCACGTTCGCGAAGTTGCGTACACAAATGGTGCTGAAGTTGCACAGCTGGTCGAAGCAATTGCAATTACGAGCCTGTATGACGTCACGTCAAAAGCTCTATTATTCCATCCAAATTTCCATTTCAGTCTTATCACTCATTTCAGAGGGAAAGACCTAAAAGTTCTCAAAATTGCCTTCAGAGCTCGAATCTTCGCTAGCGAAATTTTCAAAGACCCATTTTATGTATTATGACGTCCTTCAGGATCCTCAGCAGACTTTCAGTTTTTATTACCTATTGATGTAGGTACCCGGCTAAATAATAATTTAGTTTTCGCCTTCCAACAACAGATTTAGCCCGCTGTTGTAAACTGACACTTTAATACGGAAAATGGCGGTCGACCAAGGTGATTGGAAGCGCCAAAAACGGTTCTTGAACTTTCGCACTGTCACTGTCTTGCGCGGTGTATCGCTAGACTTCAAAAGTCCATAACTGTACTGATGTTGCGTCAAGACCATTTTTGACCTTATAATATCAACAAGAACACTTGTCTGTCTATCACGGATAAATTGATCCGTTTCAATAAACGTGGGGATGTTCTTGTACTGAAGTAATTGTGAGGTATCCAGGATATTGCGCTTATGTCATCAGGGAAAATACAAGAATGAGAAATAACTTCCACCTATTTAGTTAATAATTGGAAAACTTTTACCTTACATGATAGGCTGTAGAAAACACAGTGCACATTTAGCATATCACGGTTCTCGTGTGACAAACACGCGTAAATCACATGTGATCATTGGCGGGCAAATGAATAATTCCCGTGTATTTACCTTATACGTATAATTTTAACGATTAGTTCATTTTTGAAATTAAGTCAAATCGAAAAAAAGATTTGCTGAGGCTAGAAAAATACAATTTTTGTTGGCGAAGCAGGGAAATTCTTACGCCCTCTCGCAACCCCTAGAAATACCTGCCAAAACATGTCCTAAATGGAACAGGGGTTGATGCGTTTTCAATCGAATCTCTCTATACTTTTTGTTAAATATTGGCTAAAAATAACTGCTCGTGACAACGGGAACTCGAGGAAAAAAAACCTACAAAGCAAACATATTCGAGAAGCTCATTTACGATAGTGTATTGCGATTGACGCGATATTTTAACGTCAACAAAGAGCAATTACATTTCCCAATGCGAAAGTCCGTTTTTTCGGGGAATCCCCTAATTAAAAATTCATTGTTTGTACCCACATCAGCTGACACCTTTGCATTCCTTCACGACTCTCGCTGTCGCCCAGGGTGCCCCGGTGGAGTCCCTAAATTCCCCGAGATGAAGCGTTTTGATTGGTGAAAAGATTACAAGCTCGCTAGATCATTGGTCAATTTTAGGGCACGTGATTGAAAAGGGAAATTTCCCTTCTCTGAGTAGCAAGCGTATATACATGACCATCCGCCATTACTAGGCATCTTCGATCACGGGGACTGTGAGAGTGTGTGTAGAATTTAATAGTTCAATTTGTTTGTATTAATTTTGTTTCTTAGAGAACCGTAAACTTTTTAATTATCGTAAGAAATCTGTGTTCACTGTGATGGATTCAACTACAAGTGGGCAACGAAAGCTGATTCCTCGCGGAGCGATGCCAACCGGTCTGGTACGACAGAAAATGTTAGCAGTTCCTCATGCAGATGGAAAGGTTGTAAGCGCCAACTATCAGCAGTGTGACTCTGGATTTGGTGACGACGAAGAATTACGCTCTCGAAGCATAGAAAGAAACAATGAAGTCACCAACTTGCGCAGTGTAGAGGAGAGGACCGAAAATTTGTCGATCGAGGACCCTGATACTGATAACCGACACCCTTCCTTGGAATCACAAGATTCATCGCTTCTGAAAAACGAAGAACTTTATCTAAACTATGCTCACACTAATGACGTGAGGTATCTATTAGCCCAGGACCATGTTAGAAAGCAGTTATATCTTCAAGACGACGATGGTGACACGTAAGTTTCCAAACGAATCATCGTTCTTCTCTAAATATTCGTTCTGTGCAAACTTAAGATTCGTACGTGTAGCCGAGGTGCATATCCAATGACCTTTGCCTTCAGATAAAATGCTTTGCTTTCTCCTCGATCTGTAAATAGCTGAATATCGAAACAGGTAGTGTCGTCGTTTTTTTTCTCTTTTTTCTTTCACCCTTTACCGACTTGTACGAAGGAGAAGATATTTTGAATTAAAGTCGATCAAATTTCCTCCTTTCGTGAAGCAAGACATAAACTGTTCCCTCTACGATTCCAGGCGTGGAGAGGTATTCGATTTCACTTGAAACAGCCAAAGTAAAAACTGACTTTTTCTGGAAATTGTATAGAAATAACGCTGTTTTATAAACTAGCGTCAGGAGCAACGGTTTACTTCAACACTTATGTTTTCGTTTTAAAAATATCGTCATCCACCAATCTCACAAATGTTCCTTTCCCCGAAATGATGGAGTTGAGTAACAATATAAAATTCTTAACATACATCATGGTCATTTTCTTTTTATACTTTCAGAGCTCTTCATTTGTCGATTATAAATATGAAACCAATGGAAACAGATGCGATAATCTCAGTTGCGCCGTGTAGAGAATGCCTCGACATTTACAACGATCTGAAACAGGTAAACAAAACAAAACCACTTCATGTTTGGCATATTTCCTCTAGACTAACTCAGATTTTGATAAGTGTTCTCTCGGAAAATCAGCCTTAAGACACTGTAATAATCTTTTTATTCTTTATAAAAGAAATTTGTGTGATATTTATGAAACATTTTCTGTCGTAGACGCCTCTTCACCTAGCGACAATCACCCGACAGCCCGCCGCAATCCGCAGACTTCTGGAAGCCGGAGCTTCGCCAAACATTCCCGATCGCAATGGTAGAACGGCTTTACATTTAGCTTGTGATCAAGGAGATATTGACTGCGTAAAGGAGATTGTAAGACCTCTGCACGACAAACGATGGGGTGACGAAATGAAAGAGAAAGTATATAACATGCTTCACGAGCGAGACTACGAAGGTAAGTTAACAATATTGATCGTCCATTTCAGTCGAGCCTTATTTGGTGCTCTCGTCTGAAATTATACATGAAAGCTCTACGTGCCCTTCGCCCACGTTTTGGTTTCTGTTGATGACTTCAATTGCATGGGGGCTTCCCTTGTTGTTGAAAGGGAAAGTGAAATGTGCTGTGGAAGCACAACCGGTACATTGTGTTAGCGGGGGTTTCCCATACAGGTCGGAAAGGGAAATATGCAAGTAAGAAGTTTCGTTTGGTAATTTTTTTTTCCTTTGTTCACATTAAACTTGTCAAATTGCCAGGGTTACTCCTACTTAAGTTGTCAGTTCATCTTGATAGAGATTTGATCAGAAGAAACTTAAACTCAAGATAAGCAATGGCGTATTTTCGTGTTACTAATACTTGTATTTTTTTCCCCTAGGTTATGCCGCTTTACACAAGGCTGTATTTGTAAGCAGTGTACAAATTGCCACTTATCTGGTGTCTCTTGGGGCTAATGTTAACATTCAGGTAGGTTACGTTTACATTAATTTTTGTGTCTTATTTTTAAATGCACAAGAACAGTGATGGTGCAGGACTCCCACAAGTTGGCTTATGTTGCCTTCCTGTTGGCTCCTGTCGTTATAATAAAGCTTGCTGTAAGGATTTTTATCACACTGCACTAGAACACAAATCTTAATGTGAGAGCAAATTTTGATAGTAGTCATGACCTAGAGCAGAAGCACTGAGGAACTAGAAAATTAAAAAGGATCAATGTTTTAGTCTAAATTTTTTTCAACATCTTTCTTTGCAGGATGCTAAAAGTGGACGTTCCCCACTTCATCATGCAGTTGAGGCTGGTAACTTGTCCATGATCAACTGCCTTTTGTACCAGTGCAGTGCAGACCCAGATGCCATGACATTTGGTGAAGTGACACCTCTTCATATTGCCGCAGGACGGGGAATGGAAGCTGTGGTAGCTCTGTTACTTGCTGCCGGTTCTGATCCAAGCCTAACAAACTATGAGGGTGAATCACCTCTTAATATTGCTGCCTCTAAACAGGTGATTACTAGTGGAGCCCTTATGTTGAAATCTCTCAGGTGAAGAATGTTGCATGGTAGGAACCTGTTTAATTTAAACACATAGAGCAGTTTGAAACAAGGGCCAGCATGCTTGTTTTCTTAATTCAAAAGGAACTTCTTTGGCTCCTTTGTTTAAATGAAAAGTCAGCATGGATGTCAATGATGCTTTCACTTTTTTCATTGTTGTTGAACCTTTAAAAGTTTTCTTTCCCTTCTCCCATCGGTCCCATTATTTCATTTTGTCCTCAGAGGAATTATATTTGTGAATCAGTACTTTAAAATAACTAAGTGAAGTGAATTCCAATCTAATGATTCCTTGGTATTCTTCTGTTTTTCTTTTCCAGATTCATGACATGGTGAAGTCTACCTTCTAAGCTTAAAATAGAGTTACAGACAAGAATGGAAGGAGTGGATTTCAAACCCCCTGAATATTTTAAAAAACCCACACAATGGCAGGCTGGCAACTTCCAAAACAAGCCTGTGCAATTGACACTATCATACCTTATAAATTTACATAGCATTACAAAAGCAAGATTTTTCTAGAGCCTTGAGGCTACTACCTATATCAAATCACAGACATTTTACTGCATGAAACTGCACGCTTTATTGCTATTATTGAAAAAAAAAATTTTTTTTGTTGCTGTCTTGTCTGAACCAAATAGATAAAAGTGATTTTTACATAGTTGCTAACAAATCAAGAACGTAAATTTGAACTGGTCTATGTGTGCAATTACAGTTCCTTGCGAGACTTGATGCCAAGATATCTCAGATCAAATAAAATTCAGTTTTAGAATAGTACGTCTCTTCCATTTATAAAGTATACCATTAGAATAAATAGGATAAATACTGACCCTAAAGAAAGTTCTATTGTTTATCAATGGTAACATTCTAGGGGTAAGTAAAGCACAGTTTTCATTCTTGAATTCTGTTTGGAAAGTGTCCTGATTCTGTTCCCTTTCACCCCCAAGATCTTGATATCAATTCTCTTTACTGCCAACCATAATCCTCTTCTATTTTTGCCATGGGAATTAAGGGTCATTTAACATAACAATATCCCTTGGTTGATTTCTTATTATTGACATCAACCCTGTGCTCTACAATGTCAAAATATTGAAAGAAGAAATTTCTTACCAGTCACTTTTGAGGTGATATGTTAAGTAAGAGTTGACATAATTAGCCACTACTGCAATGATAGCATCTACAATTTCACATTTCAATATATTTCCATAGCATCCATCATGAACATAACACACTCATCAGGCCTTTGAATGACTTCATGAGTTACTTACTATTACAAGCATACATGGGAAGGGTACTCATGTATGACTCTCCTTTCCAGCCCAAAGCAGGTGTTAGATAATCTTTAATGAATCTGCTCCAACATGGTTATGACCATGTTTTAAACATGATAATGTTTAATGGGTAGCTACAAATACTGTCATCTTAGCAATGTTGTAAAGAATTCAAATAATTAAATAAAAGAAAGAAAGTGAGATTTGTTTCTAGGTATTTACTGATTTCCTTATGATGCGGTCTTTAAAAGAGTAGATGTTTCCAACCCACTCCACTCAGGGCTAGGCTACGTATTTTCAGTTCTCTCTTTCCTAAGTAAAGATAAGATTGAAACCCTAAAACGGCGAGTTTAACCTCAACCAACTTCGTTTCCAGGGACCCCTTTCTTCCTCCCTCACGGGACGAAGACCCAAGGAGCTAAGTTGTTGAATGAACAAGGTGTCAATTCAGTGTAACATACACGCATCAACTGTTGACCGTGGGCTCATATTGGCTGATGTAACAGGAAGGGGATTTTGGAAATGTTCCAAGAAATTCATTTATAAACACCAATAGTATATGTTGCTTAAATTTCTTGTAAAGAGAGGAAAGCTTGGTAAATTTCCTACAAACTTTAGGTGTATAAGGTACATATCATTAAGCATGGCGGCTTCAAACGACGAAAGTAATAAAGAAAACGTAGCGGATGGAGAGACAGAACAAATCGTGACCATGGAGAAGGTCGTTGCAGCGGATAACAAAGGAATCGACTATGACAAGCTGATCAGTTAGTTTATCTTCCCTCATTTATTTATATTTATATATTCAAATTTTTTATGGTGTTATTTCTTCCGTTGAATTATTCCAAGAAAACGGCGTGTTAGCCTCGATCGATGATCAACTGAAAATTCAGTCACGTGGCTTCTGTGGTTTTATTGTCTAGCTGACTTAAGAATATTCGTCTGGCATTGGTTGAAAGATAGTTAACAAGGATAAATACGATATTCTTCCTTTCAGCATGCATGACAATAGCCACACTAGGCTAGTAAGACATGATGGACTTCCACGTCACATTCTTTTTTTTTTGGACATCGGTGGTACTTATAATAACTACCCACCCAAAACATACCCAAGTATACTATTGAGGCAGTACCAGTGCTGAATACCTTATTATTATTCTCTTATCTGCCAGCCAAAAGGGTTTTGATTTTGTACATAATCAAACACCAGTAATTTGTTTTTGAGATGTTTGTAGGAGGAGGACAATAACGCTTTCATTAGCCACAAGAGTTAATTGTTTCTAAAGGAAGTATCAATTTGAAAGTTCTTCTTTTGTAAGTTCTTTCTAAAACAAGGCCTTTATTTGGAGACTGGTGGTAATTATAATTATTACCCACCCAAACATACCCAAGTATGCTATTGAGGCAGTACCAGTACTGTACACCTCAACACCCACAGCAAGAAGGCTTAGTTTCCCTTTCTTTGTTAAAAGGATGAAACTTTGTTAGTCCAACAAGTAATTTTATGATCCACAGGGCAGTTTGGTTGCTCCAAATTGGAAGACAAACACAAGGAAAGGATAGAGAAACTAACTGGAAAAGCACCACATCATTTGTTAAGAAGGGGTGTCTTCTTCTCACACAGGTAAAGAGGGACTAGTTATCACTATAAGGCTTTATATACAAAGTAAATAAGTAAACGTGATTAATCAAGAGATCCTTTTTTTGACTGTGTTGGTTGTAAGGGTTGTCATATTATGGTGTCCTCCATGGCCTTTATTAAACAAGGCGTTCATTTAATGGTCATTGTTAACTGCAATAGTGCTGAGTGCCCTTTACTCAGGTTTAATCTTAGGTTAGTCTGAAGGGTTTTACCAATGAAACAAAGTTAATGGACTGTAGACCTTGATACCCAACACTGGTGCACTGTCTACCTCTCAGAAACTTTAACCTCAACACTTATTAAAACCCTTTGTTAATAAGAAAAGTTATATTTTAACAATAGTGCTATATTTAGCTTTGATCTCTTACGTTCTAGAAAGTCACATGACTGTATTTCATAGTACAAATTATTGTAATTTCCAGCCTACAAAGGGAAAGGGACCTTTGATTCCTTCATAAAATGTTATCAGCTTATTTTGGTAGTCATGATTTAATAGCTTCAAGCCCTGAATTGTTTGTAATGAAGGAATGTTACAAATTGTTAATTATTACCTTAAATGTTTCAAGGGATCTTGACTATGTCCTGGATATGTATGAAAAGGGAAAGCCTTTTTACTTATATACTGGAAGAGGTCCATCCTCAGAAGCCATGCACATGGGACATCTGATTCCCTTTATCTTCACAAAGTAAGTCACTGTGGATAATTCAATCAAACTGAAGAGGTGGCGGAGTGACTTTTAGGGAAACCTGTTTTATAGGGGTATACAAGACAGTTTGGAAGGAGAATTTTCGAGAAGCAACTCAGGGCCTTTTCCATGTATTCCCTCTGATGTTTTTAAATCTATGTTTGATGTGCTACAAACATATACATAGTTACAGGAACCAGTTTCATTGAAACAAGAAATGTTAAACAGCTTTTGTAAGCCTGAAATTTAGTTTTACTCAAAGATTTGGATTTGATACTTTTTCAATTTTGTCATCTGGCTCTATACCAGCTGACAAACAAAGAACCCATTAGTGAGACAAGTAAAGTATATCTATGAAAATATTACAGCAAACAAAGAAGTGAGAAGAAGAACTAGATGTGCACATGTGTTGAAAAACTTCACATTTTTCTTAGTTTCCCCAAGGTTATGTCAACAATTAAGGTAAAAAGTGTAACAGAGATTTTACTTCTAATTCAGGTATCTTCAAGATGTCTTCAATGTGCCACTAGTAATTCAACTAACAGATGATGAAAAGTTTTTTCTCAAGGACTTAGAGTGCGAAGAAACACACAGACTGGCTTATGAAAATGCCAAAGATATCATAGCTGTTGGCTTTGATGTGAAGAAGACCTTTATCTTCTCAGATATTGATTACATAGGGTAAGAAATAAACTAATTATAAACCCATTTCTTCAATTAATGATTATGAGTGAGCAAAACAATTGCTTAATTTATGAAAATTCACAATACTATTTGTAATCCCAAGCTAGGAATACATGTCAAAATATATTTATGGGAAAATTAGTGTAATTATAGTTATTACTGAACTGTTAGAATTTGTGAGGATTCTTTTGAAGGGTGTATGTGAAAAATTATTTCTCTTATCAACTTTTAGGAGCAGCTCTGAGTTTTACAAAAACATCATCAAAATACAAAGGTGTGTAACTTACAACCAAGTTAAAGCAATCTTTGGATTTGATGAGAGTTCTTGTATAGGTATGTATCAGAGTACCTCTTCTCCATTTTTCAGCATTATTTTCTAGATAATAACTTAATAGCTTTTGGTGTTTTAATAAGTGTTTCATTTAGCTTTCCTCACTTTTAATCAATCTTTCATGAAACATTTTGTTTCCATGTGGCAATGTTTGAATTTTGTTTGTGGGTTGAACTTTTGTTTTCCAGGCTCATTTTAGTTTAAACTGAGCGACTGGATTTAGATGCAGATGTATTTGTCTTTATTTCAGGTAAAATAGCTTTTCCTGCCATACAAGCAGCCCCATCATTTAGCCACTCTTTTCCTCACACATTTGGAAGCAGAAAAGATATCCCATGTCTTATTCCTTGTGCAATTGACCAGGTAAGACTTGCAGGAAGTGAATCAAGACCTTCTTCTTAAACAGAGGGCGTGTGGCGTTATGTAAATGCATTGTATATCCTCTCATTACGAAGCATTTGTAGTGGTATTTTTCAGTGGGAGAGGGGAGGAAATAAAGATCGTCTCGGAGGATACCAGGTAGAAGTAACACTTTTTCTCCGAGATGGATACCACACATAGCTGTTTTATTATTGGACAAATCTTTTCTTTTATCGTATGCATCTGATTAAACCTCACCATAATTATGGAAAATTTTTGCTACTTTACATTTTGCTTTTATTTTTCCAGAGGTGATGGGCAGGGAAGGTGGTTGTATTTGCCCAATGCTTGGTGCATGAGCCTAGGAATTAATGCGTTCAGAATAGCAGTTCCTATCAGCCAACCCAATCCCCTTTTCATAGTTTCTAGACTGAAATTAATTGACTTTGATCAGCACCTCTAGAGAATTGCATGAACCATCCTTAGTGATACATATACATTCTAACAATGTGCAGTTCTAAGGGGGAAAATTCCTAACTACAATCTCCTTCTATTTGGTACATGTACATATAGTCGTGTGTAACGTGAAGTAATACAATTCACCTAATCTTTACTGAATGTTATTTGTGTGTTTTGTTTTCTTCCTAATGGGTAGGATCCTTACTTCAGGATGACTCGGGATGTTGCTCCACGACTTGGTTGTCCAAAACCATCTCTGATATTTTCCACATTCTTTCCTGCTCTGCAAGGTGCAAAAACAAAAATGAGCTCCAGTGATCCAACCTCTTCCATCTTTCTCACTGATTCCCCAGCTCAGATTAAAAAGAAGGTATGGTTGTATTTTACAGCAGTGGTGCTGATTTTGATTACACAGGGTGTGTTTAACTTATCACTTTTGCCAAGTATAGAAAGGTGTTGAACTCAGTCAGGATTGCATGAGTCAAATAATTTCAATTGATTCATTTGAGCTCAGTACTCAATTGGGTCTGTCAGTCATTTCTCAATAAATTGTTTGCTGAAAAATCTAAAGTTAAGTAACTTACCTCTGGAGAGGAATTTCCTTTTGGTAATTTTCCAAGAAACATTGGACACAGAGCAAGTCCTATAATTTTTATCTCTTCATCTCCTATTCATAAAGGGGTCTTTCTTGAGAAGATCATTATATGTAGTTGTCAAATGGTGATAATGAAGTTTATTGTATTAAGTGCCTTACTAGGATCAGAAAACAAAAGTTCTTAAGTACATCTAGTGTATTACTGTTTTTGTTATCTAGGTTAACAAGTATGCATTCTCTGGTGGTCGTGATACTGTGGAAGATCACAGGAAATATGGTGGAGATATAACAGTAGATATTGCTTATCAGTATCTCACATTCTTCCTCGAGGATGATGAAAAACTTGCTCAAATAAAAGAGGTAAATGTGCCAAGACCATGATGCTTTAGAAGTTATGTCAGCATTTAAGGAAATCGGGACTAAGGCTTTTTTTGTTTTTCTTCTTGCCACTGTTCTTTTGAAAATTTTTGTAAATGACTTAGTAGTATACTAACCCCATTGGCTACTTGTTATTAAATCAGGATTATTCTACTGGAAAGATGTTGTCTGGAGAAATCAAGAAGGAACTCATCTCAGTTTTACAGCCCCTGGTGGCAGCACACCAAGAGAGAAAGAAGCTAGTCACAGATGAAGTTGTTAGAGAATTTATGACTCCAAGGAAGTTAGAATTTACAGGATTTAACTCCTGAGCACAGATAAAACCAAGCAATGAACATTTTCCTAAAACTGCTTTGTGTATGATGTTACAAGTGTGGTAAAAAGATTTTTAAATGCATGTGAACTTAGATTTCCTTTGACACAATAAGAATGTTGACCATAGAAAGCAGGCAGTAAATATATCAGCGACCATGAGTTAAGTCAGTTACCAGCACTTAATTTATTTCAGACTCCAACTGTTAAGGAATGTATGCAAGGTCATGCCTTAAGTTCTTAGTGGTAATATATTTAGTCACCATGACTGATTATAAACATGAGTTCAATTGGGGGACTGGGGATATACAGTGTAAAGGATAAAATCAGTTGTACATTGGTGATTTCACCATTGTCTTGGGTGATAAACTCCCAACTGCCCCAGTCCTTTCTCCCACTGTGCTTTCCAAATACCTGTTTCAGGCAGACATCCCCAAAGAAGCAGCTTCAGCCATTAGGAGCAAGGTTCGGTTGTGGAATAACATTAACTTTTCACCAATTTGTGGCCCAAGAATAAAGCCTTTCGTCAATGAAGCAGTATATACATGTTAGATGCTCTTTAATGACTTGAAAGTAAGAGGAACAGCAACAACACCTTTTATTTTGGGGGGGGGGGGGACGCTCTTAAAGGTAATGTAAAGTTTTGATATATTTTTTTGCCTTCACGAAGAGAATTACGGAAACAGATTTCATTTTGTTTCCTTCAGTATCTTATTGCACTAAGGTAAAACCTGCCAAGGCGCTTTTGTTCAAGAGAATTCAAGGGCAGATTTACGCACACCTCTTAAACCCAGATTAGCGAAAAACTACTTTATTTCGAGGAAAAATAGTAGGGTTTATTCTTTGGAATTTTTCACATAGTGTTCACTTTCCAACTCTGAAAAGTTAGGTGTCGAACTATTTTCGAACTAAGACTGAAAAGAATAAATAGCTGGCTTTGTAGAATTGAGAACGGATTCTGTATTGAATTGTGAAGTATGTGAACATGAAGACTACTTTTAAAACTTGGAGACAGCCAGAAAGATAAATATTTGTAATAAAACAAGAAGTCTGGACCTGTCTGAAGTTTTCTTCTATCCACTAAGCTGCTGACAGTGCTTCCAAGGTGAATTTTGTGCTGTTATTTACACAAATGTGAACGAAACCTTGGGAGATGGACCGCATCAATGGTCATTACATGAGTTGTATTTGTAGCTGGTACAGGTTAACCTGCTACTTTAGCTAGAAATGAAAAAAAATCTCCTAGGCCTAAAATTGCCAGTGTCACTTGTAATTAAGGCATTGGGATAATTCAAACTTGGATTTTTCAAGAGTGGATGTGTCTAAAATACCGTCTCTTTTCATCGATCCTTGACGAAGCTGTAAATGAACTAGACAAGAAAAGGATTGTGGTAATAAGCAGCCGCGGCAGCTGGGTACATTTGGCGGGAAACTCTAATTGTACGACTATTTTGAGCCCAACAAGATAAGAAACTAATTTTACTCGTAAAAGGTCGAAAAATCCTCTTTCATCGTTTTATTACAGAGCTCAAAATTCGTCTCCTTTCCTTTTCTATTCACTTGAGGCTTTTTACATAGCTGACTCTAGCACAAAGCGGGGTGATACCAATAAGGCGCCTTGTTTACGGTAAGTTTCTGTAGCTAAGTGCCAGGGCATTGGGGTGCGGAATTCGAATGTCTGAGTTTCGATTCCTCATGAAGACTCAGCCTTTGATCTTTGTGATAACACAGAAAAAAAAAAGATCTTTCTTGAAGTCTTATTTTGCCCGGCGGATTTTGCTATTTTTTCGCACATTCCGTCGAATACCTTGCGTATTTTTAGCCAAGTTAACAGGTTCTAGTCTGAACAAGACCTCTTGGTAATTGCTTTCAACTGAACAAACAAACATACGCTTAAAACTGCTCATGCACTGATATGTTCAGTTAACTCAGAGGTTAGGAATACAGAATCATTTGAATAAAGTTTTGCTTTCAGAGCAGTTGAGTTCTAGGAAAGAGAGGTGAAGGATTTTGCAATCTTGAATTTTCTTTTTAATTAACCAATAGAACTACTGTTTTGAATCACAACATAGAATACAAAAGACTAAATCATATACACTCTCCATGTTTTTATGTGTCTGTTCAGAGATAGATCATAGAAAAATTAGAAATACGGTACGAACATCAGTGACACACTCATCTTCGCGTCGGGTGCCACTTTTTTGGTCTTACCACATGATAATGTCAGATGCGATCGCTTACTGAACAGACGCAAAGCGAGCTTTAAGTGCTAAAACCAGTGTGATACTGCTAAATTGAGAAAAGGTAGGCAAGTATCTCTACATGATATATTGACATGGTTCACCGACAACGCCAGTTTAGTCAGTCTCTCTTCCATCAGCTGAGAGGAAAATTTGCAGTGTTGTCCTCTTCTAGTTGCTGTAGCCACGAAACTCCAAGAAGATGAGTGTGCACTTCAGATATCAGGTGTCAGTAAATACCGCAAGCTTTTATCTGCAAAAGTTACATCCTGGAATCTAAAACATGAAAGTAGATGCTTTTCAGCCAAATTTTCCACTTTCCTGAACATTGCAAAACCAGTTGAATGGAACATCATGAAAATGTGAACTGTCATAGTTGCTTCCATTCTTGCAATCGTTATTTATCCCAAAAACCGCTGGATTCACGATTGTGAACTATTTTGATTGACCCTTTAACTCCCATAAGTGACAAAGACAGAATTTCTCCTTACAATATCAATACAATATCAAGCAGACAAGCGATGAGAATTGGGAAAATTATCAGTTAGGGATTATAAAGTTGATCCAATACCAAATTCTCCAAACTAACATCACAAGAACTGTATAAGAGACGGGAAGGAGAATTACTGATGAGATCTTGGGTGTTGAAGGATTAACAGCCGGATGAATCCTGTATTGTTCATAGTAGCCTTCACCGGTAAATGTTCCAGACAATTGGTTATCGAAGTTATCAGTCGCTTCTAGTTTAAGGTACTCGGAGTAGTTTCTTCCGGCGAGCAATTTTCTGCGATAATTTCGGAACCGAAGAGCTCGTGGTTCTTCTGTTCTGCCCATGGCTGGTTTCTGTTGGATTTCTGGCCAAACAAAGTGTAACTAATTCTGTCGGTTATAAACTGTGCAAGTTCTAAGTCTTCTCCGCCTTTATCAGAATTTGAAGAAGCATAGTGCTCATTAATGGTTGCAATGAACGTATTTACGATTATAATTGTCGTACTGGCGACAAAACTAAAAAAGAAAAAACGTCCCAATATAGGATTTGTAGAAATCAGTTCATTTACTGGAATATTTTTTCCAAGGAGCATCAGAAACTGCGACGAAATGGCGTCTATGAATGATGAGAACATGTAAATATTGGTTCCGAAGGCGATGACCCCTAAGAAAGAATGAGCTATCGCTACTACCATAAAGATCAAAAAGAAAGAAGATATTGAAGGAAAGGATCTGCGGAGTGTCCACGAGAAAACTATAATTTGTGGCACGAAGTAAAAGCATTTTAGAAGACGCAATGTGGCAATTACGGACGCTATGCAAATGACCAGGTTTTCAAGGTCAGACCAAAGTAACACCTCATGGAAGCCAATGGGAACAAAAGGGTTTTCCTTTAGTTTGAACAACGTTATTTTTGCTGCCTTGGTTTTCATCCATTGGAGGAACAATGCTGATGATGCAGTGACTATCTGTAGCATGTTCAACCAGTTCCACCCTGACTTGAAATACAAGCAGCTCTGACGACAGAGTTTGATGCATTCCAAAATGAAGAAGCAAACAAGTAGAATGCCAAACAGAAATGCAAAAAGCAAGTAAATGTTATGGGCTTGAGGGTTCGTTGCACTCAGAGACAAAATTCCATAACTCTTGAATATGCCGGCAAAGCCTGATGGAAGGACTTCGAAGTAATAAGTTATCACGGCAAGAAGGTTACTCGGTGGATTATACAGTGAGAACTCCACCAGTACAGCTCTGGTCTGACGATCGATCCAGTTGTTTTCTTTTAAGTCTTTGACAATTCTTTTAGCTGTAAACTTGTTGTATCCTAAATTAGCTATGTATCCTCCGCCACTGTAAACAGCAAAACGGCCCCAAGTATCAGAGCCACCATTTCCGTTGTACTCCCAATTTTCTGGACAGAGAACTGAGGAACTATTCTGGTCAATCCAAGTTCTTTTGTCTTCTCCGTTCTTAGTGAAGGGACCGTAGCAATAAGTAAACATGCTTTTGAATATTTGCTGAAACACACAGGAATCTGTTTAAAGAAAGTAATGAGTTTAGACCCTTTTTTTCAAAGATCCAAGTTCCAGGGATAATTATTGCATTTCAATCATTTCTTTTCTTCAATCATGGAAGACATTGCTCTAATGGAGTCTTTACAACTCGCCAATAATTTTTCTCGATCTTTACGTGTTGCTTAGTTAATTGGCTTGGAGGTCAAAATTCTTAGTTTGAATGTACTCATTTTCCTTTTTAAGAGTGGAGTAGATAATTCCATTTAAAAGTCATTATGACATGCTATAAAAATCCAAGTAGTATTAGAGAACGAAGAAAAACATCTTCTTGGGATGAAACCGCGAGAACGTATCGGTGTTGTCACAGTCATACTACTGAGTCCTTAAAATTTCGGTATATGCTTACCTTTCATGACCCTGAGTTGCCTTAGGCGAGGCATGCCGACCAGAGTCGATCGACCATTTCTGATGTACTTTAATCCTTTTTCCTCCTGATCCTTGTACCAGCCCTCTGAAAAGATTGCTGGGACAAACGCGTCCTCCAGCCACCTCCAAAACTGAGCCACGTTGGTTATCTGGTAATTTTAAACATTTAAAATTATTTTCAATGAAAATTTGAAAACGAGAACGAACCAACATCATTGATATCCTAACTGAACCAAACTTTTACAAACGTTAAAGTACATACCCATCTCGACTAACACCATTAGATTCAATGATCTTTAAAGCTTTGAATCAAAACACCATTTAGGAAATAGAGGACATTTTCCGCGTTTGCATAGTTTCATCTTAACATGAAGGGGATTGGGAGAAGTTATGCAAGCTCTTGACTGTCTCAGGTTTGCATAACTTTCTTAAATTTTCATAACCCCCCTGAGTGCTTTTAAGAGGCGATGAAAATACTCGAAAAAAAATCCTCTGTTGCTTTGATAAATACATCTGGGAAATAATCGTGGTTACTTACCCTTATCTAAACGCACCATCTATCAATGAGAACGTACGTACGACCTTGAATATTTACAAAAGTCATTTCAGTTATTTCAGTAAGACAAACCATAGGCACTGATTGATTTAAGGTCGACAGAAACATACCTTGTACCGCCCAACATTATCGAAATACTGGACTTCGCTTTCTATTGCAGCTCGTAGATGATATCTCTGCCTGCTTTTGTCTCCATAACAGACGATCAATAAAATCACGAGAAAAATTAAAGAAAACAAGAGTTCCTTCGTGAATGCATACATTTTCCTCTTGTTTTTCCTATACTGTCCTGCTCGTTCGACATCTATCGATGAAAGATCCAAATTGTTGGATGCATCCGTTAGATAACTTTTATTTGTTGACTTGCCACCACTCCTGTACCGTAATGCTAAGACTGCAGATGCAATGATTATCTTGACGGGCTGGATGACCAGCACCTCACCGGTTAAGGAAAGCAGAACAGATGTAAGCCAGCGAGACGATTTCTCTCCTCCCCACATGAGGGAGTAAAACACCGTAAAAAGGGCGGAAGTAATTGCAATACTCACACAGAGAAACCATGCGATGTATACAAAGAAATGGGGAAGTAAACACCGTCCTTCTCTCTTGCTTTTCCCCAATTGATACCGGTTACCTTCACTGTTTCTCCTAGGTTCGCTTTTACGAAACAAGAGCACAATTAGCAGACTTGCAGGCACAACAACTAAGGCACTTTCCAACGCGATGACAAGTTGACTCGGAGTCAGTGAAAAAGGTCCAATCAGTATTTTTCTCTGTTTTAGGTCCTCTGTTTCATAAAACATAGCGGATGTTACCATTGACAGCAAGAGAAGGCTCCAACAACAGGATGCTCGCTGAACGCGAGTGAAAGGATTCCTTGGCTGCTTGCGGATCACGGACAGCCACAAGTGATCATCAGCGAAACCATTCCTTCGTAATGCGCTAAATTTTCTTCTGAACTTTTCGCCTTCTTTGCAATCATCTGCATAAAATATCCTCGTGGTCTGACCGTCATCCCTTTCTAGCGCAAGCCAGCGGTAACAACTGAACAACCATCTTCGTCCCCTTTGGCAATCCACAGCTAAAATCTCGCTAATAAACCAAGAGGGGTCCTCGCCAGAAATGTCATGGCCGATCTGCAAAGAAATTATCTCGCCCAGCGGCATTTCCTGTCGAATAAAAAAATTATCAGTGTTGCCTTCGGCAAACAGTGTCCTTTCACATGGGATGTCACATGTCAGTTTGATAACGTCACTGGTATTTTCAGTCCCATGTAGAATCATGGATATGTTGGCAGTAGTACCACAATTTTTCCATCCCCCAGTTGTTATGGATAGTTCGTACTTGTAATCACCATTTTGATGCGCCGCCAAGGGTATCAGAGGACTGTCCTTAAAAAGAAAAGCAAATTGAGTCGGCATTATTTATTGTTTTAAATAAATCGTGAAGCATTATTTATTAACAGTTTAGCCACGTTTCAAATAAATGAGTCGTATGATTACAAACAGTTTATCTATGAACAAAGTTCAAATTTTACATACCCGATGGCCTCAGATGTCGACTTCGAGACCACTAATGTTATTAACGGTGATTAACCTTTAAGTAGCAACGTATCTAATTTTCGTCGTCTTTGCTTCAACAAAAAATGTTTTTACGGGGTGTCTTGCCTTTTGAACAAGTGTATTCTGAAATAACTATTTGTAGATCAAATTAATAAGTTTTAGAAGGTATTCACCTTTAGACGTCCAATATATTTGTCCAATAAAAGTGGGTAGAAATTAAAATTTGATGACATTTAAATTCAGTCGGTGAAACTTCTTAGTTGTTACCTGGTGAGGTTTTTCAAGAAAAGAAATGATCCTAGCTGGTGAACTGCGTTAAATATTTCGATCTAAAGAAGCTGGCTTCTTCTCTGTGATCCCTTTAGTTCTTTATTTGTATTTCGTCCTCAGGTCGACTTATGTTTTCACTCACTTAACCATGATCAGGCCTTTTTTTTTATTTTTTAACAAACAACGAACCACATCGTCATTGCTTGAATAATTTTTATTTTGGATTTGACACCAACCTTTGAGGCATCCACTTTATCAGCCCTGCGTGCTTTTATCAAAACAAGAAAGTAAACCAGAAAGATAGAACACAATGTTATCAAGACGAGAAGGTCATCAGGGTCCACGTTGTCAAATGTCTGCTGGACCAGTGGAAAGTCAATGGTATTTGGTGCCACAAGAATGTCTCCCCCAAATGCAGTCAAGTGATTACAGAGACATTTTAGGGAAGAATGGTTTGATTCTCGGCTCACCTGCAAATCAGTGTATTTCATTTATGGTTTTAAGCACGCTTGTTAGGTTCTGATATATTTTAAGTTCAAGAGAGTATCAATTATTCGTGAGTTGAGCTCTTACTGCAGGTTATACAGCGACAAAGAGCCTATAATTAGCTTCTATATGGAAATTTTCTGTAAAAGGGAGTTTTATAGCTCAGCTGCTATAAAATTTATCAACATAGACATTGAAACGGGAATTTCCCGTTACAATGAGATGATTCGCGTCTGAAAACGATTCATAGCTGTGGCAAGATTCGCACGAGCACATTATTCTTGGGCAAAGAATGAACACATTTGCGCTTAATGCAACGCAGCAGTAAACAAAAACTTTACCTGTGGTAGTTTTAACAGCAACTAGTTGACATAATAGTTAAGATGTGGATATATTTTGAGCGTCCAGTTACTGTCTATATCTATTTTCCATTTTAGAATATAAATGATGTCGTTTTTGTGCCAGGCGATTTTTTTCAAAAGAAAATTACCTTTTGCATCTTGCCTCTAGAGAAAACCCATAAGAAACGCTGTGGTTGTTATCTTTGTCGCTTTTAAACATTAAGGTTGACATAGTGAATACATTAAGTGTATTTAAATCTCTTTGTTCTATCTCCAAAACATTCCAATAGCTGAAAACCAATATTTTAAAGACTTCTGTTACACGGCTTGGGATGCATTGCATTGTCTCTTTTTGTTATTGAATGACTCATTCTATGCTTCCTCACCTTACATCCTTTGCTTGTCCATCTTTGCTCAGTATCAGACCAAAATGCACACCAGATTGTCTCCACTTGTAAACTGTAGTTAACTGACTTATCAAAGTCGTACTGAGGGACAAGACTGACATACTCTACTTGAGGAGCAACTGTTGGCGGGGGATCCTTGAACCTTACGCACTTCTCTCGCATCGCTTGCTTTGGCAGAATGGATCGTCTACCTCTTGACTTTGACAATTCTGTTCGAGATTCACTGTTCTTCCACAAGCCAACGTAATATTTGCCCGAATATCTGCATTTCATGACGATACTGTGGGAACAAATCCCTCTGAATTCACAGTCGTCGTTTCTGCTGTTTAATCTTTTCTCATCGGATAAGTTAATCACCATATCGTATGATGTCTCTGTTGGCTGTTCAGCATATTTTACATAGACCGTAATAGAAGCTGTTGCTTTTGTCGTAATGGTTATTTTCATGGTATTATTGACCTCACGTACGATTATCACGTGATACTGCATCCTTCTAGGGTTTAGGAAATGATCCGGTCGAGGGCTGTCTTCGGGATGATAATTTGATACTGGAATATCAATTTCTATATCCGACAGTAGATTTGTTGTGTTGAGAGCTTTCCCAGTGTCATCCTTCAGGACAAGGCTGACAACCTTTGATTTTATTCTCTGGCTGCTGCTGTCCGACATATATGGATTAAAATTATAGGAGATCATCTGCAAGGTAGAAAAAGACGTTATCATAAGATTAACGCAGTTTAATACTTGTCAGGAGGATAAAGCGAAAAAAAAATGCTATTCTCTTTTAAGGACTAGAGGTCCAGCCGAATTTTTCCTATTTTGCCTTCCGACTGAACTACGGAACCCTCTCAGGTGAGTGAGACGGATTATAAAGAGCTGTCTTGCATTATTTCAAAAGATCCAATTGATCCTCAGCGTTAACCTGTTAGAAAGTTTTAAGGTGTGTTGCAAGGGGGAAGGAAAGGGAAGGTAAAAAAAGACCTTCTGTTACGGTCATTTTGTTATCCTGTCGGCTTTTAAAGATAACTAACATATCTTACAGGAGATATAAATAAATTATTTACACAATATCATGTTTTTAATTACTTTTCTAGATGATAATATACTGTATAAACATTAATTCTAGGTGTAAAATGTCAATCTTATGCATGTGTAAACATAAATTTTGAGTATAAAATGTTGATCTCACGCATGTGTAAACATTAATTCTAAGTATAAAATGTAAATCGTGTGCATGTGTAAACATTAATTTTATGCAATTTCATGTTTTGGTAGTCCTAGGTAACTGTGCTCGGGGCCCTTATTGATAGCAGGTTGCTTTCACGCGCCTGAAAGGACAACCCTGAGCCTTAAAATTTAATCATAAAGGAGTCTGTCTGTGTGTCTGTCTATTAAATTAAAATTAAAGCTTTTACCATCCCCATATACTCCGTGCAACAACAACTACACACCTCTATTCCAACCTCAAAGACGTTGCCAAGCCAATTTTGCAACGTACTGGTACTTATAAAGGGGAACTGAAAACTGGCTTCCCCATTTCTGAGTTTTAACAGACTCATGTCCATTGACTCTTCTTTACCGAGCAAAATAGATCGTAGGTCATTGCTGATGGTGGTGTATTCCTCCCCAGGCAGCTTAAATGACAGAAGTGTGTTGGTAATCATGTCTGTTAACTCTTGGCAACGGCTAGATATTATCTTTCCCATGGTAATCTAAAAGTGCAAACAAATCTTAAGTTGGATCTAGCACCCAAATGGATCACGATCATCAGAAATATTTGTTTCATATTTGCTCCATTGAGATTCTGGAAATAATGTGGCTCTTAATGAAGGTGTAATATCATAAACTTTTAAGGGAATACCTCTTTCTCTTCATCGAGGTTAGCAGAAATTTTAGACATAAGGATTCTCCTGGAACTGGATCCCATAATATTTGTAGTACAATGCAACAACAATCTTCCTCCATCGAGAAGAAGGGGGGATTCAGACCTGCTTCTTCGTGAAAGGAGGGTTGACATCTCCATCAGTTTATCCAATACAGTTAACTAAAAGATAAAAATCATTTTGAAGTTATGCAAATAAATAGTTCAGGTTTGCAACAAACAGGTCTGCCTGGATATTATCAATTGATTTATATTTTAATGAAGTCTTGGTTCTTTATCCAGAATCCAGTCTTACCTGCATTAAAACTCAAGTTTGATTCTGTAAACAAAAATATGAGGTAATGAGTTCAGTATCATACCGTTGTATTGAACAAGACAAGGGTGTCGTCCTTTGTGGCTTTGTTCAAGATAACACTAATCTGGGCTATACGCTCCAGTCCGCCATCAATCTGTACTTGACAGATCTTAGAAATAACGTGATTCTTCATCTGCAGCAAAGAGATAAATGTATCAAACACGCGTTTCAACACTTTAGACGTCAATATAAAGACCTTATGTAAAGCTATACAAAACAAAGAAGGGTAAGAGAGTCCTTACATGGACTTGCACGGTGGGAATCTTTCAGCCTATTTACACAGAATTTAATGAAAAAAATTATTTTGAACAAAATTAATCCTTTGTTTTGCACCTGATAAAATTATGCTGCTGATCAGTTACAGATATTAAACGGCGGGACATAAACCACACGTTGGTTCTATGGAAAAAAGTGCAAAGCCATTATTTTCATATTCAATCCACTCTACTTACTTGAAGTAGGTTCCTATTCACATCACCCTGTTCTACAGCCATTTTAAGTAAGAAGAGAAGTGCGTCTGCCTCTTGTATTGCTGTATTTACTTTTCCCATAGAAAAATAATTATCCATAACAAATATTTTTTCTTGCAGCTCGTTATAGTCTATCTCTTCTGCTGACAACAAAGATGATTGATTTAGCTGTGAAAACAAAACAATGAAAGTTTTATTAGAGCAGATCACCGACTGCATTAAAGATCTTTACGGGGGAAAAGTACTACTATTTTCCCTTGATGAAAATTATGGGGTAGATATGCGGTGATAAGTAATCAACAAAATGAAATGCATGAGGGAGTACAGTTTCTTTGTAAAAGTTCCACTGTTTGCTATGGACTGTTTTCGCTCGTTTGCGGCGTGGCTAATTGCAAACCCAATTCATCATCTTCCGCATCCCACTATACGGTGCAGCGTTAATGAAACAGGCACCACTGATGAACAATCGTTACTAGATAGATATGGACTCCGAAATTATTATGGAACCTTTAGCTTTCCTAACTACCTCGGCGAGCAGCGAATGTACCTCAACGAGGTTACCTTTATCTAAAATCAAACAAAGAATTCAAACTGCAAAATAATTTACCAACTACTTAAGCTTGGTTCTCACCATCATATTGCTAATACCTTGATAGAAAATCCTGCTTTATTAGCCGCTCCAAAAACATTAACAATCGCAACCCGAAGGCGAGTAACATCCTCATCAGAAGGTGGAATATAAACAACACTGTAAGGCCTAACTCCATAGGACAACATGTCGAGTTTTCCAGTTTTTGATTCCTGGAAGAATTCGTAGGTGAAAGGCACATTTTCATCACTCCATCCTTGACAGGTTATGTTTAGCCAAGATCCTACAGCTTTCCTATCCAACTGAGTGGCATGACATGTTCCTCCTGATGGAACTGCCAGCGTATCGAATTGGTATACCGCCACGCCAAATGACTCGTTTAGAGATAGAACGTCGACCTTGATTTTGTAGGAGGACCCGGGTTCGAGCATTTGTTCTTTAATCACAAGGTTTTTTGAATCTACTTTTGTACCCAGGAGATCTCTAAAGTGTCGCTGAGTAGACCATTTCAAGTGAGAATTGTTTCCATCGTTTCTCAGCAGGCTCCATCTATACTTGAGGGACGCCGGACAACGAACTGAATTGCAGTCAGTTCGGAAGGAGGTACGAGAAGATGCACTGGCTGGTGAGTCACAGTTCATGATGCACCTGTGCAAAGAAAATGGGAAGTGATCTTCTGCTCATCGTATCTCCTGTATTCGGCCTTATTTATTTTGTTAAGATAGCTCGTTTTTGCAAGGAAAGGATTATATATCATTGCTAAGTTCTTTGTTTAAGAAGTACTAGTTTAAAATACACAACTATGCCATCATCGAATAAATGCTTGTGCTTTTGTCTCTCATTGATGAGAGAGGGATGTTGTATCCAACTATTGGATGAGGTTTTCGTGATATCCAAAATAATCAAGGTCGAGGCAGGGGATAGCAGCCGAAGCCAAAAGCTGAGGCTGATAACCCTTACCGATACCTTAATTATTCTGTATATGACAGAAACCGAAGCTAAAGATTGTGTTATTTTTCCTTGAACGAAAAGGAAATATGTTTTTGCTTCTGCTCGGCAAGCAACACAAAGCGCACGTACTTGACATGATTACCCTTAAAATCATGACCATCCACCGCGGTCGCACATGACATGATTGCCCGTGACCTTGAGTGACTTGACATGATTATTTTCAGTATAATCTGCGGCTAGATGACGTCTCAGGCGCTGATTTTAGCCAAGTTGAATATATAATAATTTAACATATCTCTTGGGATTGCGTGGAGATCAATTGACTTTAATCTATTCTACGTTGTTCATTCTCGGCACTGAGAACGGGGAAGAGGACACCTCTTATGTTAGATGCTAAATATCTAAGTACTAAGTAAACTTCAGCTACTTTGTAGCCATAAACTACACTTACAAAATACGAATGTCGAATACATCTTCGTCGCGAACGTGAACAATCTGAATGCCACTTGCAACGCGGATATCCTTGGTTACCGTCAGAACCACATGGTATGCTTGATTGCTGATGAGTCTTTTAGTATCTAAAGTCACTATGGCTTTTTCGTCGCCCCGAAGAAAGACATCGTCCGGCAACTGAAAGAGATTGCCATTTGTAGACGCACCGACAAATGTGTCGTATATGCTACCTGAACCTCGAAAAGTGACGTTAGACACTGGAGTATAGTTTCTGGAGACGTTGGATTGCGTTATTATTAAGCAAGACCAATCATAGTTCATTCCCGAAGAACTGCCAGCACTAGGGCTAGTGTCATACGAAGCACTGGCATCCAATAAAATTGGTTTATCTATGGATCGAAAAACCTCAGTTCCTCCCGCAATGGAAACTTCTAGTGCCGAATTAAGAACTTCGATGAAAGCAAAGTCTCGAGCTGTCAGTTCAGATCCGGAATTTCGTCGCAGCTCAAATGTTACAAGTTTAAGTCCTGTCGACAGCAAGTTTGGTTGTAAGTTCAGCTCCAGAGTGTCGGGCACTAGCAACTCTGGTTGATCGGAAATGTTAAAAGGTGATAGTGAGAGTTGGCTTATCTTCCAAGAAAACGAGGCCTGATGCGCAAGAAAGTTCTCCGTCTTTAAAGATGCAAACAGTCTTCTTGTTTGGTCTCGTCTAAACTTCATTGGGCTGCTCGGTTGTGTATTAATATCATGGATTAAAACCTCTATTGAATCATCAATACTTCTCAAATCACCTAAAATGGGGAAAAAGAAGTTGTTGTTTAAATTCCAAATTCAGTTTGGAGTCCGTTATTTCATTACATGAAAAAACTGTTGAGACGTAATTCAAAGTTAAAGGTTTTACTCTGGTTGAACACTGGATCATTAATTAAATGACCTATATTTCAGTTTTCTTTATGGTTAGATTTACTCTACTTTCTCTCATGTATTACTTTCTGTTTGTCTTCGGCATGGATCAACTTCTGGATCTCCTGGGTAAAAGTATTTACACCAGCAATCATGAACGTTAAGTGATGTCTTGATGCCTACGGAATGTACTGGACAAGCTGCAATGACATTCAAGCAAATCAAGACAGTTGTGTGAAACATCAGGAGGAGAACTAGTATTTTTTACAGCAGATGTATACCAATAAATGAAAAGGGGAAACTCTGATTGAAAATATGTGTTCGGTTATCTCGGAGTTTCTTTAAATTGAAAAAAAATACTAATAGAAAATTTGTTTAAGAGATCCCCTGGACTGTCAAAGATCTCAAAGAGGGGCCGCATAGTAGGCAGACTACATCGAACCAATAGCTGAAGATCAAGTTTTTTAGTCTATGACAAAAGTAATGAAATATCAAACATCTCTTATGGAAGATGGGAATCTTAAAAATACTGTTTTGCGAGAATAATAACATAAAGCGTTTGTACCTTCTCATCAACAGGGAAAGTGGAATTGAAATTCCCCAGGCCAAGATACTCACGATCAAACAACAGAACAGCGGACCTATGAGGGAACATCATCTAACATCCGGAATAATGATGACGATCGAAATGCACCAAAAGCAACGAACCAACGTGCTACATATAGCGACACGTAAGCAATCGACCTCGTCGCCTGAGGAAGACTAGCCGTATCGCAGTCGAAACGCCGCGATCATCATCCAAAGTAACACCATCATGAGAAAAACGAATAAAGATCATCTCCTATCTTATACCACGATGAACGATAACCACATATTTTATTACACACAACTAATCTAGTTGTGATTTAGGAAACCAGTGAAGAATGATATTACAATGATCGAGTTCGGAAAAAATGAAGGCGTGAACTATCCTTTCACATACACAGAAATCAGCAAATTCTACAAATGTTCGTAAGGAGAAACAACGCTAACTAGCTCTGAAACTCACCCCTGCAAAGATCTCCTTCATAACCATCCTGACATGGACATTTAGAGGAACCACCAGATGTTTGACATGCGTCCCTTTCGTCTAAAAATATAATTTAAAAAGTTGTTCCAGATTAGTGCTGTGTAATTGTGCACAAAAATTAAATCATATTCTAGCGAGAGGGCACTGTTTATCTTTTTTTTGGTGCCCAATCTCGCATACGACTCTCTTTGACTCTGTTCCCACGTGCTTCAGTTCACAACGGTTTCATCAATAAGCATTATCATTAGCACAATCCAGCCGGCTCCATGGGTAATGCAACTTTTTTTCGGAATACAATAAGGTGCCATCATTGAACCAGCGGCCCCGGTGAAACGGTACCACGCACCATGGGTACTAAAATTCTTATCGCAAGCAAGGTAAGGTTTAACGGAAGCATTCCAGTATCTGTCCGCTTCGTTAAGTTCTTGATACTGCGAAGGGCTACACTCGGTTGGTAAAGAAGCGAAGTACATTCGAAGAGGTATATAAGCTAATTTGAAATAAGATATTTATAATATTATAAGTATAATTATAGCTACATAGAACTCTTGAAGATACATAAAAGGTGTTAGAACTCAAATTAATAAACAAATTTTTTAAGAATTTCTAACCCAAGATATGGAAGAGGATTCGGTAAACAAGTTGAAGAATTTCAACTGATAAAAGGCTGAGCAGGTAATAATGATGAAATTCATCGTTTTGGAATCCTGTTTTTTTTTTAGCGTAAAGCAATGAACCATACACATGACGTTACATTTATAACTAATGAAATTTAAATCAAAACAAACCGGTTGATGATCGCCTAAGGTCTACTTCCTTGGCATAATTTTGACAATATTTGTATGTTTTACGCCTTTTTCCTTCTCTTGATACCATTTGAAAATTAGTCGCATACTCTACAATAAGAAAGAGGTGAAAGAAGTGACAAATATTTCCCTTTAGAGGAGAGGAAATAGCCATTCTTTCATTCATTCATTCATTTCTCTTTTGTTTGATTCCTTGTTTCAGTTAATTCTTCACTTGTTTGAGTAAAGTTACGTGCTTTTCCCAGTCAGTCGACCGATAAAATTCTTGCGTCTTACCGGCACATAACTTTCCATCACCAATGTAACCCTCTTTGCAATGACATTTAAAAGAACCCTGAGTATTGGTGCAAAAAGCATTTAAATGGCAGTTATGTGTGTTCGCTGAGCATTCGTCCATATCTGTCAAGATAAAAATTCAAGTTCTGATTAAGGTCCGAAAGGCCTAAAGAACAAGTTGAAGGAGTTATTTAACAACCGTTTGTTTAGATCTCGTTATGGCAAACACCATATTTATGGCAGTCATGATCTCCGCTTGCACATTCGTCCAGACCTGCCTGTAGAAACCAAATTTTTAACCTTTCTACCATGCCGTCTCGTCATCAAAAAGGATTAAGCAAAATTAAAACTAGTTAGTTGCATTGGTTGGTACCTTTTCACATTCACAGAAATCAGCAAATTCTACAAATGTTCATAGACCAACGACGCTAACTTGCTCTGACACTCACCCCTGCACGGATCTCCTTCATAACCATCCTGACATGTACACTTAGAAGAACCACCAGTTACTCGACATGCGTCACTTTCGTCTACAAATATAATTTAAAATATTGTTCCAGATTAGTGCTGTGTAATTATGCACAAAAATCAAATCATATTCCAGGGAGAGGGCACTATATATCTTTTTTCTTATTGCCCAATTCTTCATATGGCTCTCTTTGACTCTTGTTGTGAATTTCTTCGATAACTCAGAATTTTCTCCTATATTGATCGCTCTGTAACGAGACTACACATGTAACACAAAACTTTCTTTTTCTTTTGGTTTGTAAATGATTACTTATTAGCGTCATACCTACATTGCGTCACACCAGTTTCCGACACACTCCCCCCCATATGTCATCGAAGGAGATATATGTCTTTCAATCGAGTTCGAATTAAATCAAAAACATAAATACGAAGGTAAATTTCTTCAAAGTGAACAAAAAAAATGTCTCAGTTTATAATTCAAAACCATAAGGCAACGCGAGTTGCTAATCACAATAAGCGTTTAGGCCGTTTTATTCATCTCGGCCAATCTCCTGTAAACGTAGACGCGCTGCAACAACGGCGACCCGTCTTAGCTAAAATGGAGCAGCCTCTGGCCTCATTCTTACTGGTGCTGATAACTCCCTGTCACAAGAAAGCTCCAAGGGGTACAAATGTTGAATCACTCGCACGACATAAGACTTGCCCGTACGCAATCTCTCTCCTCTAACGACACCGTCTTTTCCCGCGACTAAATTCTCAACGATCCCAAATGGCCCCTTTCCTCGGTTCTTGTCCTCTGATTGTATTATGACTACGTCACCCACTCCAGGTTTGTCTCCCCCAGTGCCCGCCTGAGCGCGATGACCCTCGCAAAGGCTGTGCAAGTACCCTTTGGACCAACGGCCCTGCATGGCCTCCTTACATTTCAGCAGGTGTTTTGCTCTCTTGCACAGGCCATAGGCCTTGATGTGATGTGTTTGTAACTCAGGGTGTCAGGATAGGCAACTGCACGTCCACTTATACATAGCTTAACGGTCGGTTGTTAAGGGTGATCTCTAAATTTCCTGATTTTTTTTTTGTAAGGCTGACTTTATCAGATCGATCATTCTTTCAAACTGTCCTTCCCACCACGGCGCACGACTGACGTTGAACTGCCATTTGATCTGATTGGTGGAGAGGTAGGTCTCTAGTCGTTTGTCCTTCACTTTGCAGTACCAACAAAGGTTCGACCATTATCCGAGTAGGGGGCTCCCCAGGCGCGCAATAAATTTCCTTAAGCTCTTTAAACACTGCCATTTCTAGATTAAGTGAGAGATTCAGAAAGACTCCTCGCGTGAGGCTGCAGGCATATAAGAAGACGCATGCTTTCCCTTCTCATTGCTCAGATACTCCATATCGTATAGGTCCAGCAGAGTCTATTCCGACCACTTGATACGGATTAGGCCCTCTAGTCCGGGTAGTCGGCAAATTTCCAGGGGAAGGAGCTGCGTATGCCATTGTTTGAAATCGTTTGCATCCGTGACAGGCCTTCCGTACTTTCCTCACCAGCTACCTCAACTTTGGGACCTAGTGCCGACTATGCACCTCGGCCATTGTTAGCCCCACTCCTCCATGTAGCGTCTTCCGGTGTACTTCTTCCACAAGTCGGAGACTAAGAGTGCAGACCAAGATTGCCTGTGGCTGGCAAGTATATTGGGTAGTCTCCAAGGGCACTCGGCCTTGGCACTCTCATAAACAATCTTAATTGGGCTGTAAATTTAACGCCACACGATCTCGCTCGGTGTCACCACTCTTTTTAGCGTCCCTCTCCCAAAACAAGCTCTGACGACTAACCTCTTCGGTGGTCAGCGATCCCACTATGCGAGGAGTACCTCTGTTACGGAGAGTTTTGTGTGCGAATCTTCTCATCCACGCACAGATACTATGGCTTTGCGTAACTGGAATTTGTGAAGTATTTCTTCTACTTCGTTTCTCGCGTCAAGCACAACTGATAGCACTCTTTGAACGAGTTTTGCTTGGGTATGGCTTTCTTCAATAGGATGGTTCAGTGCGTCGGCTGACCAATTTGCGGGGGTTGCGAGCTACTTGAAACCATGCCACCATAGACTAGCTCCTTTCAAACGTCCTCCAAGATTTCCAAAATCGGCAGAGTTGTCTCTTGTGGGAACATAGCGCCAGGTCACTCCCTCGTAGCTCTTTATCTTCCTTACGCGATTTGCCATGAACTGTTTGTATTCTCCTTATCCCCTGATCCAGTACAAGGTCACTGAACCGTCCAGCCAACAGTATGTACTGCTGATGGGAAGCCCGTCCAGGGCATCTCTGACATTGGCCACAAGGTTCACGGCCATGTGACCAGCGACTAGTTCCAGCCGTGGGATGGTCAGACCTTGTTTGGACAACCTAGATCTGGCTGTAATCAGACATTGGTTGGTTCCCGATGTTTGTCGAACGATTGCGTAAACGCAAGCTGCGACTCCACTCTCTCATTTGTCCTCAAATGAATGGTAAGTCTATGTGCTCGGCTTTCTCTCGATCGACAGCCAGCGTTCTCGATACGTCAAAGGTTTGAGGCAATCCACTCTCCCACTTGGTCCAGGACTTAGCCAGGTCACGTGGTAGTTCTGCATCCCAGGACCGCTATGTATCGCAAACTGCTCGAAAGATGAGCTTCCCTTTAAGTGTCTCAGGTGGGACGAGTCCCAGGGAGTCATATATCTTAACTAGTTTAGCTAAGATACCTCTCTTAGACAGGATCGCCTTTTCAGCTGGGCCTGTGATACTTAATGAATATTCTTTTTTGTTCCACAAGAGTCCAAGGGTACTTGCGAATTCTCCTTATGGGACACCTAACCACTGCTTTGCGTAGGTTGGTTCTTTTTCTTGCTTTGGAACTTGAGCCGATTCGAGCTCGGGAACGTTAGATTGCCACATATGAAGGTTGAAGCAGGCATCTTGAAAGATCATCGAAGCTTCATCTTTCAGAAATGTTTTCTGCAACGCAGAAGGCAAATTTTCAGAAACGCCATCTGCAAATCCCCGTTGATGGTTACAGGATTGAATCTTCCTCTAACTAGCACGTTCCAAAGTTTGTTTTGTAGTGGCGGTCCTGTGAGCAAACAATCGTTAAACGATGGAGCGCCGTTAATGGCTCTGGTAGAAGCGTCATACACAACTCGTAGCTTTGTCGATTCTGTGGTGGCTCGCACAACCGGTTTGAGCGGTATATAGAATTCTCGCCCGCCTACTCATGTTTCGTTAGCTCTCTTGACAACGCCCACCTTCTTCTGATCCTCAATAACTTCTGTGTACTCGCATGTCAGGTTCTGGTGCCCAAGCTTCTTGTTCAGGCTTCCAAGTCGGGGCAAACTTCCCTCTCTGTTGTTGGGCAACACTGGATGATCTCCATACCAGGCCAGACCGATCTTGTACCAATCCTCATCGTCTCGCATAAGTTGCTCTTTGAATTCAACATACACGCTACTCTCATCGTTCGAGGGGGGTGTCAAAGAAGCCAAGTACTTCAAGGCGACAAAGTTCCTAGTAATCCAGATGCAGCAACAGGCTGACCAGGTTTGCTGATTTGCGGGGCATTTTCCGTTTTAACTTTGGCGGATTCACCGGCTCCAAGTATTAAAATGCACTGGCAGGTGATGCTTGGTGTCCTGATCGTTCTTTACGACCCCCGAAAAATGTGGATTCCCTGCAATCATTTCTCCATACTTTTTGGTTGTCAAGGAAAATTAGGTGCCCTCTAGTGACCTCCACAGGCATTGTAAACCTCCCATCTACGTCAGAAATCTCAATCATCGCCAGCTCTACTTCTCTGGTTGAAGCTTCAAGTAACATCTCTATCTTTCGGACTCCTTTCTTTTGTTTACCACTCGACATTCGGTCTAAAAACAGGGCAGATGCATAGGAATTGCCCGCTCCTTTGTTCAACAATGCTGGGGATTAAATTCTTTGAAAGATAACAACTGGACATGTCACATGAGCCGTTGGCATTCTTGTGGAGTGTATCGGTTTTTTTTCTTGACGTGCGATGTTTTTGATTGCATACTTGACACCTTGTTTGCTCCTACACCCATCTGCGCGATGTCTTGCTCCGGTGTAATTAAGGCACAGTCTTTTCTCATAAAGTATTTTACGCTTCTCATCCACTCCAGTGACCTTAGTACATCAATTGATCTGTGCTTGGTATCTTTATAGTAGACACACGCCTGCATAAAACGTTTCGGCTGTAATTTGTAAAGACGTAAGCCCCGCCAGGGTGGTTTTAGAGGGGAATCTCCTTTCCCTGAGCTCTTTTCTGTGACGTTATCTTCTACTGGATTGATGTAAGTCCACCTCTTTAGTTTGGTCAGCACATTTATTAAACCCCAGTTCTACCTTCCTTTACTTCAACGCACCAGATCGGCTTTGATTCCTCTGAGCTTATCCAAAGTAGATCTCACGTTTACTTTGACATCTGCTAGCCGTCCAAGCGTGTTCAAACTCTGCACATTGAACCGCAGTTACTTGTAAAATTCCTTTACCTTACGCCGATTTGTTCCGGTGATAATCGGCAGCTCCATGATATTCTTCACATACGCATTTACAATTTCTGTTGACTGACCATACTTTGCTTCGACAATAGCTTTCACATTTTCGTATCCCTCCTCAGTGAATGGTGATCCGTTAATATCAGCTCTCACGTGTTATTCTACTAGTTCCTTCAAATATCCAAGTATAGTGAGGGGTTTCAGGCCAGTGGAGTCTATTTGAGAAGTAAATTTTCCCGAGAAGGGAAGCAACTCTTCTATCTTTCCATTGAACTTCGTTATTGAGACTTTGGGAAGCTTGGCTGCTGAAAATAATCTTGGTTGTTCTGTGGTTCTTCTCGAACTTTGCATTTTGTTTCAGTAGTTCTCTTTCAAACTCCAACTTCTGTTTGTGCTTCTCAACCGCTTGTTCCTCTTCTTCCTCGTTGTCTAGAGCCTTGATTGTTCTTTGGATCCTTGAAGTGATCTCGTCCGCTTTCTCGAGAAGTTGCTCGATTTCTTAGCTCCATGCTGCGTTTTCTTCTTCGCTTTCTTCCTTTCGCAAATTTCTTCTCTTTAATCGTAGACTTAAGCGTGTCCGCAGCATTGACTGTACTTGTAATTGATGTTTGGTGGCGTTCGAAGGCTGGTCGGTCTTGTTTTCCGATAATATCATCCGTGTTGTTGAGCTCGAAGTGCAGCATTTTGATTCTGCCATTTACCTCGGCTAATTGCTTCTTTGTCATCATTACTCGGTTTGGATTCTTTGCCTTGTTCGAGCGCTCTCACTGATCATTGTACTACTTGTGTTGAGAATTTCTTCGATGACTTAGACTTTTCTATAATACTACAATTTTTAACATTGTACATATACACATAACTTTATATTTATATCTCTATCACTTATAGTATGTATATATTAGTTTTTTTTCTCGTTTTTCTTAACTCACACACATCTAAGTGTATATCTTTTATTTTTTTGTTATTTATGTTCGGGTGTCCCCAATTGGCAACACCATGCTAAAGTTACAAGGCACTTAAAAAATAAAGTTTGTTATTATTGTTATTATTATTATTATTATTATTATTATCATTATCATTATTCTCCTGTATTGATCGCTTTGTAACGAGACTACACATGTAACACAAACCTTTTTTTTTTCTTATGGTGTGTAAATCATTACTAATTAGCGCCACACCTACATTGTGTCACATCAATTTCCGACAACTCTGTTCCCTTTTGCTTCATTTCACAACAGTTTCATGTATAATTCTTATCAGTTTAGCACAATTCGCTTTCCAAACACATTTTTCATACACGCTGTACAGCTGGTTTGGGGATAAACACCGATAATCGTGGACCCTTGTTTCGTTGTTTTTAGCCTTTCCGAAATTTTAATCGCAATCGTTTTCGAAAACTCCATTTCTTAAACTTTAGCTATCTTCTTATTAACATGAAGCTGATGTCTCGTTATATTGAGGAAGATGAACTTTGCAATTGACCAACGTGAAAATAAACGTACAAACCGTTCACACCGCAGTAACGATAGTAGCACGTCTCCGGTTTTTGTAACTTATAAACGTAGTATCCACTGCAATTTCGTATCTGAACTGGACTTGACTTCACACAACAATTTGACCCCCAGTGAAAACAAGCGTTTGTCGACACCAGTTGGTAAGTTTCAGACGGATGGCTACCGTTGATCCAGCCGGCTCCATTGGTAATGCAACTTTGTTTTGGAATGCAATAAGGCGCCATCATTGAACCAGCGTCCCCGGCGAAGCGGTACCACGCACCTAGGGTACTAAAATTCTTATCGCAAGCAAGATAAGACTTAACGGAAGCATTCCAGTATCTGTCCGCTTCATTAAGTTCTTGATACTGCGAAGGGCTACACTCAGCTGGTATAGAAGCTGATTTCAAATGAGATATTTATAATATTATAAGTATAATTGTAGCTAAAGAGAACTCTGGAAGATACATAAAGGTGTTAGGATTCAGATTAGTGAGCTAATTTTTAAAGAGGTCATTTATAATCCAGGATATAGAATAGAGTTCAGTAAACTAGTTGAAGAGTTTCAAATGATAAAAGGCTGAACAGGTTATAATGATGAAATTCATCATTTTGGAATCACTTTTTTGTTTCACTTAAAGCAGTGAACCATACACATGACGATACATTTATAACTACTGAAATTTGAATCAAAACAAACAGGTTGACGATCACATCAGGTCTTTTCCCTTTGCATAACTTTGGCAAAATTTGTTTGTTTTTCATAAATACGCCTTTTCCTTTTCGTGTTACGATTAAAAATTAGTCGCATTCTCTACGATAAGAAAGAGGTGGAAGAAGTCGCAAATATTTCCTCTGGTTAGTGTAAGTTCCCCACACTGGTAAACACGAATCACTACGGGGAAGTTCTAGGAATTCTAAGCAATTCGAAAGAAAAGAGGTCAAGTTGGAAAAAAGTCTCACGCAAGTGAAGCGCAGTTATATTAATTATCATGAAATCATTATTTGGACTAGTATCCTCTTTTACTATGAACGAGTTTTTTTTATAAAATGATTTAAAGCGAAAAACGGTGTCCTCATCTATTTGGTGATTGTATGGCCGTATTTTTAAGACTTTAAGAGCACAAATTTATTTCCTTCGTAGAATGAACTTGACGTCCAAAACTTGGCAATCTTTTGTTAGGGCATGTTTCCCATAAGCACTCTATCGATTTTGATGGATGGGACCATTAGCAGAAAAGAACCAACGCTAAGTTATTAACTCGCCTTGTTTGGTGGCATACACCTCCACTCTCAGACTGTCCCACTCATGAGTCTTTGTTGGATGGAAGCGAATGTATCTTGCAACCACTGGTCTTGACAGCTTATGTCGGTCCACACCGTGATTTTTACCAACTCTGTAAAATTCCTTGGGAAAATAAGGAAAAACATGGAACACATCTTTTCCTGAAATAAGCAATCTCGTATATATTGAGAACTCTTTGAGGTATTACAATTGGCCAGTCAGATATTTTTAAAATTTTTTTTTTCAGAGATAATTTGGCAAGTTTTCTGATGTAATTTCCTAACATGTTCCACTGTTATATTCCGAATTTCTTTCAGAATCAGTCAGTTCGTCTTCTGGTAATAGCAACTCGCTGTAACCGTCGTGAAAAATTTGTAGGAAGTGACTCGTGACTGATCTGACATAGACTGTTGATGTAATCAACAGCTGTTGATTTACAGTAATGTGCATCACTGAAAAACATAGAGGTTGGGCTTATTTTTATTGAGAGGTATTAGGGTATCCAAAGTTACGACAACAAAAACAGAGCAAAGGAAAATATCATCACGAACGTTTACAATGTGAGTTCAAAGTAAAAAAGGCGGTCCGCCTTAATCGAGAAAAATACGTCCGGTCAAATCCGGATTGGTTACAATTTTGCATCTCAATGGATGTGGCGGTGGAGCGAGTTTTCCAGAGCAGTCATAGTGGGAGGGGAAGCTAAATTACTTTTGACACTCAAAATGATCAGATAATAATTCAACTTACCACGTCCACGCCATTTCCATCTTGGTAAGTTTGCCGATTTTTATCATCGGAAGAGTAAAGAAGCTTGAAAGCTGTCGTCCATTCTCCATTGTAATTGCCTCCCTGGGTAGCAACAGCACACACTAGAAACTCTTTACCAAGATCAACCTGAAGCCAGTCTGTTTTATTCCTGTTCTTTGGAAACCAACCATTACCGGACACACTAAAAAGTCGTCCATACTTTGCAGAGTATTTTCCGTTTTCACGATGGGATGAAGCTGTCATCTGATTATCAGGGATTATGATGTGACTGGAAACACCAACTGGTTCGAAAAAGCATTCGTCGAGGATTTCTGTACCAAATTGTTGTTATCAGGTTAGCAATACATTCATTTAGCATATTAACATCAAAAGAAATATTCATTAACACTAACCGTTCATTAACTATTCATTAACCGTTTCATTTCAACGTGAAAAACCTTCTTTAATGTGACTGAGTTCTCATTAGCGCCATTCTATTCTTCTTCAACATTAGGAAAATTTCAATTTCACTAATTAAATTTTACCGCAGGATTGCGAGGCGTCTTTACATCTGATAATGAAGCTGTTCAGATTCTTCTTGCAGAAATGGCTTTCAGAACACATAAGCCGTGTTCCAAACGAGCATCGAGAAAGGTTAGTAAGGGCGTTTGAAGACGAGCACGAAGACTACCCTTTGGCTGCAGATACCTTAGGGGTAAACAGGTCTACAGCGAGAGGCATTATATGGCAAAATATGTCCGGGAAGGACGAATACATGAAAGGGCACGTGGTGGTCGTAACAACATTTAAGAGGATAAAGAAAAGAAGGAGTGCTTGAGTGACATAATCAATGAGAATTGCCTGCTTACTTTGAGAGAAATAGACCAAGGGCTTCGTAGAAGATTGTCGGTAAAACCTTTTGTACACAACAGGACGATTGGAAAAGTTCTTGTCAGAACGCTGGTACGTGTAAAACTGGCTAGACCATTACCAGCGGATAAGAACAAGTCAGATGTTATTCAGATGCGCATTGATTACGCTAGCTGGTTCATGACCACAGAGATTGTGAATTACACCCTTCTCATTGATGAATGCCGCTAGAATATTTGGACGACTAGAAATCATGGAAGAGCGAGAGTTGGCGAGCAAGTGTATCATCTAACATGTGGCCAGTGCGGAACATATGTGACGATCACCATGGCTTTGTCTCCGCTGAATGAACTCGTCCATCACACAGAGCAAATTTGCGGAATGAATGCCCGACTCTTCAACGACTTCTAAGCGCAAGCAAGACAGAACCTGAATCCGGACGACCTTGTGATATTTATATATGATGAAGCTCCAGCACATCGGAACGCTAACAATTCAAGAGTAGTACAGAGCTTAAGATGCTGCCTCCTTAAAGTCCGTTTCTCAATATCGTGGAACAAGCGATCAGTGTTCTTAAAGCTGCAATCAAGGCCGATATCTCTCAACCTACCATTCAAGAGTTAAACAACCGGGAAGAAGCAAGACTTCAAGGTATTACACTAGGAGATTCTGGTAAGAGCAGGCCGAAGAAATATTAGCTCAATAACTGTCCGAAAATGCGCCCAATTGTCTAGGTTTACGTAAATTGCTTAATCCACGAAGCAATAGAAGGATATGCAATTACTGGAACACAAACTTAATTGAAATTAAATGAAGTTCTTAATGCAGCTGAGAACTGTTATTATTAAATTGCACAATAGCATTAAAGAATGTATTTAACATTAAAATGAGAGTACATTGCTGTAAAATGAATTTTCGTATATAAGCAAACAGCCTAAATGAAATTTAAAGCCGTCATAATGATTGTCTTCTCGCGAACTTGATAACACTTTCGTGTTATTTAACTTCAAAGTGGGGCTAAAAAAATTATTTTGCGTTCTTTAAGGACAAAAAGTGTAAATAAAACCTGTTATTTCATATTTCATAAGCTAATTTTTTGGTTAATTTATTTAAAAAATTCCTGTTTACTCATTGGAAAAAAAGATACGTTAAAGTAAGCATCAACGTTAACATTTTGGTTCTCTGTTTCATGCCAATCTTTAAGAGCCCTAAGCAATTTCGTCATAGGAAATCAAAACTTATTATCTAGCAACTGAAAATAAAAAACGAAGGTACAATAAAAAATTAAAGAAATTGTGATCACAAAAAAGCGTAAAAGTGACCGCTTTAATGGGTAGTTAGTTTTTCCTCTCGTTCATTTCAGTACAGACGTAACTCTTTTAGGTTTCTTTTACTCGTTTAGCTTCATCTGTTTCCTTACATTACCATTTTAAATTAGTTTATTTTAATCGTTTATTCTTGTTCTTCGACCTTTCTCTGCTTTGTCTTTCGTCTATCTTTCGTTTTGGCAGATAAAAGAATGTGTATATTCTTTACTCCTTCAATGCTCTTTTCCTGTACTTTTCGTTATGTGATTCTCGGGAAAGTAAGCAAGCTTCCCATCATATTAACTGATATATTAATGTTATTATAAACCTTAACAACAATGACTAGTTTGATTGAAAAAAATACACACCGGTGCAAAGTCGTAGATTACACTGTGTCAGATCTGGTGGTTTGTAGACAAAAAAAGAGCCGCAGTTCCGAATTGAAATTTTATACGAGTCAAATCCACATTCATTCTCGTCATAACGATAGCAAAGTTCTCGTTGCACAACCCCTTCAGCAACAGCAGGATGGGCACCACGGATCCAACCTGAAAAATCTGTTCCGCAGTGGTATGCCTGTGGCGGGTTGTTAGGAATGACTGTTCCTCCGCTGCCAGTAAAGCGAACCCAGCTTTCCGAGGTAAGAATTCCTTTGTCACAGCGTGCAAATTCACTTTCTGCTTCATTGGACACAGACCGGGTTGGGTCGTTTATGGTGCTGTAAGAAGTGCATTCTGTAAGGAAGAAAAACATGAATCATTTATTAACAGCGCCGGCACGTATAATTGTTAGTTTCATCAAACTTTTTGAGCTAAGACGAAATGGAAAAAAGCCCAAACTTTGCTTTCTCTGTCTGTTTCTTCGCGCGCAAAAACGCGATAGATCTTTCCCCCTCCATTCCCGTGGTTTCTTTTTCTTCTTTTGGAGGAAATTACAAAAGACAAATGGATGAAATAAGTAAATGCAAAAATTTAAAGAGATAAAAAGTCGATTATATTTGGTCGTTTAGCCAGAGAAGCAAGAGTTGGCAAAATTTTCAACTTTACAGAAACGACCAACTGAGACTTACTCCTTTTCAGACAAAGTCTATACTTGAAACAATTTCCTCAATAATTGCGCATCCCACGCTTCGATCGTTGCATAC